TGGGTGACTTTGTTTCCTTCTGAAATTGCTTCAGTCGTGTTTATGTGTTTTTAGTCTGTCTCCCCCAGCTAAAATTTAAGTTTTAAATGAGCAAGAGATCTTGCCTGTCTTGTTCTCTTACTGGATTCCCAGTACCGAAATCCGTGTCTGGCACATAATAGATGCTCAGTTAGGTCTGCTAAATGGATTAATGTTGGGTGCTTGGATTGATGGACTGAAATCAATGGGTGGAAGCCAGTAAGGGATTTCTTGAGGTGTCGTATCCCTCGATTTTGGCCTTTATGGACCCAAGACAAAATAAAAAGGGGGAGGGGCCTGGTAGTACCGCCTCTAAGTGGGGATTAGTGTCGAAATGGTTCAGTGATATCCGACAATGATTCATTGCCCCGTCTGGAAACCACCGTTCAGTAGTCTCAGACGAGTCATCAGTTCATTCGGTCACGGAAGGTCCTGGGTGTTGATTTACTGTCATTGTCAAGGGCACCGTTTCCTTCAACTCGCCGTTCCCGCGTGTGTCTGCGCCCCGCCACGCTGCGGCCCTCCCAGAAGTGCTGGCAGAGCTATGCCTTCGGGACATTAACCAGGGTCTCTGCGCCTTTTCCCAGGGATGGGCTGGCCCGCGGGTGCTCAGCTGTTCCGTAGGACAGAGCCTGCCGAGAATAAACTCCACATACACCAGCCTTCGGGGGTGGCGGCGGGGGGCGGGGGTCAGTGCCGGTCTCATTTGCCCTGGAAATCTGTCTTCCGCGTCCCCAGAGAGCACCCTTGGTCTGGGCCCAGGGACGCCAGTGAGTTCTGTCTCCAGCGTGGAACAACTGCAACCATGTCAGGAGCAGCCGGTCCCCGGGGGCCACGCTAGGAAAGGGAAAACCTTCCAGAACCTCCACACTCCACGCGATGCTGGGTCTCAAGTGTTATTTCCCAGATCCCAAGACATTTCTCCACGCCTTGGGTTTCGGTTCCACGTTTGTCGCCTTATCTTGGCCCTCGGACACCAGCCACAGAGCCGCCCACAGGCGCAGGGTCAGCGGGGAGAGCCCGTAAGAATTCCAGGAGAGTTCATGGTTCTCTATTGGGGTGTACGTCACCCTCTGAAGGTTTGACCAGAGTTTTGTTAAGAACGTGATCAAGTCGGAAGACACTGTCTTGTGATTTCAAAAGTTTCCAGTGTGAACGTGTATCACTTTGAAATACATTTCTATTTTTTCCTCTTTCAAGGGGATAAACAATTCTGTGACCAATTCTGTCCGAGGCACAGCGCCGTGGCTGGTTGGGCAGCCGCGCCCACGACGGCTGCTCGGTGTTGGCATTGGAGTCGAGGTTGGGGCAAGGCCACGGGCCTCCTCGGCCCTCTGCCGGCCAGCCCTCCACTCCGGGTCATCTATCCCTGCGTGGATCAAATAAATCGACATTCTCTATTCCCAGCGTATGCTCTTCAACTGGGAGTGAGCCCCTAAGAGGTCTGACCTCGGTTTCCAGATAACTTCAGTTCTGGAGGGCCAACTATTTCAATGTACAATGATTAAACCCTGAACATCCTATACTTGAGGCATGCCTTATCCCCCTCTGCATCTGTTTCTTGTCTGGGATTGCTAACCATGCTGCTACTCTAACCTCGACTGGAGAACTCGCGTTAGTTGCCTTGAACACTTAATGGAACACCTGGTAAACTTTATTGCAAACGCGTGCTCCCTCTTCCCTGGCGCGATTCCTACTACTTGCTCCTTTTGAGTATTCCCGTGGACTCTGTCTATAGTCTCAGCTTATTCCAACGGACCACGATTACTGTTTCTGTGATGTTGGGCTCATTCCTGCTGGCTGATGCCAACCCTCCATGTTTAGGCGTCTTTGTGTTCTAAACACCACCTCAGACATCCCTGGCTGGCCTTGCTCTTTGGCACAAACACTGCCCCATGCTTCTTGAATGTTGAGCGTGCCCTGTTCCTAGGCCCCTAGCCATGGCAAGCGGTCTTGAAATCTTAATTTATTCAGTTGACGAAGCCTGAGAGACTCGGGTCCAGGTGCCCGCAGTGCAGAGGAAATGTTCCCACGGGCTTGGCCGCGGGGAGACCAGAGGCAGCTTCAGCCGCTGAAATTAGTTATTTTCAAGACACTGGGCCAAAACCTCAAACCTGGACTGAGACTAGGACCAGGGCACAAAGCCTTGCCTCCCACAGACGAACCGCCACAGGTTTAAAGGCCTTTTTGATGAAGAACAGTTCTGAACTGCATTCATCACACGAACGACGGGACCGGGGTTACCGGAGCAGGTAAGACTGTTCTTCGAACAGTTAGAGCAGTCTGGGCCTGCAGGCTGCACAGCGACCTGCAGGGGGTGGTCTATGACCACCGTGTTTGGGGTTCACACACCATGTTGCCGGTGGCTCCTCACCCCAGCCTGACAGCCCCGGCACATCCTGCCGCTCCCCACCAGGGACAGCCGTTAGCTGCTCCTCACACTCAGCACACAGGATGCTCTGAGCTGCCTCGGGTCCACCTGCCCGGGAACCATTCAGCCGCTTATACTCCACCCTCCCAGGCCACCGTGGCTGGACGACCCTCCGTGGGCGTCATGGACACCAGGGCAACAGGGCAGGTCCCTGCTACTCCCAGACCCTCAAGTGTGTTTTGGAGGGTCAGCCATCTCACCAGCCAGATCACAGGCAGCTGGTTGACCCCTCACATCCACTCTTACCTACGTCTGCAGTAACGGACCCCATTTCCTGTTTCTCGGGGTGTGCTGGCCAGTGAGCTGCAGAGCCTGCATCACTTCCAGGAAGGGTCCTCCAGGGAGGGCTGACCTCCTGGTCCCACCAGCCGGGCTCCTGCAGTGCCAGCAGCCACTGGGACCCGGGGAGGGAAGCCCCCAGCACAGCAACGAGACAGCGGCCCCGGGCCCGGCGCTGTGCCCCCCCACCCGTTCGGGGCGGGCATCCTCGAACTTCTAGCACAGGAGAAGGAAAGAACAGTGTGGCCTGTTTAAGCCCCTGCTGCTCCGGAGAGCACACACACGTGCTTCTTGTCCGGCCCCGCACCGAGATGCCATCCGTCCGTCCGTCCGTCTGTCTGCTTCGCCAGCAGGCACGGCCGCGCCTCCTCCTCCAGGCCCGCCCTGCTCCCAGGGCTCGGAGGGGGAGAACGCTGGACGATCTGTTGTTTTAAGTGATGACCCCTCTTTGTTTACAGCCTTCCTCAGAAGTTTTGTCCGAGGAGTCTGAGAAAGGTGAGCGAGGACGTGGTCGATGCACATCTAAAGAAGTGATCTGAAGCCTGACGTGTACCTGCGGGCCTCCCTCAGAGAGAACACGGTTCCCAACCCCGCAACGCGGGGGCGGCTCGCGTGAGCCTGCTGGTTTCCCGGTGCGCACACGTGATGGCACCCTCACTGCCGTCTTCTAGGTGTGCAATAGCATGGCGCCTAGAGAGACAATGTGCACAGCTTAGCTGTAAAAATACTTGTGCCCCAAACGGCGAAGCTTCATAGGAGCCCTCTGGGAAAGTGGTGTCACTCGACCAGCTCGGCGCAAGGCGGCCGTGAACCGCCACCTGTGAAACACGCAGTCTCCGCGAAGCGTGCGCAGCGAGACAGAGACCCCAGCTTTAGTTACCAGCAACAAGCATGATCGTTGCGGTCAGACAAGTGAGACACAGAATAAGGGCTTTGCTCTGGAGAAGCTGAAATAAAGTGTGAGGTCCCCTCCTGTATCCAGATGGGTTTTAATAAAATAGAATTATAAAGACAAGGCTTTTTTTTTTTTTTTTTTTTTTTGGCCAAGGTCAAAGCTTCAGGTTTCCAAGTAGCTGATGTTCAGTCTCAAAGGAAGACCAAATACTGCTCAGGACTGAACACCGAGAGAGCCGGCTCCTGAGGTCCAATCCGCACCCAGATGTTTACAGACAACCACACACGTCTCACTGTGGCCCCCATTTGCCTAGAAACCGTCCCCAGTGTATTCAGAAGACGTGCTATTATGTTGTCTTTGTGGTTTTTCCCACAGGAAGAGAAATTTTAAAATACATTTTTTTGTGTACTCCAGGAAGGAAATCAATTCTTTTTTTTTAATATGTTTTTTATTGATATTTTTAGAGACAGAGGAAGGGAGAAAGAGATAGAAACATCAATGTGAGAGAGAAACATCAATCGGCTGCCTCCTGCACGCTCCCCACTGGGGATGGAGCCCACAACCTGGGCCTGGGCCCTGACTAGGAATGGAACCGGGACCTCTCTGTCCACGGGATGACACTGAGCCACACTGGCTGGGAGGAAATCACTTCTTAAACCAGAACTTGAGCCAGTTACGATATAACTTGTAGTAAATTGAACTCTTTTTTTATATATATATATATACAGGGTGGGGCAAAAGTAGATTTACAGTTGTGAGCACACAAATCACAGATTGATTCTTGTGATTTACTGATTGTTGTATTATTTTCCATACGACTCTAAAGCTACTTGGCCCCATCCACCCTGTATTTACTGTGACATCTCATAGATGGGGTTCACCTTCTAGAACCACCAACAAGAACCCAGACCAAGAACGAAATAGAATAAGACATTCCCGGAACATAGGAATATGACCTTTCCTTTAAATGTTCTAGCGCTCCTGGGCTTCGGATGAGGACCGTGTTTTATCCCGTGACGCCTACGTAAATGTGGCTGGGATAGAGTTTGCTGGGAGAGGCACCGCACGTAAAAACCAAGCACCCTCCAGCAAGTCGACACTGAAATACTTTTGCCAACATAGATGGCTACAAACACAGGACCATTTTCTTTCAGAGAGGGAATAAAACTACACTGTTCTAGCAAATCAGTTATAGGGGCCTCTTTCCTAGCAGTCTTTAAAGTCTATGGGATCTTTGAAATACTTAGCTAATTCAGTCGCTGTTAACCACCAACAGCTCCCACTAGAAAGGGCACGTGGGTAGAGACAGCCAGGCTTTGGGGAGACTTATAAGAAAGAAAAGCAGGCACCGTCGGTGTTCTCTCGGGTGGACGTTGATTTGGGGATGGCCCCGGTGAGGCAGAGTACCGGAAAGTAAGCACGTGGCGCGTGAGGACCTCGTCTTCATCTCTGCCCCTCGGTCCCCAGCGAAGCCTCTCTCTGGGGGGCCTGCGGTTCTGAGGTCCGGATCTGAAAGTAAATCTTGTGCACTTTGGACTTTGCTTTCCTGTAAGAACCAGAAATAAAAATGAAAGTTACAATAATCAACGTCTTGATGAAGAAACTGCTGCAAAGTTTTACGTGGGCATAAGTCTTACAAAGAGAGAAAGAACGAGAGGAAAGGGGTCTGTGGGCCAGTTCCGGCCACGGCCGGCTCTGCACGGCCTGGTTTACCTTTTCTAATTGTTCTTAAAAATCAAAATGAAAATATTATTTCTTGACACTTGAAAATGTAGATGAAATTCCCATTTTAACATCTATGGCCCAGGCAGTGTGGCTCAGTGGTTGAGGGTCGACCCTGCACCAAGAGGTCACCAGTTCGATTACCAGTCAGGGCACGTGCCCAAGTTGTGGGCCAAATCCCCAGTGAGGGGCATGCAGGAGGCGGCCAATCGATGCTCTCTCTCATTGATGTTTCTCTCTCTCCCTCTTTCTCCCTCTCTCTCTAAAATCAATAAAGATTTTTTTAAATGTTTTTAAACCAAAAAATTGTCTATGGATGTCTAAGGGCCCCAGCCACACCCACTGGTTCATGTATCACCCATGCTGCCTTCGGGCTGTTGAGCCGAGCCGGGGCCACGACACGCGTGGCCCGAAGCCTGAAGTAGCAGGTGGGCCGTGGCAGGGAGCATCGCCGGGCCCGGAAGAAGAGCATCTCTTGCATTGCTGCCTAACTCCGTCACCCTGCAGCCAGCTGTCCGTTGTGAGCCTGGGACTTTGGGGTGCCTGTCATTATGATAACAACAGCCGCCGCCTCAGTGTGTCGAGAGGGTGGGTGGGAATGTGCATGAAGTGTTCAGAGACGGCGACACACCAGCGTTGGCTAAGGCTGCTGGGACCCCGTGCCTTCACGGCGCCCCCTGGGAAGTAGGGAAGAGTCACTGAAACACCCTCCCTGGTGACAGACTGTGGCTAACAGTTACGGGGTCAGTGTGATGGGAAGACATCATGAAATCACGGTTATTATGAAGTGTGAGGGGTACTGTCGAGGACAGAAGACAGTCAGGGAGGTGTGGGGCTCAGCCAGAGGACCGTCCCCCACCCCGGCAGGCAGAGTGGTTAGGAAGATGGCCTAAAGAGACATCCTAAAAGATCACAAAGTGCCTATTAACAAATGATAGTGAAATATCCCAAAGTCATGTAATCAACATTTACTCTATATTTCTACAACTCGGGACCAAAAAGGAAACATAATTCCAGCAACGACAAAATGTGTTCATAGCTAAAATAGGATGTTTGTCCCTTATCGGTACTGAGAAATACGGAATTTCTCACAGTGAGATTTAATTTATTTATTTTAAATCCTTACCCGAGGATATTTTTCCATTTATCATCAGATAGACTGGGAAAGAAGGAGGGAGGGAGGAAGAGAGAGAGAGAAAAACACACTGATGTGAGAGAGACACCCCGACTGGTTGCCTCCTGCACGATCCCGGCCAGGGCCGGGGACTGACCACAACTGAGGCACGCCGTGCCCTTGACCGGAATCGAACCCGCGACTCTGGTCTGTGGGGCCGACGCTCTAACCGCTGAGCCAAACCGGCCAGGGTTCACAGTGAGTTTTACAGGGGGCCTCAAGGGGCCCGGTCAGCAGAGTCGTCAAAGGGCAGATTCTGCGTTCCACGCAGTACCTACTTCAGACCCGACAAGCCCAGGAGGCTCCCCTTGGCCTGCGTGCTGAGTGTGGAGGACCAAGGAGGAGCCATGTGGGCAGAATGGGTCAGTCTGAGATTTACTGAACACCTACTCCGGGCCAGGCGATGGATTAGTCGCCACCCCCACTTTATCATCGAATGCTTATAGCAACCTTCTCAATGAGCTCTCACTGTGCTTATTTTTCAAGCGAGGAACTTGAGGTTCCGCAGAGATCAACGACACCCCCAAAGTCACATGGCCGAGGCAACGGCCATGCGCAGGTTGGAGCCCGTCTTTGTGACTCCACAGACGGCTGTCTCTGCCGCACAGGGACGCGTGCGTCCGTGCGGCGGGGTCCAGGGGCCCGGGCCTGGAAAGGGGCCGAGAGGTCCCCTCAGCAAGCAGGCTCCTGTCCTTCCTCAGTGCGTCCAGAGTAGAGCCTGACACTCATCCCTGTCACGAGAATGAAACCTTTCAGTCATTCTTTGTGCGGAAAGTCACAAGAAACCTGACCCACCGCTGGCGAAAGGACAGACTGACTTCAATAGTCAGCTGAGCGCCCAGCTCAGGGCGGGCAGGGTCCCTGGCTCCCGCGGGCAGTACCCCGCACAGGTCGCTCTCGGGGCCACTGTTCAGACGACACAGCTGTCTCCAAAAACGCACACCAGGCCTTCCCTTCTTTCCTGCAAAGCCGGTGGCTCTCGCGTTGTGCTCTCTACACACCAGCTCTCGAGTGAGCGAAAAGACAGACAGACAGACGTCTGAAAGCTCCCGACACGTCAGCACAGGGGGCAGGGGTGGCGCGGCCCCGAGGGCTCACCTCCGGAGGTTCTCCGCGTCCTCGATGGTTTCTGGCAAAGTGACCCCTTTGGTCTCTGGAAGAAGCAGCGTCAGTCCCCCGGCGACCAGGCTCAACGCCGCTTCAAAGGAGACAGACCGCACGTGGCGCCGTTAGCCCGCAGCCAGGACCGGGCACTAACTAAGGAGACGCCTAGAGAACATGTGCCCCAGGGACACGGTTCGAGAGGAGTCGGGAACCTGCAGCATCCAAGCAATGGGAGGACTGGGAACCGCGGAGCAAGAGAGGAAACTGTGCCTTCGCGCTACCTCCATGGAAGCATGAGGTGCGTCAGGAGATTTAGAAACAATTCGGACTCGTTACTGTGTATCTATTTATAGTATATACTATAGTTACTATGTAGTAATACCATCTTATTATACATTTGTATGCTATGGAGCACAGCAAATCCATTGCAGTCCTCTCTGGTTCCTCCCTCCCGCCCTCCCGCCCTCGCCCTGGGGGACTCAGCAGGCCCAGGCCAGGCTGCTCTCTGCATGTCCTTAGCCATTTCGCCTCCCACCAAGTGGGTAACTGGGGCCTTGGGGGTCCCCAGGGCTTGGTCTGGGGAGGGAAGGAAGAGTCCCCACCTTCTTCTTAATTCAACCCCATCAGCAATAACGCTGATATAAACTCTGATTCCCACTTGTGTCCTTGTGTCTGTTCTCAATTGATAAGACCCCAAAGCAGAAGAAGGTGACCATTTAGATCTTCAAGCCTCTACAATTACATGTTAAGTGCACAAGAGTCCGGAGTCACATTCATAAGAAAGCAGGCGGCTACGTCAGAAGGTCCCTCAGATTCTTTTCCGTAGGATCAATTACTGGACCCCGGAGCCGGAGGTTGTAAACCTCTGGCCCAGCTTCTGGGAATGACATCTTATCTTTCCCGTGAAGCAAGACAGCATGAGCCAGGGGACCACAGAAGGGCCAGCGCCATGTGAGCTCGCTGGGGGGATTCACTCATGAAATGCTTACTGGATGCCCAGGATGGGCTGAAAGAAGGAGCAACCAACGTCCTGTGAAATCTTACCAAACAACACGAGGGGCAAACTTTCCCAAACCTCTATCAGCCTGAAGACCAGAAAGGGGGTGATGATCCCACCCAGGTCACACAGAGAGGAACACACCATCACTCCGAGGTTCCTGAAAAAACAGAGAGGAAAAAATGTCAGCATTTCTGTGATTCGATTTTCCAAATGTTAACCTTACCTTAGAGTGAACACGGGGGCCACCAACCCGCTCCCAACCTCCAAGTAGGGGAGAAGGGCTGGAGATAAAGTTGATCACCTATGGCCAATGATGTCATTAATCATGCCTACATAATGGAGCCTCCAGAAAACCCTAAATTATGGGGTTCAGAAAGCTCAGGGTTGGTGAACACATCAATGTGGCCAGAGGCCGGAGTACCCCAGCTCTACACGGACAAAACCTTCTATGTGCTCAAGACCCTGGCAGACCTCACACCATGTACCTCTTCAACTGACTGTCCGATTGTATCTTTCACTATATCCTGTATAATAAACCAGTAAATGTAAGTAAGCGTTTTCCTGAGTCCTGTGAGCCATTATAACAACTTACTGAACTTGGGGAGGGGTCACGGGAATCCTGACTTCTGGCCAGTTGGTCAGAAACACAGGTGGACCGTGGAGGACTTGCACCTGGTATCTAAAGTGGGGGCCGTCTTGCGACACTGAGCCCTTCACCTGCGGAATCAGCACCGCGGCCAGGTTGTTACGTCCGAGTTGAATTCCAGGACACCCCGTTGGTCTTTGGAGAGTTGGGAATTTGTTGCGTGAATCGAGTTTTTTCTTTTACATGTGAATTTTACATGAGGGACCTAGTTCTCTACTTCTTCTACCTTCTGTGTGCTTATCCATTGTTTCTCTTTTTTTAAGACTTATTCTCTTAAAATAGTTAAAAAAAATAATAATAGTGTAAGTTGTGTCCAGAGGGGTCCATGGAGCTGCTGGACCTGACACATCTTGTCAGTGCTGAGGACAGAGATGGGCTCAGCCTGCCCCCCCCCCCCCCAGGGCTCTCTCCTGTGCCGAACGCCTTTTCTTTCTCACGAGCACAGTGTGACCCCTGGTCACAGCTTCCCCATCTCACCGTCTCCTTGACACCCAACCTGCTGTCTCAGTGTCACACCAAACAGCCACTGGAGGGGCCCCGAGGCCCTGCCCTGAAAATGCTGGTCCCCAAAGAGCCAGGCTAGCACACAGCCATTTCAGGGGCCACCCCGCAGCACTCACCTGATGAATGTGGGGTACAGCTCGGCATTCACCAGGCACACCATCTGGAACACGATGGTGATTCCCATCCGGCCAACACAAGCCACTGCGATGCTCAGCCAGTGTAGCTCTGGAGAGAAGACAAGAGGGCGGAGCGGGCTGGGCCCACAAGTGGGGGCTGCGCCCCGAGCTGCCCCCCGGAGCTGACGCAGACTTGGAGCTGGAAAGGCTGGAGAGTTTGTCTTGGCTAACCCTTCAATGTTGGGTAAGTCGGCTGAGTCCTGAGAAATTTGGGGACTTGACAGTGACACACGAGGGGAGGCCCCATGGTGGAGAGGAAAGAATGTCATTTTGAAATTTCTGCCTTGGCCGGTTTTGCTCAGTGGTTAGAGCATCGGCCCATGGACCAAAAGGTCTCGGGTTCGATTTCCGGTCAAGGGCATGTACCTCGGTTGCATCTTCGATCCCCGGCCCTGGTCAGGGTCAGGTGGGAGGCGGCTAATCGATGTGTCTCTCTCACATCGATGTTTCTCTCTCTCTCCCCCCCCCCACTCTATCTGAAATCAATGGCAAAAAATCTATCCCTGGGGGAGGGGGAACATTTCTGCTCTGTCCCCTGTCGACTGCGTGACTTAGGGCGGCTGTTCGCGTTTTCATGGCCACGGGAACCCTTACACCCAGCGCCCAGGCTGGCGTGAGATTTAGAGACACTAGGTGCCCAGGGTCCGCCACGGCCGCTCCACAGGGCTGGCTCTGTCATCGCGCAGCCACGACGTCGCTAGCACAGCCCCCGAGACACAGCAGGGCCTCAGTACCGTCCCCGTAGCGGCGGCCTGGGCTGACAGACCAGGTTCCTAACCCTCAAGCTCATGTGCCTGTCCAAACACGTGGTTGCATTTTACTTTCAGAACTGTTTATTGTTTAGTTGCAGCTGGCGTCCAAGGTCACATCAGTTTCGGGTGCACAGCCAGCGAGCGTGAGAAGGAACGCGTCACGGAGGTGCGTGGCGTCCTCGCGGGGGCCGAGCCGAGGCTCTGTCGCTGCAGCGTCAGTGTGCGCGCGGCCGACCCTGGTGCTCCGAACACGCTTTCTCCAAACACCCTTCCCAAAGCCTCGGAGAGCGAGTGTTAGGGGACCCGAGCCCTTCTCGTCCTAGCAGACGCTGTGGAGTCCTGATCACCTGAGCCCACTCCCACTGGGGACTGATCGCAGGACTGGGCACGGCACACCCTCCCCCCGGATTACCCCAGACACGAAAGTGTATGAGGCTCCTGTAACAGGCCAGCTCCCTCTTTAAGCCCCTGGGGTCACACCACGTCACCCTGACCTGGCCCCAAACACTGGCTGCTCAGGGGAGAGGTGCTCCCTGTCACTCCGCCAGCGCGAGGCTCCGAGGAGACAGGGCGCAGGGGCCTAGGAGCTCACCTCGGGGTCCAGCCAGTGTCTCCGCTTCACCTGGTGGAGGAGCCAGGCCAGGCCTGCATGAGAGACCACCCCTCCCCCAGCTGGCAAGAGACAAAGGTGAAAGAGCGGGGGGGGGGGGGGGTCTCGAGCACAGGTCTGGGGTCTGTAATCTGGGGAGAGTCTCTACCCAACATGAACAGCAGCACCTCAGAGGCCTGCCCTGAGTCCCCCCGGGCCCCGGGCCACTCTACCGCAGCCGAAGGGACCACTTAGAACTGCGGGTGGGACCGTCACTTCCCTGCTCAAAGCTCGAGTGGTTTCCGCCACGCGGGATAAAGTCCGGGCCTGGCTGGCTCCTGCTAGCTCCTGCCCTGGCTCCCATGGCTCCTGCCCCTGCTCACCCCAATCTAGTCCCCGCTCTTCCTGCTCCGGGTCCTCGCACCTGCTGTCCCCTGCCCGCTAATCTCAGCCCCCAGAGTTTACAGTCGGTCCCCCTTCGCTGTCTCCTCAGGCCACCGTGACCACAGAGCTAACACCGTCACCTCCGCCTCCTCTCCCGCTAGAACCTGAGCTCCGCGCGGCAGGGGTTTGCTCTGCTTTGCTCACCACCGAGCCCCCGGGACTGGTGCCGGCGGGCCACTCGGAGAGTCAGCAAAGTATTTCCTGGAAGAGAGGATGAATGTTTACCACCCAAGGAATGAGGACTAAGGAGAAGCCAGCGGGGGGCGCGGAGCTGGGAGCAGGCCAGAGCCCTGCCCAGGTGAGACTCGAAGTCTCAGCTCTCAGGCTCCCTCTGGGCGCTCTGTGCGGTCGCTTAAAAAATGAGTAAATAGCCCTGGCCGGTTTGGCTCAGCGGTTAGAGCGTCGGCCTGCGGTCCAGAGAGACCCGGGTTCGGTTCCCGCTAAGGGCACGTACCTCGGTTGCAGTTTGTCCCCGGCCCTGGTCGGTCGTGCGGGTGGCAGCCACTCGATGTGTTCCTTTCACGTCGATGTTTCTCTCTCTCTCTCTGTTCCTCTCTCTCCCTCCCACTCTACCTGAACAAAAAATGGAAAAATGTCCTCGGGTGAGGAAAAAAAAATGAGTAAATAAATAAAAATTTTAAAATCTGTTCATTCACTCCATCTGACCAGTATCCCAGAAACGGAAACAGGAGAAAATGGGTAAACCCAGCGCAGGTGCCCCCCGCCCTCCCTGCTTTGCCCCCTGCGAGGAGGGAGACCGGGGCCTTTCTCAGTCTGCTGTCACCTGCAGCCTGATCTCCACAGCCCGGTTCTCGAGAACACAGAACCCCGACTGCGGGTCGTCCACTGTGACCTTTCCACTTCGTGACGTGCGAAAGCAGCACGCGTTCAGTAGAAACCAAACTTCTATCTTTCCTAGGCCGGCCACGTGTCCGAGGGCCAAGTGCCCCCTCGGTGCTCCGTGCGGCCCGCGTTTCCGGATGGTGTGCTCTGCACACATTCAAAGGAGAGTGGGCTAAGCTATGCGGTCCGGTAGGTCAGGTATATTAAATGCATTTTCCACGTACGCTGGGTTTATCGGGATGTAACCCCATCGTACGTCGAGAAGCATCTGTGCAGATTCTATGGGACGTTTCCCACAACACTCTGCCCAAAAGCCTGTCAAAATGACTCAATAAACCAACAAGTGTGGAGCACGAGCAATAAAAACTGAGGAAATGGCAAATCCACCTTCGTGTTGATTGAACATTTCCAAAAGGAACAGAAGAGAATGTATGCACTCATCCAGCCCCACTAAAATGAGCCTGCGTGGGCTTCTGTCGCAGCGTCAGAACCGTGGGTGACGCGCACCAGCGAGTGGCCGGTGTTGAAAGGCTAGCACAGCAAGGCTGGTGCGATGGGGAACTGGAACCCACATGCGTGCCTGTGGAACCGTGTGCTGGTCCAACCTCTCGGGAAAGCTGTCTTGCTGTACCTACTGAACGCTAAGCTCACGGACACGCACCCAAGGGAAATGTTCACCGCGGCTTTAACCCCAACAGACAGACACTGGGAACCACACAGGTGTCACTCGACGGGGGCATGGGTATCATGTGGTGCACCAACAACAGGATGCTACATGGTCATGAGAAGTACAGGCTACCCTCTCGTGCGGCAACATGGGTGAATCTTATAGACACAATGATGGGCGAGCGAATGAGGTAATACAAGGAGTACACTGGGTATGTTTCCATTCATATGACATTCAACAGTCACAATTAGCCCGTGGTGGCCGAGATCAGAGTAGCAGTGATCTTGGCAGAGGTGGTGGGTGTGGGCTGTGAAGACAGGAAGGAACCGTCTGGGGTGCTGGAAATTCTGCATCTTTGTCTAGGTCGTGCTCCCCAGGTACAAACATATGCACAGAGTTGTCACCTTGTGCACTTATCCTTTGCTCACTGTATGTATGTTATACTGCAACTTAACAATTGTTTTAAATTGTAGGCTGAGGCCGCACCTGCCATTGTCTTCGTTCTTGTTCTAAGAGCTTACCAAGCAGTAAACACGATTCCCACGATACAGTCACCCGGAAGACAATGGGCGGACAACTCACCACGTGAGATGAAAACCATGGCGAAGCAGGCCGCCCCCGCCGCCAGATTCGACACGGCCAGCGGGTAGAGGCGGCCGACGCGGTCGATGGTGGCGAGGATGACGAAGGCCGCGGGGAACTCCACCAGCGCAGAGTAGAGGAAATCCAGGTACAGGTCCTTGCCGGTGGCTCCCACGTGCATGATGAGGCCCTGGTAGAGCACGGAGCTGGTGAACCTGCGCCAGGAGACAAGGTCAAGGGCAAGCGCCGCAGAGGAGGGGAGGGGAGGTCCCGGCAGAGAGAGCCAAGGACCCTACACGCTGGGGAGAAGCAGGTGCGCGATTTAGAATGTCCTAGAGAGCCCTGGCCCATTTGGCTCGGCGGTTAGAGCATCTCGGCCCACGGACCAAAGACTCAGGGGTTCAATTCTGGTCAGGGACACGTACCTGGGTTGGGGTTCGGTTCCCAGCCCTGGTCAGAGTTGTGCAGGAGGCAACCAATCGATGTGTCTCTCTTAGATGGATCTCTCTCTCTCTCTCTCTCTCTCCCCCCCTCCCTCCCACTCTATCTGAAGATAAATGGAAAAATATCCTCAAGTGAGTATTTAAAAAAAAAAAAAAAGGAATGTCCTAGAGCAATAAAAAGAGAGGCATAAAATCAGAACACCCCGCCTCCCCTAGAGATCGCAAACACAGATGCTGTTGCTTTCTGGATGGGGAGGCGCCGGCCCTGCTGAGCTGGCACAGGCCCTGCCTGGCTCAGCTCCAACCGTTTTCCAAGGGTCCCGGGGTGAGCGGTGAGTGAGCAGGCTCAGGAATCAGGCTGCTGTATAAGCTGTGGGACCTTAAGTAAATTAACTAACCTCTCTGTGCCTCAATTCCCTTCTCTGTAAATGGGATAATAGTAACCTCCCACACTGGTTTGTCTTGAATATTCATTAAGCTAGTAGACAAGAAGTCCTCAGTGTAGCTCCGCGCACAGAGTACCACTCGGTAAAGATGAGCTGTTATGGCTGGCGGCACCGTCATCTCTCCAAGATCAAGTATCGAGACACAACGAAGCAGACACACAAGTCCAGTCTCTCTAAGTGCACACTGCTGCTCCCCAGCACCTCGCGCTGTCCTCAGGGAGCCACCTCCATGCCCCCCTCCCCCCATCACCACCGCCACCTCCACACGCCCCCCTCCACCCCATCCCCACCGCCCCCTCCGCGTGCCCCCCTCCACCCCATCCCCACCTCCAAGAGCCCCCCTCCACCCCATCCCCACCTCCAAGAGCCCCCCTCCACCCATCCCCACCGCCCCTCCGCGCGCCCCCTCCACCCCATCCCCACCGCCCCCTCCAAGCGCTCCCCTCCACCCCATCCCCATCGCCCCCTCCAAGCGCCCCCCTCCACCCCATCCCCACCGCCCCCTCCAAGCGCCCCCCTCCACCCCATCCCCACCTCCAAGAGCCCCCCTCCACCCATCCCCACCGCCCCTCCGCGCACCCCCCTCCACCCCATCCCCACCGCCCCCTCCGCGCACCCCCCTCCACCCCATCCCCACCTCCACGCGCCCCCCTCCACCCCATCCCCACCTCCACGCGCCCCCCTCCACCCCATCCCCACCTCCAAGCGCCCCCCTCCACCCATCACCACCGCCACCTCCAAGCGCCCCCTCCACCCCATCACCACCGCCACCTCCACGCCCCCCTCCACCCCCACGCCGCGGCAGGCCCCCTCACTCCGTGTTCGAGGACAGAAGAGCCACGTCGCGGAACGTGGCACAGAGGCAGATGGGGACCAGCTCAGTCACTCTCAAGGGAAAATGCAGAGACTTCCATTTTGGAAAACGATCTAATTTTGGAAGCCAGGAACATTTTACAACTACATCGGTTTTTGCACTGCGAGAAGAGGTCTTGGTTGATGAGAAGCTACTGTCTGCTCGCAGCAGGCACATGGCCTGTCGGCTCCAAACCGGAGCTCGGGCGGAGGCGTCCCGGTGAGGTGCCCGGCTCCCGGTTCCCTAAGCCCGCGCCCCGAGAAGCACCCGGCTGCGTCTGTTTCTAGTCGCGACTTATTCCCGGTGGACGAGAGTGTCAAGAGAAGAAGGAAGTGGAGACCAGCTGGGTGCCTCCGCCAGGCCCTTTGGCCAGTTACATGGGGACAACCACCTGTCCCCGGTGAAGACTGGATGGAGAGAGAGGATAACCGAGGTTTTACTCCCCAAAACATGTTACCAGGGTGCGGGGCTGCCACCTTCTGGCCGAACCTATGCATTGCACATTAAAGTAAGTGGTGGCGCGCATTTCCTGTATCCAAGTCCTTTACACACATTATTTCGTTAATTCTCCCAACACACCTGAGACAGGCACTCCTATCAACCCTACTGGATGGTCAGGAAACGGAGTCACAAAGGTTACAAAGCTTCCTGAAAGCCCCGTGGCCTCCCGAGTTGCTGCGATGGAAGAGGCAGGTGGGAGAGGCCCAGACCAGGGACCCTGTGGGCCATGGAGAGACCCTTGGTTTTATCCTCAGAGGAGCAGGAAGCCAGTGGATGGTGTGAACAGGGAGCGGCCTGGTCCGTTCAGCTCGGAAAGGACCCCTTCACCCGCTTTGTGACCAGCGCCCGAGGGGCACGGAGTGGGAGCAGACAGACCACCCAGCAGGCTTCTGCAATGACGCAGGCCAGAGGCCAGAGACTCCGACAGGGCACCAGGAGCGTGGGTACTGAGAGATGGCCGGTTCCGAACGTGTCTTCAAGATAGAGCAGAGTGCGCTGCAGGACCGGGGGAGGATGTAAGAACAGAGGCGTCCAGCGGGCCAGAAGATGCGCTGCCCAAGCACCAACCACCAGGAGAAATGCCCCAGGCGCTGGGGTGTCTGCAAAGGCTCCCGTCCCGGCCGGTGTGTGGCTGAACGCAGGACCCCCGGGCAGCACAGACACGAGGGTCCTTGGTGAGCAGGGAGAGGACACGGTGAGCCTGTGTCCACGGAACTTGGGGTGGATTCTAGGAATTGTGGTCATTCTGTCAACCTTCAGCAAATATTTATTGAAGGTCCACTCACCAGGCACCACCCTGGGAGTTCAGGCCCTTAGTGCCAGTAACATCACATGGAAATGTCAACAAGTGTACCAGCAGCACAGTGGCCGACGGGGGTGGACTGCTGAGCCTGCAGTCCGGCTACTCGGGCCGCGCGTTGGGGGAGCACCTGGAACCACCCCATGTTGAGGAGAGAGCCCTGATGTTGTGGAGCCCACCCAATGTCCTCTGAGGAAAGAGTGGGGAGTGGGGGTGCAGACCCTGGGGTGGGCAAGGGGTGCGTGGCTAGATCCACATGTGTGCATGTTCCCCAATCCGTGCAGGACAAAGGCTCTGACCCCTCAGGCAGGGTCTGGGAAGTGCTGAGGCGCAGGGAGGGGCTCTTCCTCCTCGCCAGCGCCAGCAGCCACGAAGATTCACCCACCCCTCAGCAGCCACGAGGATTCACCCACCCCTCAGCAGCCACGAGGATTCACCCACCCCTCAGCAGCCACGAGGATTCACCCACCCCTCAGCAGCCACGAAGATTCACCCACCCCTCAGCAGCCACGAGGATTCACCCACCCCTCAGTAGCCACGAGGATTCACCCACCCCTCGATGCTCAGCCAGGACGCGGCCTGCCTGGAGGTCAGGCGGGCGGGATTTAGGGCAACCTTGGGGGCCCGTCTTCTTTGTCACTCATCTTACTACTGCCTCTCATGTGAGACCCTCTGCCTACTGAAGCGAGCCTCTGGGGCCCGGTCAGCCCTCGAGAGAGAAACACGGCTCTTCCTCTGGGGACTCGAGACTGCTTCCAGGTCCCGCCCGCGCTTCTCCGTCCCCGGGGTGCCCAGTCTCTGACTCCGCCCGGGAGGGGGACAGGCCCTACCACAGGTACATCAGGATGCAGGTGTGCTTCCTCAGCTGTGGTGTGCGGAACAGGTCTGCCAGCGCCGGGCTCAGCTTCTCGGTGACGTCCTCGTCCAGAGACAGCATCTAGGACAGAGCGCTGCCGTCACCCGCTGCTGTCACCCGCTGCCGTCACCCGCTGCCGTCACCCGCTGCCGTCACCCGCTGCTGTCACCCGCTGCCGTGCGGGCACAGCCTCGGAGGCTGCCCTTCGCGCCCATTACCCCGGATCCCGCCAGGGCCCCTGCTCCCCAGGGCAGCCCCACGGGTGTTGTCCACGTCATAGACCCGACCCAGAAGTCAAGGCCATGAGAAACCCCTTGCTGGCTTGTCACCTTTAAGTCAGCGGGAGGCTGTGCGCCATTCTTCTGGGCGATGTAAGCCATTATCTTTGTGGCTTGAGTGTTCTTCTTCTGCGATAACAGCCATCGGGGGGACTCGGGCACGCACCTGGGGGCAGAGATCCCCTCAGCCCGCCTGACGTGAAGCCCTGATGGGAGCAGCCCACCCCCCTCGCCCTGGGCCTGTCTCCCTCTCGACAGTAGCCGGGGACAGGGACCTGAGGTCAGGGCGCGCTGGCCCGGGAGGGCCACTCTAGCTCGGTGAGTCCCTGGAACTCTCAGGACCCCTGCTAAGACGTACAGACCAAAAGGGAACTTTCTCTCTGTGGCCTTCACCCCATGGAGCAGGGTCCCATTCTCTCCTGGAAGCCGGCAGCCCGTCCCCCCAAGATGCTCGTGGTCCCCCACCCTCACGTCCCAGCAGGCTGTCTGTCTCCATGTGGAACAAATCTCAAAACCTCTCCAAAACCTCTGCGTTCAGTGTCCTGTAACACCAGACGGCACCATGCTGACTGTCTCCCTCGCGGCAAGGATGCTACAGCTCAAAGACCAGGACCCTCGGGCCTGAGGTTTTCTGAACAGACACAGGGACAGCCCCGCGCCGACCACTGAGACGCAGCACGAGGCCCTTTCCCACCGGGCAGCCTGGTTCACACCGAGGAGGAGCACACAGGGCCGGCCTTCCTTTAGAGACTGGGTCCCCCTAGTGCCGCCCACAGAAAGGATTTGTCCCAGCGAAACGGAGACAGAAGGTGCATGGATGAGATAGTTCTCCTCACGCCCCCTCGCCCTCTCCCCCGGTGAAAACTTATGTGTCTAGTTGCTTCTTCCTGCAGACCCTGCCAGTGCTCACAGCTAAGAAGATTCACACCTCGTCTGGGCTGGTTTTGTTTCTGGCTTAATGTGCACATTCCCCAGAGAACTTTTATTTATTTCATTCATTCATTCATCCATCCATCCATCCATCCATCCCAGAGCAGGTGGCCGCGGCACGGCTAAGCAGATGCTTGTCTGACTGGCAGCATCACACGCCTTTATCTAGGGGGGTGCAAACTGAAAGAGGCTCTGTTTGAGGGCAGCTCCCCGCGTAATGAGGGCCAGCCTGTAGTATTGGGACATGGGGTGCTGGGGTGGCCACCACGCCTGTCTGGGGGTCAAGGCAGGGCACAGTGCTCAGGGCACCGAGCGAGGTCCGGGGCTGGGGCGCAGTACCAGTAGTAGAGCAGGAAGAGGAGGGTGGGCGCAGAGACCACCAGCTGCAGCTCCCGCCAGCGGGGCAGGACGTAGGCCAGCCCGCACAGCAGCATGAGTCCCACGGTGTAGGCCGCCTGGTACAGGATGGCCACTGTTCTTCTGTAGCCCAGGCCCACAAACTCTGTGACTGAACAGGAGACAGGTCACTGTGGGGCTCCCCGGACCCTCGGGAGCCCCGGCCCTGCCCCGCTTCCTGCTCCCCAGGCTCCTCGCTCTGTGTCCATTGCTCCTGACCCCAGTGACCACCAGGCTCGAGTCCTGCCTTCCCCCCGTGTCCTGCTGACACCGCTCGGCTCCCCGAGGCACGCCAGGCTGTCCTGCCCCGCCTTTCTCCAGCTGCCCCTTCCATCCCACACTGACCGTCCCCTGCAGGGGTCAGGACCGGCCGGCCCGCGAGCACATGAGGCCGGTGCAATCAGCACCAGCTCACATCACACGCCTCACCAAACAGCCCGACCAACGCAGCAGGCTAACGTTTAGGCTGATGCTTTTGTATGGCCCTCAGATGACGTTGCAAATATCCTAATGGCCCTCCGCGCTCTCCTCCGGAGAGCTCCAAGCCGACCTGGAGCGTCCGTCATGCCCGGAGCTGCTCCTCTTGAGACGTGTCTCCGAGTGCCCCCCGGGGCCTGGAGACACTTCTGGAGGTGAAGAAATCTGCTGCCCGCCTCAGGGGAGCGAGTCCCAGGCGGAGGGTCCGGAGGGAGGTGGGCCACATGGCTGAGGGTCGTGTGAGCAGTCAGGGACCGGGACTGAGCTCAGCGGGGTGGCGGGCGAGTCCTCCTGTGGACACTGGCCGCAGGTGTCCGGCCTGAGCACCGTGCAGAGAGCACTTTGCAGGCGGGCATGGAGTCTGCGGCGGAACAGGTTGGCGGAGGGGCGGGGAGGAGAGAGTCCTGGTCCTGCCACGCTGAGGGGCCGGGACGAGAGGAGTCCCTCAAGGAGACTGAGAAGGAGCGGCCAGCAGAGGGCCAGCGTGTGTGTGTTCTGCACGCGAGGCCGTGGGGGGTAAGGAGCCGTGGGGGGTGGGGAGCCGTGGGGGGAGCCGGGGCCCAGCATCGCACCGCATCCCAGCTTCACACCTCTGGCCTCTCCTCCCTCTCTCCAGCCTCTGAGCTCCTGGAAGTGGGGAGCATGCCTGATCTGGGTGCCCGCGGCCCACCCCAGGGCCTGCCATACCTACAGCCGCCGTGGCACCACGGGGTGATGACAGGACAGCCACTGTCCTAAGGGACACCTGCCCCAGTGCACCCGCGCACGGCATTGTCATTGCCACTCTGAGGACACGGATGCACGGAGATTATGGAACCGCCCAGACCACACAGCTGGTCGGTGTTGGGGTGTCGCGTTGACCCCGAGTTAGTCCTCTCAACTGTGAGCCAAACGGTGCGTCCATACAGATGGCCGGACGTCCGATAAATACGTACTGAGCTCACGCCACCAGTGTGTTCAGTTTCCCAAGGGAGGAACATGGTCCAAGTGAACCCTGTCTCCGAATGCCAAACCGTGGACGGATTTCAGAGCCGGCAGAACGCGGCTGTTTCTCTCCCGCTCTCCACAAGGAAGCGAAAACGCGCCCAGTTCTCACTGCGTCCGACTCCACCCAGGGCCCAGCGAAGCCAGGTGACTGCCGCGCACCACTTCCTTCCAAGAAATGTTTTTCCTTAATCACGACACTTATCTCTTCGCGAATTTCCGCTCTTGTCTTCTCTCCTAACTCTCGAGTGTCCTTCAAAGCAGTTGAGTTGGTTGGGTTTCTTTTGGGGGAAGCTGGTTCTTTCTTATTTAAAGTTGGACGATACCCCCCCACACCTGTCCCCCTGCTTCCCCCAGCCTCTGTGGACACGTCGGATTTGTTCCTAGGAAACACTGATCTCTTTAAGTGGTTTACGTGTTTCTCAGACAAGGAAGGAAGGGAGGGAGGGAGGAGGAGAGACTAGGAGGTCACATGGCACTAGGCCCTGCCCGTCACACAGACAACGAAGCAGCTAGAGGCACCACAGTTTCTCCAGACCCCACAGACACCCCCGCCCCCAAAGCACCCACCCCCACATTTTCCCCACCCCATTCTACTCCACCACCTGACCTCCGTGGTTCCCTAAGACCCACGGCCACACCAGGCCGGCGATGCTTACTCAGGGTGTAGCCAGCCGTCCAGCTCCCCTTGCTGACCAGCCCCTGCAGCATGCGGAACAGCAGCAGGGATATGTAGTCCGGGGCGACGGCCGTGAGGATCCCCGACACGGCACTGACCACCACCGTGGCCAAGAGACACAGCTTACGGCCAAACCTGCGGGGCGGAGACGGGAGGTGAGCGGGGGCCGCGTGGTCAGGGTCAATGGGCATCTCTGCTTCCCCGAGGGACCACGGGGTCTGTCCGATATCACTGCCCCACCTCAAGGCCCAACCTCGTCGTCCTCAGCGAGCAGTGGCTCTTTCGAGGTTCCTCAGATCCCTCCACAGGGAACCCTGGTCCCTCAGTAACATGGCATCTCAGCCAAGGACAGGGCCCTCCCTCGGCCACTCCGCATCTCACAGGTCTCCTGCCCTGACCTTCGTATGGCACAGGCTGTCTCGTCAGTCACAGGAGCTCAGGGCCCCCCACCGGTCACTCCCATCACAAGCATCACAGCTTTTCTGGGGAAATATTTGTTCTCCCAGCGCGACTAGTGCTCTTTGCTTTCTTTTCCTCGGGGATGTAAAATGGGCACGTATTTGCTCCATCCAGCACCATGCTCGATCGCTGCGGCTTCTCGATCTCATCCCCCATTCCCGCTGGAGGCAGGGAGCCAGGGGCCAGCACGTTCCGGCTGCCAGTGACCCTGCCACCCGGGGTCCCCCTGGCCGCAGGTTCTGCGTTTCTCCGTCAGCCTCCCTCCTAGACTCCAACCCTTCCTGTGTCTACTCCTTGTCTTCTTGCCCCTTCCCCGAGCAGCCTTCCTCCTCCTGTGCTAAATATAGACTCGGAATGTCAGACCTGATGGCCTCAGAGTCCATCTCCACCTTTCCCCAAGTCCCGAGACCCCTGAGTCTCCCTCCCGAGACCCCTGAGTCTCCTACCCAAGACCCCTAAGTCACCCAAGACCCCTGAGTCTCCCACCCAAGACCCCTGAGCCCCTACCCAAGACCCCTGAGTCTCCTACCCAAGACCCCTAAGTCACCCAAGACCCCTGAGTCTCCCACCCAAGACCCCTGAGTCTCCTACCCAAGGCCCCTAAGTCACCCAAGACCCCTGAGTCTCCTACCCAAGACCCCTAAGTCACCCAAGACCCCTGAGTCTCCTACCCAAGACCCCTAAGTCACCCAAGACCCCTGAGTCTCCTACCCAAGGCCCCTAAGTCACCCAAGACCCCCGAGTCTCCTACCCAAGGCTCCTAAGTCACCCAAGACCCCTGAGTCTCCTACCCAAGGCCCTAAGTCACCCAAGACCCCTGAGTCTCCTACCCAAGGCCCCTAAGTCACCCAAGACCCCTGAGTCTCCTACCCAAGACCCCTAAGTCACCCAAGACCCCCGAGTCTTCTACCCAAGGCCCCTAAGTCACCCAAGACCCCTGAGTCTCCTACCCAAGGCCCCTAAGTCACCCAAGATCCCTGAGTCTCCTACCCGAGACCCCTGAGTCGCCTACCCAAGGCCCCTGAGTTGCCTACCCAAGGCCCCTAAGTCACCCAAGACCCCTGAGTCTCCTGCCTGAGACCCCTGAGTCGCCTACCCAAGGCCCCTCACCTGCACTCAGCCCAGCCCCAGCCTATGCCCCTCGGGTCCCTCGCTCCCTCTACAGTGGTGTCATCGTCACCCTGGGCATCACCGCTCCAGGATGTCCCCATTTCCAGCTGTCCTTCAAACCAACTCATTTTAAAGAATGGTCCACACACGTGAACGCCACCTTCTCCTCCCTCGTTCCCCTTCAACCTCGCACGGACAACAGCGTGGGTACGCGTGGCCGGCCCACGGGTTCACTGCTCCTCAGGCCGGTCACGCTAGTTCGGCAGGTAGCTGTCCTTCCGTCTTGCTGCCATTTCTTCTAAACTTCCTGCACAGCAACTCCTTCCCTGCCTACCTCTGCGTGTGGGAGTCCTCTCTCTGCACCGCGCCCGCTTTTCTCCAGCCTGACTGATAGATAGCCTTGAATCCCAGGTCCTGGGGCCCAGCCCCCAGGTACGACTGCAGCCGGACCGCTCTTCTGAGCACCTCACACGTCCAACTGCCTACTTGACAGTTTTGGTTTGTTTTTAATAGTTTTTCATCCTCACCTGAGGATATGTTTTTATTTTTGCTTTGTATTGATTTTTTTTTTTTTTAGAGAAGAAGGAAGGGAGAGAGAGAGAAACATCAGTGTGAGAGAGAAACATCCATCAGTTGCCTCCCATACATGCAATTTTTTGGTGCATGGATGATGCTCAAGCAACGGAGCCACCCCACCAGCTCAGAGGCTACTTTGAACACACCTCCAGTCTTCACGCTTCTAACCCAGAATTCCCGACGGCGCCCCAGCCCCTCCTCGCACAAAGAGTGGCAACACGGTCTGTTTCTGACCCACTTGGTCCCATCTCAACAAATGGCCCCGCCCCCACCCGTTTGCTGGGAGCATAAACCTTGGCCTTGTGCCCTTTCTCTCAGCCCCATCGATACGGTCTGCGGGCAGTGTTGACCTCCGAAATCCACCCTGGATCCCACCTTTCTCCATCCTGCTCCCCACAGACACCCAGAGCACTAGCTCCCATCTGGGCTCCGTCAACTTATGCAAGAGATTCCACTGGCCATACTCTTCTGCCACTGTCCCCGAAAATCCATTCCCCTCCTGAGGTCGGCTCTGCTGCCCAGCGGGATCGCCCCACGTACCTGTCTGCGACATAGCCGATGCCCAGAGAGCCCAGGAAGAAGCCCAGGTTCACGCAGGACTGAAAGAGGCCCACCTTCCAGGAGTCCTCGCACACCAGGTTGAACTGCAGGCCCAAGACACGGGGACGCGTGTGAGTCGAAGTGTTTGTAAGTCAAACTCCACCTCCCATCCCCTCTCCAGGGTCAGCGCATAACCCACACAGGGTGTTTCACATCCTCTTCTCCTACCACATTTTCATAAGACAAGTTCTGGTTTTTCTGGTGACTCTCATCAATGTCATTACACGCCTAACGTCTTGGCTTGACCTCCCTATGTGTGTATTAACTCAAGAGCCTGTTGTCCAGTGTCCTGCCACCGACAGTTGGTTATCAGAGGACAACGTGGCCACTAGATTTGTTTTCTAAAAAGAAGTATAGCAAAGAAATTTTCCAGAAACAGAAATGTAGCAAAATAAACATGTTTTCCAGAATTGGTCGAAAGCCCTCAACCAAGTACAGAGTAACTGCCTACTTAATCATGTACGTTCACCAATAATTATGCCGCTTTTGTCGTGAATGTTGGGGCTGTGAGCTGCAGCATGAGGAAGACACGGGGGCGGGAAGGCAGGTGGGGAGCAGGGGCTCCAGCAAGGTGTGCGGGAGGGACCGAGAGCTGGGGAGTCTCAGGGGGCCACGTGCCCAGACCCAGAGAAGGAGGCATCGAGGTCTCCGTGGAGGGGGCTTCATTCTGTGTGGGTTTAGAGGAGGTCCCCCATGTCTGGCACAAGCGTGGGTGATGCCACACATACCTGGTCACAGGGAAAGCCCCCAGAATGGCAGCATCCTCACCCCTCTTGAGAGCTCAGCCGGCCCTCACCCCTCCCCATTCCTGGCACAGCCCTACTCATGGGGTGTCGGGGGTCCCTCCTTCCCTCCCGTCTCCTCACCGCCTTATTTACTGTGGATTCCTGCCCCCACCCTCCCAGAGGCCCCTGCGCAGTGTGACAGCGGGGCAGCCACTCAGCCACGTGGGCCTCGGTTTCCCTGTCCTGTCTCAGTCCCAGAGCCACTAGGAGCACTGAAGGGGAGAAATCACGGAAAACTATCTGGTAAGTAAACCCCATTCAGCTTTTACAGTGGGGCTTTATTTCCCAGCACCCCTACATCGCAGAAGTTCCCCTTTGAACCACAGCCTTGTCCCGGCCTCGGAGGTCAATCCTTAAGAGGCCCTGGGCTCTGCCCTCCACCAGCCGGGCGTCCTGTCTGACGGGCAGCTTACTTCCGTGGCGTGGGAACTTTTTAAAATAAAACATAAGCGGAACTCCATGTCACCACTGACTTTCAGAAGCTCGCAGTGAGCGGGTCCTGTGGCCCAGGAGTGGGTCAGCTCTGGGCAGGGGCTGCCCGGCTGCTGGGTGCCACACAGACCACGCCCGTCTCTCCAAGGCTGATGTTCTTTCCCAGTAAAACTCAGCAGGGCGCACCCTTCCCCAGGGGCCTCCCATGCCTGCTGGGGACTGTCAGGTGTTATCTGCCTGTCCCAGGACTGTGGCTCTAACTGCCCAACCATCTGTCTGTGGCCTCCACCCACATGGCCCAAGACAGTGAGCCGTGTACACTAGATGTCACTACAGTCGCAGGGCCCGGGGTGCTGTCTGCTATCCTAACCCGGGCGAGCAGCGTCTGTCAATTTCCTCGCTGCCCTTCCGGAAGTGTCCTGGGCTGGCCGGGCCCCTGTGCGGAGGGCAGAGCACTCCCAGACATGGAGAGGGGGGCTCTGGCTTCCGGCCAGCACGCCTGCCCCGGAAGCTGCCCAGGCTCCACCGAGGGTCTGTGTCCAGTCACTGGCAAGGCTGGTACACCTGCCATGCCCCCGCCCTCCCACACTCACGCCCAGCCACTGCCCGTGACACACCTGTGCACGCCGGAAAGGCGGGCCGGCTGCCGGAGGAGCCTGGGCTCCAGGGCCAGGGCTCCCCAGGGCTGCCCACCACAAGAACCCCCGGGGTCACCAGCAGGTCACGGGCGGGAATCCGGGTGAGCCCGAACCAGCTGGGCCTGGAAACAGTGGAGCAAGCCCTGCTCTCACCTCGGGCTCACGCCCCAGGTCAGGGGCCAGGCTGGTGGGGGGAGGCGGGCCTGCGGCAGGGCTTTCTAGAGGGGAGTCAAATGGCAGGAACTGTGATCCTCCCCGTGCCCAGAGGCCACCTACCCGAGCCCCAGGGGCCGAGGCTGGGTAGTCAAACATGTGGCTCATTGTCCTGCCTTCAGCAAGTTCCAAAGTCCCAGGCAAAGCTGAGTTAGGTCACTTCCGCGGGAATGAATAACCGAGCCGAATCCCCAGAAATGAGTGTCCGCCGGGGCGGGGGGCGGCGGCCTCCTGGCCTCAATGGGCAGCAGGGTCCAAGTGGAGCCACTCATCCCGGGGCTACTTCTCCTGACCGCCTGACCTTGAGGCCCCTGTGTCTCATCACCTTTATCGCCTCCAGATAAGTCCGCCGCCCTTCAAAGGCCCTTCGAACCCAGCATGGCACCCCACCCCTCTTCCCGGGAGTTTCTCCTGCAACCGCCTCCCCCTCGATCCGTCAGTCATTCCAGGACTTTCTCCCACCTCACCCATCCTAAATCCGGGGTCACCTGGAAGCCCACAGATCAGTTCCGAAGCTCAGAGGCCCTCTGACACCTGACCCTCCTCTCCAGACAGCTCCCCGCCCCCCGGCTCCAGTCACCCCGCCCCCCCCCCCAGCCAGAACCCTCGGGCAGCCTGGGTCCCTGCTTCTCCCCAGCCCGAGCCAGCCTGTCTCTCTCACATCAGCTCTCCCTTCCATCCCTGTGACAACCACAGCGGTTGACATTACTCACTGGGGCTCATGCCTCAGCCTCCTCGCCCTCTCCCCACCCCACCCGCACGGTGCGCCCAGTGCCTAAACGAGGCCAAACTCTCTCTCGTTTGGCACAAAGGTAGGGGGTGCCAGATTTAGCAACAACAAAATATACAGGTGCCCAGTTGAGCTTGAGTTTAGATAAATAACACTTTATTTTTAGTAGACGTATGCCCCATGCAATAGTTGTATCCTCGGCTTCCGTTATCAGAATCAAATATCGTGCAAAATCTGGGACATAATTATCATGAAAAGGATTCTTTATCTGAATTCTAGTTTAACTGGGTGTCCTGTGTTTTATCTGGCAACTGCACATAGGTTCTGTGCTCTGGCCCAGAGGTGAGCTATTACCCCGACTGTCCCCATGACCACTCTGCAGGACCGTGAACCCGAGCCAATGTAAGAACTCTCTGCCCCGTCACCCCTGAGCCTCAGCTCCTGCTCCCTCCCCATGCTGCTCCCTCTCCTGGCTACTCCACTCAGACGCCAGTTCCTTCCACAGGCCCTGGAACCGCTCAGCAGCTATGGTCCCTCGCAGAGCCTGCTGGCCCCTCTCATTCGCCCATGTGGTCTTTTCTCGCCAGCCCTCCCCACAGACTGCGAACTCCTGGGGGACCCCCCCCCAGCACCCTGCTCAGAGCCGGGTCACCGAGGGAAAGGGCGGATGCTGTGTCTGCTCCTACAGGCAGAGTGCATGAGTCTCGGGCACAGAGAACAAATCGCCCGCCCGGGGCTTCCAGAGTCGTGGTGAGCGCTCAGCTCAGGGCCTGGGGCCGCGTGTCATCGGACCGGTCCAGCCTCTGGAGGACGCCGTGCACGCCAGGTGTTCCTGCACCCCAGGTGTTCCTGCACCCCCACCAAAAGCAAGCTGTGCGGGCACCTGCTCTCGTGCCCCTCCCCCTCCCCCAGAGAGCCTGCGTGTCACTGTGCCACAGTCTCAAAAGGGTCCATAAAGGGGGGAAAAAAATCTAGTGGCTCTTTACTAAAATGCTCATATAACCCATTAAACTAGCCAAGCTAGGCCCCTGGCACCCCTGCCCCCCCACCCCGGGCCATCGGCAGGGCCAGGGTGACGGTTGGTTTGCTCAGTGCTTTCACCGGACTCTGCTGAGCCCTGCAGCCCTGGGAGGCAGGTCACTGTCATCCCTGACGCCCTGGTGAGGAAACCACGGCGCAGAGAGGCTGAGGGACCTCCCCGGGGATGCTCAGCGCCTGCAGGCGAGGCTGGGGTCCAGGCTGGCTGGCGCCAGGCCAGGGCAGCGTCCAGCTGGCTCCTGAGGGGAGTGGGGGATGCACCCTTCAAATGGTGAGGAAGCTGGAGCCCAGGTGAGTTCTGCAGGGTCTTGAAGAAGCGGGGGGCAGGGCCAGGAAGAAGGGGAACCCCAGCCTCCCCATAGACCCAAGTCCACACAGCCCAGCACTGCCTGGCCTGCGACGGCCTCTCCTGACCCCAGAGTCTGTGGGGGCTCAACAGGAAGAGCGCCGCGTGCCCAGGGAGGAACGCGACAGGTGCCAAGTACCCCCTGAATGTGGCTCCCGCCCCCTCTCCTGGTGGGAAACTGAGCCTCATGGGAGTTGTTGTCTGTTTCTTCCTGCCCCTGAAACTCACACGTCCCCCGAGACGCAGGGCCTGCTCTCACCTCGGTCACGATGGAGGAGCCGGGCGTGTCGTACACCCAGCCGTGCCGACACGGGCCCAGCGGCAGGCGGCTCCTGTTGGCGGCCAGGCCGGCCAGCGGGTCCGCGCAGCCCAGGGCGCTCTGGTTCCAGTCCAGCTCGTAGCTGCGGCACTGGCGGGGGAAGGCCTCGCCCTGCGGCCCCGGGCCGGGCACCGTGAAGTTCAGCTCCTCGGCCAGGCTCCAGCCGCATCGCCGGCTCAGGGCGGCCACGCCGGGGCTCAGGCAGCGGTGCTCCGGGGTGAAGCCCAGGAAGACGATGCCCACGTAGATGGGGGCGAAGGACGCAGAGAGCAGGCATAGGGCCAGAAAGGTTTGCTTCTGGAAACAGCCAAACTCCCCGACCTGCTCCAGAACGCTGTCCACGGTGGGCATGGCGGGCCAGCTCCCTCATCGCCTTGACTGGATCTGCATCGGTAGCTGGGCCCAGGGTCAATGTTTCTGCAGGTTTCTCTGCCGGTTTGCAATCAGGTTGCTGTCTAAGCAGGATGCACCCAGACGTCAGCCAACTAGAAATAACCTTTTACCCCAGGGTGCCAGCTTCTGGCACGGGGGGAGGCACGAGGTTACCACCAAGTTGTTTACTTGGGCAGGAAGCAAGCCCGCCGGGCTGAGGTTCTGACTCTTGAAGTAGGGCCCCCCCAGAGCACGAGGGGAGAGCCAGAGCACACCCCGGCAACCCCAGCCTCTCCAGGGCTCTTCCCAGAGATTGATTCCAAAGCTTCTTTTTATAATCCGGATATATCAAAGACGCCAAACTGACCACGCAGCCCAGCTTCAGGTCTGTGAACACTCTCAGCTTGTCCCCCTTTCACGAGCCAGCCCCACGTCCCACAGTGCAGCCCAGCCTCCGAGTGGTCTCTGCTGAGCACCGTGTGTCTGTCCCAGAACCTCTCGGAAGGGGGAGCAGTGATGACCCAGCCCTCAGCAGACCCCTGACTGACTTGGAGCTTTCTCGGGGCTCCAGTGTGCGATCTCTAATGCCCTCTCCCGACAGCTTTCAACCCAGATGCCCTGCTGTCCCTGTGCACACCTGGGAAAACAGGCTCAGGCAGGTGACCACTCTCCAGGTTCACACCGTCACCGAATCTGAGCTCCACAGCCTGCGAAGCTGTACTTGGCTGGCTGGTTCCTGTGTTAGTTCACTTGCTGACTCACAAATAGTCCCTAAGCCCCTGCACACCTCCAGCGGTGCCAGGCTCTGGGACAGAGAAGGGGCGGTTCCTAACTCCACACCGCTTACCACCCACAGGGACAGACTCACAAAAGGACAGCAGCAGTCGGGCGGCATCAGGGGAGCCCCCCAATCTGGCCCTCAGCCGAATGTGCTCCTTACACCCAGCAAGTTGACAGGGCACAGGCGGTCAGCAGGAGGTGGAAAGGCAGGTGGCAAAGTGGCCCAGATGACCCGCCTCCTGGTGTTTGTGCCGAGTACACAGGTGGGCAGGGGACAGCCTGCGGTGGCCAGGCTCAGGTTCCAGGCTCCAGGCCTTCACACCGGGCACCTTGCCCTCCTCGGGGAGATGCACTGGACCTGCCCAGCATGGGGCAGAGCCGAGTGCTGGCAACCGGGTCCTCTGGCCTCCACCCTCAAACACAGGCAGAGCCTCTTACAGCAGGTCCGTGCACCTCACCATGAGGGGCTCCTGGCCAAGAATCAGCGAGAAGGGACCTGGGCAGTGACTGGTGTGGCTCGTGGTCAGCAGCAGCACCAATGAATGAAAAGCAGCCTCTGGTTTGGCAGTTAACCAATCCTCTGGCCTGGGGTGCCTGGGGCTGACTGGGGTGCAAGGAACAAACTCCGCAGACAGACCATTTCCTGCCGTCCTTACCCCACTTGGGACGGCTGGGTGTCCGGGACCCACGTGGGACCTCACCGGCATTGCTGCCTCCCTCGGCAGGCTCCCAGCCACAGGGAATAACCCCAGACAGGCCCTCCGGCCACAGAGGTGGGGCCCCATGGACCCAGGCAGAGGATGCTGATAGGAGACAACAAAGTGCCACCAGGAGAAGACACCCTCCCTACCCCCATTCAGCCCTAGGAGGACATGTGACATTAGGGTGGGCCCCTCCATGTGCACACAGGAGGGACAGATAAACAGATGCACAGGGCACAAGGTGTCCTTTTGTTTCTGGGGCTCTCGTCTCTGGGCACCAGGAGCTGGCTCCAGCCCAGTGGTTGGGTAACAAGCATGGCCCCCTCCCTTGGGGACGGCAGCTCTGAGATCCCTTCCCTACTTGGCCAGAGGAGAGCACGGGCAGGGAGTGGGGGTGGGGCAGAGACGTCCCCCACGCAGGTCCGCAGCACACTCAGTGCCCTGTGCGTAGGTGTCAGCCTCCGTTCCAGAAACCCTTGGGTGACAGTGTTTTGTTTCTTTCTAACAAGGTGACTCTGCTGGGCTCCTGGTCACAGGAAAGACCAGGTCATGGTTAGGAGGTGGGAACTGTCCACCCCTCCCCCACTCTCTCGGGAATGGAGAGGGGCCGGCAGTGTAGTAACTGCAGTGATTGATTGTGCCCACGTGAGGGTGGCAAGCACACCCACACCGGGAGGGTGCCGACCAGCTCCACAGAGACAGGGCTGCTGTGCGTGGGACCCTCCAGACCTACCCAGTGCATCCCTCTACCTGGCTGTTCGTCTGTGTCCTTTATCACGTCCCACAGTAAGCTGGTCGACATAAGTGTCCCCCTGAGATCTGTGAGCCGCCCTAGCAAGTAATCAAATCCAAGAGGAGGGGTCACGGGAACCCCGACTGGCAGCCAAATCGGGCAGAATGTGGGAACCTGGGGACCTACGACTTCTGATTAGCATCTGAAGTGGGGGGCGGGCTCGTGGGACCAAGGCCTCAGCTATGGGATCTGATGCTGTCACCAGGCAAACAGCATCAGAAGCAAGTGAAAAGGTAGGACACCCCGCTGGCGTCGCAGAGAATCGCTTTTGGGGGGCAAACCCACACGACTGTTAGCCCGAAGGGTCAGAACTGACACCGGACGACTCCTGGGCCTTTCTAACATGGGCCAGCTCCCCGGACAGGACAGCTCTGCGTGGGAAGTCGCCGGGGTGTGAAGGTCCCGCTTTCAACACACCATGGGGACAAAGCTGGGTCCTTCCCTGTCCCCACTGTCCCCGCGCCAGGCCAGGCCAGACCTGACCCCCGATCACTCACTTTTCTCCGTGGAGAAACCTGCCCCAGCTCCGGGCAGGGGCTGTCCCCAGTGGTCCCCCACCAGAGATTGGGGACCCTTCCCTTGCCCTGCATCGCCCTCCCGTCCCCGCCCGCCCCTCCAGCCTGCTTCAGGAGCACGCAGAGCCCTGGCCGGTTTGGCTCGGCGGTTGGAGCGTCGGCCTGCGGTCCACAGGAGCACGCAGAGGTGACTAGAGCACCCTGGCGATCATAACTGTAGAGGGAGAAGCACCCAAGGACTGCGGCCAAAGCCAACCGGGAAAGGCCTGGGTGCCACCATCCTGAGCTTCCGGACGACAGCAGGTGCCTCCCTGAGCATACTGCCTGCGACCGAACGTGACCTCGCCGGCGCCTGAGGCACGAGAAGCCAAGGCCCACGGGGTCAGTCCCTCGCCTGCCGTCCCGCCCACGGTCCTGGGGCGGATGCGGCCCAGAGGGGAGGTAAAGGAATCACGTGGGGACTTCCAATAACACTTCCCTCGGGGACACTGAGGTTTCACTCTCGTGTGACTTCCACGTGCCATGTAATATCATCCTTTTTCCTTCAGCCGTTTAAAAATGTAAAGCTGTTCTGCTTGCGGACCACACCGAAGGTGATGGGGCCGGGGCCAGTGATGGACTCAGAGCTCAAGGCCCTGGCTCCGGGGCACGGCAGGGCACAGAATTCAGTGACCTCCTGATGGTCCATCAACTCCCCGTCTTGAATAGAAAGCCTTCCCCAGACTGGTCTCGTGAAAATCCAAAGCAGAAAAGGAGACTGGGGACCCTGGGCCTCAGAAACAGCTGCACCCGTGCTGCGAACCCTGGCTGAAAAGCATTCGGGACCAGCTCTTTGAACGGATGAACGGGCAAGAAAGCCGGTGGAATTTCTGCACCACGTCTTCAGTTAGTCCCAGGGACAGACAGGCAGGCATGGTACAGAGGCCTAGACGGCGCCGCGCCCCGAGCTCCTGAGCCTGGCACAGCCGTGGGCGGCTCTCCACGTGCGCCACCCCCGCCGGGCCCCCCGGATTCACTTCTAGGGCTGCGGACTCTGCACTGTGGACGAGGGCGGGAAGGGAAGGGCATTCTGCCTCCCGCTCTGCGGCCAGAAGTCCAAAATCAAGGGGTGGGCAGGACCAGCTCCTTCTGGGGCGGAGGGAAGTTCTGCTCAGGCCTCTGTCCTTTGCTGTCTCCCCCCCGGGTCTTCACATCCTCTTCCCTGTGTGTCTGCCTCTGGGTCCCCATTTCTCCCTTCCGTAAGGACACTGGTCATGGTGGGTTAGGGCCCACCTCGCTGACCTCCCTTTAGCCTGATTATTTCTGCGAAGACCCTCTCTCCGAATAAGGTCACACTCTGAGGCACCAGGGGCTGGCAGTGCCGCGACCCCAACACGCGAGCGCTCAAATGAGGGAGAACAAACGAAGGAACGGGGCAGAAGCACCCCTCTTCAGTGGTTCCGGGACCTCAACGAAGCTGTAAAATGCCAGCACGCGATAAGGCGCTGGCTCCCCGACGATCGGAGAAGTGGATAAAGGGCAGGGCACCACTGGAGAAGCTGGGCTTGGCAACGAGCAGCTTCCTGCTTGTCTGCTTTCCCGTGACCCCGCGCACCAGGGCGCCCCCGCGGACAGGGCTGCACACCAGGACACGGCACGGCACCCTCGGACCCCCTCCACGGCGCTGCTCTGGCGGACAGGGAGTACTCAGGTCTGCTTTCTCGAAGAGGGGAGACGGCAGACCCGGACGACGCCAAGGCGGCACGGGGGGCTCGGGTCACCCCACACATGGGAAAGACCCCAGAGAAAACGGGTGCTGCTGGGACGGGCAGCCAGCCCGCTGCAGCCGGAGCCCGAACGCAAACACCTGCCACCTCACAGGAGAACAGACGGGCAGCCAGCCCGCTCGGCCAAAAAGCAGTAACACTCAGTTAATAATTTATCTTTTATTGAAATTGTTGAATACTTTATATTACAGTAAATTTGATTGAAAAAAAAATGAGGAAAGAAATCAATTTTAAAAAATACTCATGTTGAAATCAAACGAGCCAGCCACGCCGAGTGCAGACCAATGCATCCGCAGGGCGGTCTGCGTCCCGGTAGGTGACTGCCACTGAGTCTACGTACAATTCTAGAATAAGAGAAAGTAACTCATCAAACATTTCGAGAAAGGAGCCCGAGAGCGGCGGGCAGGGAGCAGGGCTGCCCCACCCGCCCTGCAGCAGAGGCCTGGCCGCGGCCCCTCCGCAGCTGGAGCCCAAGCCCAACGCCGGGGGCGCAGTTCAGGCCCATCTGCTTTCACGCCACCTCCGTAAGTCACTCACTGTGCGGTTTAAGGCTTCTTATAGGTCAAATGGTTGATAAACACTTTTTTCTTAAAAAAATAAGCACAGTAATGGTGGTATCAGGAGAACCTGAAGAGGTGAGACCTATAAAGTTATCTTCTCTGACATCTCAACTCACAAAAATCAATCTTTGGGTGGGTTGTGTGAATTCATCAGCCAGCAAAAGAAATACTGATACATGTGCTCTGGGCACCTAGGACTTTAGATGTCATGCAAAAAGCTGCAGCCGTTACTTACTAAAGGCGTGGAGCAGGCGAACGCTCCGAAGCCTAGGCACTCGGGGACCCGCGTGCGCGCGTGCGTGTGTGTATGTGTGTGCACGTACGTGGGCCCGAAAGAAACAGAAAAGCCAAGAAGAAAAGAGACACAATGGAATATTCTAACTTAGAGGATACATTATTGACCAGTTCAAAATTTCATATGAAACCAACCCAGCACCGACAGCTCCCCCTCGGACATGGCTGAACCAGCACACCCCCTGCCGGCGGGAAGAAACTGTTGGGTGGTTTGTTTTGTTTTTTTTTGTTTTTTTTTTTTCTTTTTTCACAAACCTGAGTAATTGTCAAAGTCAATAAATAGGAGGAGAGAGTTAAATGCTAAAATATGATGGTCAAATACCCTCAGGGCCTAAAGCAGCAAGGGCTTCCTCAAACAGAGCCCTCTGTCCCCAGGCGCGGGGCTCCGGCGCGGGTATGGAGCGCACGGCGGCCACGCTTTCAAATGAGGACGTGGGACAAAACCCGGGGCCCTAGCACCACCCTTTGGCAACGGAAGTGATGCCTCATTCCATGACATGATCGACCACGGATGAGTGGTGCCGGACCTCCTCACCCTCTCCCCCTTCACAAAAATTCTTCCCTTTTGAAACAGTTTCTGTTAAAGGCAAAAATGACAGAAGCATCATTGAGTTGAAGTCTTATTTGGTTGAAGGTGCCTGGCTGGGCCATCGGCCACACCCCTCGGGCACCGGGGTTCAGATGTTTAAGAGGTCTTCGTCGCTGTCGTCATGGAAGGATGCCAGGCTGCCGGGGGCGCCGGGCTTCAGCACCGCAGCGCGGGGTGGGCCCCGCCTCGCCTTCTCGCTCACCAGCCCCACCCGGTCATCCCGGAGCATCTTCCTCGGGGGGTTTCTCATCGGGTGGGTGCTTTCGGGCCCCGTTCCTCTGGCCGAGTGGACGCGCACCTCGGGGATGGTGAGGACCTCGTCCTCGCTGTCCTGGTCATCCCCGTGCAGGGAGGTCAGGGCCTCGGCTTTCACAGACTTGGTGGTGATGTGGCCGTTTTCCTGCCCCTCCTTCCCGGGCCTCGGGGGCGCCACCTGGATCTCCTCCATCAGCCACTCAGTCTCGTTCTCGTCCACCTCCTCCTCCTTGTTGACCTGCCGGGACAACGCGGGGCGCATGGAGCCCACCGAGACCCCGTTCTCCCCGGTGCCCTCCTTCCGCAACCCGCCGAGTCAGGGCCTCTTTCCCACCAGGAGAGGAAGGTGAGGCTGGGACCGGCAGCTCCTGCCAAGGCCCAACCAGGCAGACGGGGCCGCGAGGGGCAGGAGCGCAGCCAGCCCGGGCTCCTCCCGCACTCAAGAGCCAGCGCCCGGGCGGGAAGCGAGGGCGGTCGAGCCAAGACGCGCCTCTCAGAGGGCAGTTGGCTGGGCCGTCAAGAGCCACGAGCACACGAGTGCCCTTCGGTCCAAGCGGCGCCTCCGAAACCCGCGGAAGGACAGCGGGCGCAGGCGCGCACTGCTCCATCACGGACGCGTGTTCTAGACGAGCCCGGGACCCCGGGACGCGCGGGCAGCCCGCGGGACGCGCTGCGGACTCAGCCGCAGACAAACGTGTCCGGGCTCAGGCCAGCGACCTTCCCCTGTTCTGGGCCAGACGGCGGAGAGGGCGCCGAGTCCGGCGGCGGGGGCGGGAGCGGGATTACCTTCGAGTACTTGTAGGACACGTTCGCGCTCCGTCTGCAGCAGGTGGTTAGCTTACTCAGCACCGTCTCCCTGCAAGAGACCCGTCACTCCGCGTGCCGCCCGCCCCGCCCCGCACGCCCGCGGCGCACCCCGCGCAGGACGCCGGCGACCAGCCAGCTCCGCACAGAACGCTCGGGGGCCGGCCGTGGCTTTGGATGCTGCCCACCCCCTGGCGGTCTGGGAGGCCTAGAGCGAGCCTTCCTGAACCCCAAGGCTGTGCCGGACCCTGTGGGCAGGTGACTGACCCCAGGCCGGCTCACACCCAGACCCTCTGCTGGCCTCTGGCTCGTGGCAGATGAGAGGGGGCGGGGGCCCGGAGCTGGCCTGCCCCTCTGCCCTGGGGCCAGGGCTGACCGCACACAGCTCGCACACAGCTCGAGTGCGTGCGCAGTCACGTGGGAAAGTCACGTGCGCTGAGTGACCCCGCCCCACGGAGGGGGGCCCAGAGGGCGGTGCGGCTACGTGACGCCTCCGCGGCGAGGGAAGAGGGTCGGAAGGAACTCCGCTCATGACAGGTGCGAGCTTTCCGTCCCTCTGTGCACATCCAGAGACAGGGGGCCTGGAGCCCGGCCAGCCAGGAAGAGCCCACAGGTGCCTGCCGGGCGCGGGCAGCGGGCCTGACTTAGCACCTGGGGCAGGTCCCACAGCCCTGCTCAAACGGGACACTTCGCCACAGACATGCAGACGTTCGTAAAATGCAACTGGAGACACTCCCATAGTTTTGCCTTAGGACTTTGGTTGCTGTTGGGCCCCAAAAACCTGAACCCAAGAAGCGATCCTGACCCCTGGTCTCGCGGCCACCACCCCCTTCCCGTCCTTACCGTCTCTCCTTCTTATAGAGCAGCAGGGCCAGCAGACAGCCGGTGAGCGCCACCAGCAGCAGGCTGAGGACCGCCCCGACCGCCTGGCTCCTCTCCGAGAGCCCCTGGTGCTCCTGCGTGTCCTCGTCAGCGTCCTCGCCGCCGAAGCCCACCCTGGAAGGCAGTCCTGTCACTCGGGGCACTGCCGCCGCAGCGACGACCCGAGATCCCCCCGACTCAGCAACGCAAAGCTGTTCCGATGACCGGTTCAGGCAGGAACATCGAAAGGCAGGCGGGACACTGCCCCGAGCCACATGGCCATGAGAAAGGACACCAGGAAGCTGAGCTCTGAGGCACATACTCCACGGTCCTTGCTCGTCCCTCTGCAGAGCCTCAGGACACAGATGCAAGGACCTGGAGGTTGACCACAGCCATGTCCCAGGACTCCGCCCCCACGGTGACCCCGGCCCAGCACAGGACACAGCCTCAGCACTCCTCAGGGGTGAGGGGACATCCATGGCCACCACGGGCACGGCACAGGCGCCCATCCAGCCATTCTCCATCCAGGCCTGCTAAGTCCCAGGAGGCAGGGCTAGTGACCAACACAGTTGTTCAGTCGGCCAAGATTCCACAGCTGCCACCCACGTATGAGGAGAAGCAGTGTGTTTCCGCGACACTGAACGGTCAAAAATAACTAATATAAAATTAGACACATCTTCGCCGACCTCTCTCTGCTCAGAGAACGAGACATCGGAGTCATGACACGTCTAGTCCTCCTGGCCCTCGGTCACCCAGGGCCACCAGCCTACAGTACCAGAACCATGCCCAGAAATGCTCCCCCATCCCGAGAAGGCAGACTACGGTGGCAAGAAACACCTGGACTGCTCGGGATAAGAGGAACTCAACGGGCCGTACACAGTCATGAAGTCAGGTAGGTGCTGAAGCAGCTGGCCGTTGATTTGGAAAACTGCTTAATTCAAGTAATTGGGGTCAGACAGCAACCAACAAGACCACAGAAGAGTAACACTCCAATCAAACTCAGCTTATGTCAAGTAAGCCGGGCTCCAGGTCATCAAAGAGAGTTCAGCTCAGCTGGGACGTAACTGCTGCCATATGCTCGAGGGGCCACCGCCACACGACAGACACACGGCACAGTCTGCGGACTGCCCTCGAACCCAGAGCCCGGCTGAGCAGGACCGGCCAGGCACGGGAACACCTCGAGTGACACGGACCCGGTGCTGGACGTCAGATGTTCCTTCTTGCTCAGGTCTGAGTGTGTTTTCATTTCTACTTCTGGTTTCTTCTGTGATCCACAAACTATTTAGAAGTGTGATTTAATTTCCAAACGTGTTTCTATTTTTCCATTAGCGTCTTATCACTGGTTCCCAACTTAATGGCACTGTTGTGTCTTTTATATGGCACCGACGTTTAAAAATGCGTTGAGCCCGCTGCTGTGGCTCAGTGGACTGAGAAGTCCCGGCTGGATTCCCAGTCAGGGCACATTCCCTGGTTTCGGGCTCGATCCCCAGTGGGGGCGTGCAGGAGGCAAGAGGCAACCAATCAGTATTTCTCTCTCACATCGGTATTTCTCTCTCTCACTCTCCCTTCCTTTCTCTCTAAAAAACAAAGTCAATAAAAACATATTTTAAAATTTTGTTGAGGCTTGTTTTACATCCGTGTTCCTGGAAAATTTGGGAGAAGGCTGACTTTTTTCTTTTTTTTCCTGGACTAGCGCTCACAGTAAAAGCAAACCCGGTTCACTGGTTTCGGGTCTCCGAGATGACTGACGCCCACCCCTGCCACGGCCAGGACCCCACACGTACCTCAGAGGGCACACGGCGGCGGTGTACCAGGAGAAGAGGTACTGGCAGTCGGCAGTCTCGTGGCTAAACTCGGGGATCCCGTCCTTCATCAAAGGGTCGCAGTGGAAGAAGATGGTGGAAGAGACCGTCTTTGACTTGTCCTTCCCACACTTGGAGGACGAGGTGAACACCACATCTAGGTCGCCATCTGTCAGGAAGGCACAACCTCAATGATGCTGCCGTCGCTGTCTCAGTAACGGCCGAGTGGTCTTTTCAAGTTTGTACAAAGTTTGCACAAAGTCAAGTGTAAGGGCCCTTCACCAACGCCTGTGTGCTCTTCTTCACAGGCGGACCCACCTTGCGGAGCCGCTGCCCTAAGTCGCTGAGCGACAAAGACTTGAGCCTCGCCCGGGAAGAGGCCTGGCTTTGGTCCTCAGCTAACAGTATGATTTGGAGTGTCTAGGCTGTTGCACCCACCTGGACACAGATCAACCGAGTGAGCTACCAGCCAGCCAGCCAGTCAACCAATCAACTAATCAACCAACCAGCCAACAACTAACCAGCCAATCAACCAACCTGCCACTAACCAACCAATCAACCAACTAGCCAATGAACCATACATCCAACCAACTAGCCAGCCAGCCAGCCAACCAATGAACCCAACCAGCCAGCCAGCCGACCGACCACCTATGCGGGGTTCGTCGGTGAAGGCCTGGCCACCACGAGGCAGTGAGCTCCTGGCTGGTGACGCAGACCTGGGAACGTACCACACCCTGACTCCTCAGGGAGACAGCAGTGTGTCCTGCTCCCTCCTGAACCCTGCCCTACATGCATCTTCCCTTGGCTGATTGTAACCCGGGTCCTTTCTCTGTAGTGAACCGGAGCTGTGACTGACAGCGCTCAGCGTCCTCAGTCCTTCCAGTGAATCATCGACCCTGAGGGTGGTGATGGAGTCCCCCCAAACTGGCAGTGTCCGAGTGAAGGAGCCTTGTGGAGATTCAGCCCCCTCCACATGCTGTGGGCGGCTCGAACTGTTCACGTCAGCCAGCTACAGCCAGAGGCAGGGAGTCCTGGGGCCCGGGCTGTTCCACTCATTTGGACGGATGCACATAAGGCAAAAATCAGACCAGTGCGTTTGCTTTAAAATGCATCTGACGGTCCGACTAAAGGGGGTTGGTTCATGAACATTTTAAAGCTCTCCCTTTGAGGAAGTTAAATACGGAATGATAACAGAAAAAGAGCAATTACCTTGAATGTAGTATTTGGTTTTATCAGAAGTTCCAATTTTCCTACTAAAGTGTTGGTCATTCGGTTTAACCTGGCATATGTTGGCCCCGTAGCAAGCGGGATACTTGGAGCTTGAGATGGAAGAGAGCTGGATTTCATACAAGTACTTGTCCCCATTCGCTCTGATGTCCCCAGAGGCACTGAACGGCCTGCAGAGACAGAGGTTGGCAGTGACTCCAGCAGCCCTTTAGGACAGCCATCCACTGTGACCCCAGTCCTGGGAGCGGGTGTGGGGCTGCGGGACACTCTGGTTCTGAGCCCGTGAAGTCCGGTGGGCACCCGCTCCCAGCCCCCGCCCCGACGGGCACCCACGCCCACTCCCCGCCCAGGCCCGCGCGGAGCAGTGCACCCTCCTCCACTGTCCAGCTGCACACCCACCGCACAGCCAGTCCCCTTGGCCCCCGACCCCAAGAACCTCCCAGTGACACTGCCAAAGAACTGACCATGTTTTCAGAAGCTGATAAGCCCATATATCCCTGATCAAAAGTTGTTTCGCAAGGTTTTGGCTTCAACCCCTGGGCTTATGGTAAAGCAAGGGGGGGAAGAGCGACTTTATCTTTACACTCGAGAGAATTCACCATCTTTGGTGTTAAAACTTCGCGGCTGAGCTACGCTTTCCCTTGTTTGAGGCAAACACACCGACTACCTAGAAACAGTAACTAACGCGCGGCCTGTGGATGTCGCGGCGCTCAGCCAGGGAGCGCCCCGGACTGCCGGCTGCGCCTGGACCACGGCGCAGCGCTCAGAGGACAAGGCTGCACTCACTTAAAATAAATGTCTCCCAGATTGACGCTCTGGCCGTCGGCGGGGTTGGTGATGGTCCCGTTCACCATCTGCACCTCCTGCGGCTTCACGGCGCAGGCAGCCCGCGAGTCCCAGCTGAAGTAGTAGGTGCAGCTGTCCATGTCGAACCTGGAAGAAGGGGCAGGGGCGCGGTCACAGCCAGACCGGGGCTGGACTGTGCGAGGCTCCGCAAGGCGACTGCAGCACAAAGCCCAGGGCTCGTCGTCCATCCGAGAGGACCTCAGGTCCCCATGGGTCTCCACCGCCAAGCCTCCCTCCCTCCCAGGGATGGGCAGGCAGGCAGGCAGTTCTGGCTAAGATGACTATTTCAGTCACTTTCCTCAAAACCATAATAGGAAAGAGGACCAGCTAGTACATCAACAATGTGAAAAAGTAGGCAAGAGTTTAACACAATTTTTTAAATTTAGAAACCATGCAACATCTAAAAGCTGGGGGGGAAAAGTTGCTCCTCGATTTTTAATTTTTATTTGAGAAAGCTTTTAGACTCAAAGTGATCAAGCCTGCGGACAATCAACCACCCCTGGGCCTTCCCTCTCCGGCCCAGCTCGGAAGGGGCTCCTTTGTTCAGAGGGCGGCTCACATGCTCCCTCTACTGGTCAAACGTCCCCCTCACACCAGATGCAGAACTGCCTGGAGAATTCCAGCAGACTCCATGGGCAGCATCCCAGGCGCTGGCCCCACCTGCTGGTGGGTCCCAGACTTGAACACTGGCTGCTTCAGTCCAGTAGCGGTGTGTCCCCACACATTTTCCTGCGGGAGCAGCCCTGCACCCCCAGCCCCAAGTCTCAGCACCAGCCCCTTCACATCATGACTATCAACATCCTGTCCTGGCTCACACACTCACAAACCCCAGTGAAGAGCAGAGAGCAGTGCTCAGGAGCCCCCACACTCTCCGTGGTCCCGAGACCCTCACCTCCGGAATGCAGGCCTGCCCACCGTCTTCGCGCAGGCCAGCTCTATGACGGTGGATATAGTCTTGTTTCTTCCACACTTATCACCTTTGGAATATGTTACGATGACTTTGTCGTCTGGAACACACAAATGATGGAAAAGGTGTTACTTCTAGTGCTTTATGAAAACCTTCAAAGTTGGAAGTCAAAATCTACACCAAGGACCAGGACAGAAAAAAATTGGCTTTCTGAAAACGTATCGCCCGATTATCAGCCCCTGGGCCGAGCCTCCTGGCCGCGGTGGGGAGTCACTGTGGCTGCCCCTAGATGGCTCCCCCGGCGCACTGGGAGCCAGCAGATCACCGCTGAGCGTCCAGCGAAGCCTCAGAGCCCAGCTGGCCAAGGAAGTGGCCGGAAAGACGTCCAATGGCCACAGTAACTGACTCGCAGGAACAGCTGCTCCGGCCGAGCCTGTGAGCAGCCGCTCGCGCAGCCAAAACTAAACCGCCAAAGGGGGTCATATTGTGGGCAGGGAGGTCTAGGCACTCCTGCCTGTGGGGTGACTCTCCCCCCTCGACCTGCAGAAAGCAATGTGGTTTTCATCAAGGCTGAGTGACCCCTCAGGATTTCCTTCTCCATGTCAACAGCTTCGAGCGAAGTCGTCACCTGCGATTCAGTCAGGACAGCTCGACGACCCCACTCCAGTCCAACAGGCGAAGGCGAATGTTTCCTCCTTACTGGTCCCAACACACCCCAGCTACTCCTCACGAAGAAAGCCCCACCCGCCTCCTCCACATAACGAACAGCAGAGTCTCAATACCAACTGCAAGATGCACTTTTCGTTAATACCAAGACAAAGAGCTTCATTACTATTTCTCCAATTGGCAAGACGTTATAAAATGTACCCCTGAATTACCTACACCAAGTTCTCGTGTAACTGTCCGGCTCTCCCCAGTGAACGCTTGCACACGTACCTACACACCCAGGTATTCAGCCCCCGCAAGAGCAAGGATTCACAGGGACCCGACCCATCCTGCCTTCCCCCGGGGAGAAGCACCTCCCCAAGGAGCTGGGCTCTAAACACACCCCCGGACCTGCTGTCTCAGAGAATACCAAGTAGCACTTATTTGACTGTCCCAGGAGTTATCAGAAGGCCTGAGAAACGGTCATGGGAACAGTGCCTGGGAGCTTCACCCCCAGTCTGTGCTGACCCCTCGAGAACACCCCCCCCTCCCGCAGGGGCGGGACCCAGGCCTCACCCACGACATCCAGCTTCTGCGTGTGCACCAGCCCCAGAACCTGCACGTCCCCAGATGCGGTCTTCTTGCAAATGCTGGCCCTGCCGGAGCAGTTGAGGGGCCCCTTGTAGACCTGCTGGCACAGGTTTATGTAGTACCTGCGGAGCACAAGAGCAGGGGCAGGTCAGCCTCCACCTCCCCACTCAGAGCAGCTCTCCCGCTACTTTCCGAACAGCCGTCGTCCGGCAGCAAGGAGCCCGAAGCACCTCTGAGCGCAGCCCCGACACCGCTCTGCAGACAGGTCAGTGCTCCCTGCAGAAGAAGGGGTGTGCCAGCCGGCACACGGGGCGAGCCCTGCGACGCGTGGGGCCTGCTCACCTGAGAGGTGGCTGCAGCCCTCCGAGTCCACGCCCCTCTGAGGCGAGCCCGCAGGACTGAGCGTGCCTGGCAGAGAGCAGGCCCCATACCTGGGGCGGTCGGTACAGTCAATGACCTCGGGCCAGCACAGCCTAAGGAGTTCATGCCACAGAGCTGGGGAATGAACACGCCTTCCAGAAACCCGGCATCGGAAGGCCACCACCCTCACCAACACAAGTCAAATCGAACCTAACTGGATGAGGTCAACAGCTGACCACCAGCTTCTCTGGTTTCCGCTCAGCTCTGCCTGCTAACCCATGCCCGACACCTCGGGGCTGCGCCCAGGAAACACCCACGCCATCATAACCTTCCGACTGACAGCAGTCCCACCCGGGGACAGGAGGGGGCCCACCGCGGGCCCAGGACCGGCAGGAGAGTGAGACGTGGCTGGCGAGTGGGGAAGGTACTCACGAGGCCCCCTGGTGGACAAAGATCCAGGACCCGGTGAGCGAGGACAGCAGCCGCAGGTCGTAGGTCTTGTGCCCCTGGATGAATCTGCACTCCATCTTCTTTGGAGGGCACACAACGTTCGTCTTCCACTCAAACGTCACCTCACAGCCGCGGGTTTCACTGAAGACCTGTGGCCGCCCGACATCCGCATCCTCGTCACACTTGAAGATGATAGCAGACGTCCTGTGGCTGTTGGCTGGGGAGCAGCAGCGCGGAGGGAAACCATCAGACCACAAACAGCCGGTGTCGCACGGTCCTCACACCCCACGCCGGCCTCCCCACGCCGCCCCAGCCAGGCCTCACTTTGTTCAATTCACATACAGCGTATCCCTAAACAGACCAGTGCGTCTCACTGTGCTTAACGACCTTACACCTCTAACACAGTTCCCCAAGGACAGGTGTTCAAACCTGACTAAAGCACCAAAGACAACAATAAGCAAAGTGACAAGACACCCACAATGATCTCTACACGTGTGCGTGGCATCCCACAGGCCAGGGGAAGAGTCCTGCGGCCATGAGCCTCCAAACAAACCACAGTAGCCCCCGGGAACTGATCGTTTATAACTTGAATACACACACCATTCTGCTCCCTGATCACGTACAAGAATTAAGTCACTTTTTACACAGTTTCCTCAGCTCACTTTCCTCGGGAACTCACATCAGATTGTCACACACATTAGGAGGACTCACGTGTCACTGTGTCTAAACATCACAGGAGTGAGGGCTCGGAGCGGGTTCACCATGACACCCCCAGCCCCGGCCAGGCCTGCCAGGCAGCAGAGTCGATGAAGGGCCCCGGCCCCTCCTGATTAGTCACTTGCCTCCCTGCAGACCCATGACAAGCAGTCACTCTGAGGCAGGACTGAGTCATCGACGCTGGGCCTGGTGCGAGGACACGTGTCTCAAGCTGGTGAGAGCCTAGCTGACCACCCAGCATGTGCCCGTCAACCCCGCTGTGGTCTCCACGCACGGTTACGCAACATGAGCCGTGGAATGATTAAAAACATCCTTCCTTTATGAAAAGCAGCCCTGACGAGGAAAACAGTGACATGCGACAGAGCTGCTGCCGTCCACACGGAGGGCCACGGAGGCCAGGCGCCCTCAGAAGCGAGCCTCGGAGCGTGCCAGCTGGGACCAGCCCGTGCCCGGACGGCCCGCAGTGCCCGCCACTTACACTGTCTGCAGAAGCCCCACTCGTGGTCGCGGTCGTAGTTCGCGGTCGTGGCGCACCACAGCCGCACCCTGTTCTCCAGGACACACTCGTCATAGCTCTTCCCGTTGACGATGAAGGGGAACACACAGGGGTCCCCTTCCTCGGTTTCTGGAAAGAACACCGGCATGACCCAGGGCCAACGCGACGGGGATGTGCTCCGCCGCGTGTGGTCACCGATGACCTAGAATGGTCGCGGAGGACCTCCCACACCAAGGGTCACCCGAGACCACCTTCAGGACCACCGGGCCTCCCCCCAAGGCTGTCGGGACGTGCCATCCCGTGGTCCAGCCCAAGGTCTCGCCACTCAGGGTTTGGGGTGTCACGGCTTTCTCCCGCTGCCAGGTCCAATTCCGTGTTTACTAAGAATGTGTCACCCCGCTGCGCAGTTTTACCTGGAGGGCAACTGTCTCCGTTGGCATAACTTAAGATGACTGCTTCGTCCTGGTGCCTGTAGTCCAGCCTCATCGACGCCAGCCGTCCAAACGACACCCCCTTGCTCCCGGACAGCAGACAGACGCCTCCGTCCTTACAACCGCCTTCATCCGGGCCCGCGGCCGCTGTGCACACCCCCAAGCTGTAGGTGCGCGAGTCTCGGGTCACCTGGACAGGGGACAGCACGTGGCTGTGACGGGTCCCAGGTGCGGCGTGAGCACGGCAGGGGCGGCGGGTGCAGAGCAGGCTGCCCCTGCCGTGCTGGTGTCGGGGCCCGGGAGCTCCTCTCCTCTGGCCCTGGCCGGCCTGCTCTCCGGACGCCCGCGCCCCTCCGCCCTGGGCCCCGCCTGCTTCCTTCTGCCCCCCCCACGGCAGCACACTGCTGGCCGTCCTGCGCCACGCCTGCCCATCTGAAACACGGCGCTGGTGAGGACTGAGCACACAGTAGGTGCTCCACGACCAGTGTGCACCTTACCTGCCTTGCCGGCCCCGCCCTCTGCAGGCTCACACCTGCTGCGCACCTGTCAGGAGAGCCCGTCACAGGGCCCAGGGCATACAGTTCGGGTGAACCACTCTCCAGCTGCCCCCCGAGCAGTGCCGGGGTCCTGTGGGCGTGGCCATAGCCGCCCAACTAGGCACCATCTAGATCACAGGCCTAGGGGTCTAGGATCCCCAACCACCAGGAACCGAGGTGGCCACAGCCTCATCGACATAACGAAGAGTCCGTGACTCACAGGCCAGGAGTAAGACGGGCCCCAAGCAGGCTCACACGCGTCTCAGGTCGGAGGGACCTCCTGTCTCCCCCACCATGCCTCTGGGGTCAGTGGAACAGCTGTCTCTCTCTTTTGAGCCCAGGCTGACCACAGTGTAGAACTCCATGTGACGCTGCCCCTCCGGGAACCTGCCCCTCCGGGTACCTGCCCCTCGGGTACCTGCCCCTCGGGTACCTGCCCCTCGGGAACCTGCCCCTCCGGTACCTGCCCCTCCGGTACCTGCCCCTCCGGGTACCTGCCCCTCGGGTACCTGCCCCTTGGGTACCTGCCCCTCCAAGTATGTGGGGACAAGGACGTCCCGCCACCTGTTCTTCGCCTGTGATGTGAGGGCCCCCAGGTGACCTCACAGGGTCATTTAACCCTCACGTGCCTAAGGGTGGGAAGCTCTGAACCAGAAAGCACAGCTCGAGTGTCAGCTGCGGCAGGTGAGCACAGACCCAGACCCCCGACAAGCGCCACCCTCTGTGCCTGCCTCAGTGGTCAGACGTCACATTACCTGAAACACCTCGGACATCAGAAAGAACCCAGGCCCTGGCCTGCCCGCCCCCGGGCCTGGTGCAGGGACTACCTTGAAGGTGCTTTTGGATAGGCTGGACAAGTTGAAGCTGTAGTACAGCTGCTCGTCCATCAGGGAGCAGCCTTCCACCTTCACTTCGTCAGGACAGACCAGCGGCGTCTCCCACTCAAACACAAAGTCGCAGTCGCTGGTCCGCAGCAGCTCGGGGGTCCCCTGTTTGGAAGGAGAGCACAGGTGTTGACGACCCACGTGGGTGAGGCCCGGCACCTCCGCCCCCCCATTGGCCGGCCGAGCACCGCACACAGGTGTTGACGACCCACGTGGGTGAGGTCTGGCACCCTCCCCCGCTGGCCGGCCGAGCACCACACACAGGCACCAGGCTCAGGCACCCTCACTGCCCGGGAGAAGGGTCCTGGCCGCAGCCGAGAAGGAGCGAGAAGTCTCTAAAGGTCACGACAGACATATGTGAAACGGAGACCCTGGCGGAGGAGGAACGTGGGCCTGGACGTGCTCACAGGAGCGTTCCCGCTTCCGGACACGGATATTCCCAGCGAGGGCGAGAGCCACGGCCCGACACTGCACAGGCCAAGCGTGTCCACCAGTGTCTACTCCCTCACTCAGCAGCCACAGGAACAGAGGCGGCAGCTGGTCGATAATTTTATTGTTCATTACTGCTGAGAATCTTTTTTTCTAGAAACTCAAGTGGAAAAAGTATTTCCACTGAAAATAAAAACCACAGGGGAAGAAAAGCACCTGAAAATCTTTCCAGAACTGGAGTAACCCGTGTGGGGGCCCTTGCCCCTAAATGCACCGAACACTGACCAGGGCCATGAGCAGCAGCTCAGACAGGGAGCAGAAGTCAGCGGACACCCAGCCGCAGAACCGCCGCAGCCTCGGGGCACAGCGGGCACGGCACCGCGGCTCATCTCAGGGCGACACCAGTGCTCCTCCTAAGACACCGCCTGAACACGCACACACGCAGGAAGAGACCAACTCGCCTGCCTCCCTAACCAGATCATCCCACACCCGCACACCGGGCCTTTGTGCCGAGAGCCCCCCGCGAGGTTTGGTTGTCGTCCCCGCTCTCAGTTACACTGTCCCTCCTTGTCACTTTCTGCCACTGTCCACATACTGTATCCGGCCAAGAAATCGGAAAGTCATCTCACGGAAACTGCAAGACACGTCAGGGAGCTAGTGTCCATGACCTGAACCCCAGAGCCAGCTGGGCCTTGGAAGTCCATCACTGGGGCTCTAAGAGGGGTCTGGGGATACACAGGGTGGGCAGGGGCAGGGTTCCAGTGCTTCGTATGGACAATGGACAATGACACAATTTCCGTTCACTCACAACCAAGAACCTACTTTGCCCACCCCTGTATTCCTTCCTTCCTTCCTTCCTTCCTTCCTTCCTCCCTCCCTCCCTCCTTCCTCCTTCCTTCCTTCCTTCCTTCCTTCCTTCCTTCCTTCCTTCCTTCCTTCCTTCCTTCCTTCCTTCCTTCCTTCCCTTCCTTCCCTCCCTCCCTCCCTCCCTCCCTTCCTAATGGGGTTGGGGAGAAACATCAATGTGAGAGAGACACATCGATTGGTTGCCTCCTGCATGACCCCAACTGACGAGGGCGACGATGGAACCAGGCACGTGCCCTTGACAGGGAGTCAAACCTGAGACCCTTCAGTGTGTAGGCCAACACTCTAACCACTAAGCCACACACACCAGCCAGGGCCACCTCCTGTGTATTTCTATTACATCACACACACACAGAGCCCTGTCACCAAGTACGTTATTATTTCTGCAGCAAGATGTACGAGTGTCCACATTAGGTGGGACAGACACAGTCCACAGCAGCCTCGGTCCATTCATGTCGAAGGACTGGAAGTTTTCGGGGTTTCATGGACCTCAGGAGCACAGACAAGGGGCAGGGGGGGAGGGGTTTCCACAAGCACGTCCCCCAGCTGTTCTGACCCAGAGAGAAATGGGGGCCATAATCTCCTAATTTTTCTTTTACTCGCAGAGGGCAGTCAAGAGAAAAACATATGCAAAGCCCTGGCCGGTTTGGCTCAGCGGTTAGAGCATCGGCCTGTGGTCCAGAGAGACCCGGGTTCGGTTCCCGCTAAGGGCATGTACCTCGGTTGCAGTTTGTCCCCGGCCCTGGTTGGTCGTGCGGGTGGCAGCCACTCGATGTGTCCCTTCACATCGATGTTTCTCTCTCTCTCTCTTCCTCTCTCTCCCTCCCGCTCTATCTGAACAAAAATGGAAAAATGTCCTCGGGTGAGGATAAAAAAAAAAAAAAAAAAAAAAAAAAAAAAAAAAGAAAAACATATGCAAAGAATCTGTAACGACATATTTTTTAAATGCACCCAGAACAGAAATAATAACCTCCTCCAAAGTCAAATGTACAACTTTGTGGGACCTACTTTGATTCCCGAGGGTCTCCTTTTGTTTGCTAACGTCTGGATCCGAGGTGATTACAGCCTCTGAAAGTCTGTCAGTCTTCCTCGTATGAATCAATCACAATGTTGCAGTTTTGAGAAAAGGTTGTGAGTCTTTTATACATGGGTCGGCCAAGCTGAATACCACTCTTGTACTCAAGTGGGTCGTGTTTTTAAATTACAGTAGCCCCTCTCTGCAAAACCTGCCCTGCTAATTCAGGATGGGCCTGCTCACTTGTAAATTCACACATGAAATTATTCAGGTGCACGACGGCCGGGCGGTGCGATCCGAGGCGGAGACAGAGCACGGGCAGCCTCGGCTCCGAACGGGCTCCGTGGCTTCCAGCCCGGACTGGCGCACACGCACTTCACCTCCCAGCTGCACACTCGCGGCACACTCACCATGCTCACGCCTCTCTTGCAGTGGAAAGCGATCAGCGAGGTGTAGTTGAAATGCTTGTCTGCCTGGCAAGGAGTACTGCTTTCGAAGTTCAAGTACACTTCGTTAGCCACGGAATTGAGTATCGGAGGTCCTGTGACTCGGCCGATGTCCTGAACAAAGAAGAACGCAAACAGTGTTTCAGGAAATTCATTGTTCCCCGGGTTTATACAAAATTGCAAAAATTACACCTCATCCGTTTTGAACATGATTAGCGGCTAAGGAAACCGGGTCATGGCAACTCCCTGGTAGGTCCTGACAGTCAGACGCTGCACAGAACACTCAGTCCGGGGCCATCCCCTCCGATCCGTGGCTGGTGGTAACAGCTCTATTTCTACCCACAGCACTTCAGAGGCTCCAGACTTCAGGCATTTCTCTCCAGTCACAGCGAGAAGGCCGAACCCCGTGTGCCCCACGCTGACCGTCTCCTGCCGAGCCCTGCGCTGGGCCTGCCCCTCCCTTGGCGGAGGGCGCGGCCACGCTCACGCCACCCTTCACCACTCCGCTCAGCACCCAGCACTGGCTGCTCAGTACGCACTTCGGAGCAAATGAACACGAAGGGAAGAACGGTGAACGCCAGGGCAGATACAAGTGCCTGAGTGTGTGTGTGTGTGTGTGTGTGTGTGCACGCGCGCACGCGCAAGGGTGAGAATGAAGCTGTAACTTCCCATTTACCACTGTGGGCGTGTTCCAGCCACAACATGCAACAGCCCCTCTGATTAGAGAACACATTCGTTTTTAAGAGCTGAAAAAGGGTAGCCAGGCAGTACAACACAGCAGATCCCAATCTGCACTGGGGGGCAGTTGACACAGAAGGGCTTCCCGAGACTGGGCTCACCCAGGCCCTGCACCTCCCACGTGGCTGAGGCTGTCAACCACCTCTTGAGCAATTCCTTTGCCCGCTCCTGACAACGCCGCAGATAATGTCCAACTTTTAAAAGGACATCTAGATACCTGACGACAGGGCTCACTATTTAAAGAATACAGAGAGAAATACACCACTTTTGAGATGCATTTCAAAAAATAACACCTATCAAGGATTTGACAAAACACAAATATAACTCATGAAGACAAGTTTTGAAAATCCAAATCTACACTAAAAATGCGAATTTAGCCCTGGCCAGTTTGGCTCTGCAGTTAGAGTGTCGGCCTGCAGTCCAGAGAGTCCCGAGTTTGGTTCCCGCTAAGGGCACGTACCTCGGTTGTGGTTGTACCCTGCCCGGTAGGGGTCGTGTGGGTGGCAGCCAGTCGATGTGTCTCTCTCACACCGATATTTCTCTCTCTCTTCCTCCCTTTCTCCCTCCTGCTCTATCTGAAGATGAATGGAAAAATGTCCTCGGGTGAGGATAAACAAAAAAAAATGTGAGTTTAACACCAAAGTTTCAAGGCAGAGTATTTAGCTATTAGCAAAGCAGCTCTGGCCATTATCACTTTTTAGTAAAGAAAGTGCTTGCATTTCCTAAGCATTGCAATGATACAAGCAACGTTCTTCCTTGCGCTTGACGTAAAAAAGTCTCCCTCGGGAACAACCTTGAGACTGCTCTCATGACACAGACGAGTGTATCTGTGTACGTGTGTTCACGCTGCCTCGCGGCGCAAAGACCTGCTGGCGGCACCCTCGGCGACAGCTCCACACACAAACCCTGGCCGCTCTTCTCCAAGGTCCCAGAACATCGCAGTCCCAGGCCGCGCCTCCACTTTCTGCCTGAGTACCTCCCCGGCGAAAGCAAGAAACACAACGCGCAGGTCTGTTGTTAAAATCGTGCAAACACTGTTTCTGCCCTTAAGGCTTCGCACACTTACTATGGGGGTCCCGTCAACGGGCACCTTGCACACGGCGGCTCCGGCAGGACAAGCCACCCCGTGCATGGGGTTCAGCGGCTGGCAGATGTTAATGTAGAAGTCAGGGTTGGTGTCGGAGGAATCATCCTCGCTCTCGTCATACGCCTCATAGCCCCCCGTGCGGTGGATGAGGGGAGACAGGTCGATGATGGAGCTTCCGTTCTTCACGGAACACTCCGTCTGTTAGAGGAAAGAGGGACCTCACTGGAGTGAACGGTGAGATTCTCCTGATCACCATTAAGTCACCCACAAGAACTTAAAAGCTGAACAAGAAAGCACGAAGAGCGGATTAACGTCCCCAAACGCTTGTTTACGTAACATTAACTCCTGAACCAGTTATTACTGGGACCGTCAGGAGTGGATGAGACACACGGGGTGTCTGCTGGGAGTGACGACACCCGGGAGCTCCTGGGCTTCGGGTGCACCCACGTGTTTCTCCGATGCCGCCTGTGCCCGGCCGCAGACTCACCACCTGCTCGCAGGCCAGAGGCGTGTGCCAGGAGAAGAAGAGCGTGCACGTCTGTTTGTCCAGGGAGATGAGCATGGGCTTGTTGGTGGGCCCGGCCTCGGGCCTGCACACAAAGCTGATGACACTCTTGTACCTCAGGTTGGATTTGGAAGGACAGAGGGACCCTTCCTCGTACACCAGCTGCAGGACCTGGTCCACGTAGCTGAGCCTCTTGCTCGCCTTGCCCACACTGATCCTGGTCTGCCCGAAGCAGGCCCCTGTGCCAGGAGAGCGGGGAGGAAGAAACACCGTCACGCATTCGAGCAGCCAACTTCCGTACGAGATCTTCCTGCAAATCCAGACTTTCAAGTGCACAGCAAACACCCACAATTCAGAGTGTCCAAGGTGGTTTTAGCAAATGTTATACGTCTGATATTTCTTCACAAGGCCACGTGTTCCCCCCAGGTCAGCTGCCCGCTGCAGGTGAGGACGATGTGACCTTCGAGGCTCCTCTGCTACTTGGCTGGAGGAACGCAGAGGCTGGGGTGGCAGGAAGTCTCGGCACTCACCTACGCCGGGAGAGCAGTTTTCATTCTCCCCACAGATGCTGATGTAGACCAGCCCCTTCTCGCTGTATGCGGCCGTGTGTCCGGAGCTGCCACTCAGAGAGTTCAGATCAAACAGGTGTCCTGCAAGGGGTCGGGACGCAGTGACTCCAGGAAGCCGAGTCGGGGGCCCACCACACACGGATCACACTAGCTGTCGGGACCCCTGCCTCCCTCATAGACACAGCCCTAAAAATGCTCCTGACTGGCCAGCCGCACACGAGGCCCCCAGCCCGAGTCTTCCGTGTCCGTCCTTCCCCAGGAGCAGCGGCTCCCAGCACCCTCCTCTGGCGCTGGGCCACGGCAGCCACTCGGTGCTGCTGGGACTGGGAGGGCCCAGTGGCGCCACGCCAACGCCTGGGCACCGCCACCTGCGTCCTCCAGGCCCCCAGCAGACTCGGGAGGTGTCCTAGTTGTCCCCCGTGAACAGATACCAAGGAGGCTGGTTCTGCAAGCCCAGGGCTGCTGGACAGCACCCGCAGACTCAGGGGTCACGGGGGACATGGCTTCCAGGGAGACGGCGGGGCTCCCAGGACAGCGACAGAGAGCAGACGACGGGCCCAGGGAAAAGGACGGATGGACACAGGCCGGATGCCGCTGCCTAGGTGCCCTGCCGGCTGCATGCTGGGGCCCTCACGGGGGGCGGTGACCGGTGGCTTCTCACCTGTGACGGGGTTGGTGACTTGGCAGTCACCGTGCACGTTGGTCTTCACGGGACAGGCGGCGGCAGTGGGCCAGGTGAAGGTGTACTCGCAGTCCTCCACCGCGCTGATGAACATGGGCCTGGAGTTCTAGAGCGAAGAACAGTGCGTTGCCGACAGGGCGGTCTGCTGTCCCGGGCAGGGCCTGCCCGGCAGCGCACCTGGGCTCGGGACTCCTGCTCTGACTTCTACGAAATGAGGCTGACTTAGGAAAGGCGAAGGGTCAGCTTTGCTCCCGAGACACCAGTGGGGGCTCCACAGATGCAGGGTGAGGGACGGGTACCCAGAGCCAGAAATCCGCTTAGGGGACCGGGAAGGTTTTCCTTCAGCGAAGGCACAGGGCGGGGCTGGGGACAGAGCAGGCGAAGGTGCTCGAAGGGCCCGCCACTGACTCTGCGAATCCCTCCACCGCACCGGCCAAGACGTGCTCCACGCGTCCTCAGAGCTGCTCGCCACCGGTGCTCAGCCTCGTCCGCACCCACACCCTCCGGACGAGGCCACCCTGGCCAGCCCCCTGGCACCGCATGCAGAGCCCTCACTTTCCCTCCCCCGGTCGGTCAGCTTTCCTCCTCCGCCGTGAGCCTCCCGGCTCACAGAGTCGAAGGTCTGCCCAGAGCCTGGCCGCTCAGTCTAGGCTAAGCCCCGCAGTCTGCCCCAGAGAAACCTCAGCTGCCGTCCAGTCCAGAGGGCCAGCCCCAGGCCCCGAGCCCTTGTCCCCACTCCTCCTGCTACTGTTGGCCAAAGACAACTGGACAGAGTGGGCAACCTGTCCTCACGTGGAACAGGCTGTCTAGCTGGACCCTAACCCGAACTAGCCGCAGCTCTACTCTCCCACAGTGCAGATGGGCTGCACCCTGATACCCCAGCGCCCGAGAATCCACTGCCGCCGTCCGCAGCCGCGCTGCCCCGGCCAACCCGCCTGGGAACGGTCACTCACGTCCCAGAGGACGGGCCCGGCCGTTCCCGGTGCACCGACCACACCCCAGAAACGGCACCCGACACTTGACACCTCTTCTCTGTAACCCTCAAAACAACTGGGCACGTTGGGCAGGGCTTGTGTTATTAATGGGTGAGAGCTCAGTGCGGGCAAGTAATGAGCCACGTTCCTCGGTGGGAAGGGGGAGCGCTGCCTTTGACCCAGGTCTGACCTTCTGCTTTCCCAACGGCCCCGTGAATACAGGAGCGTGTTGTCCAGGATCAGTTTTCTCTACAGTCTCTGGGCCCTGAGTCAAACTTTAACCGGAACCCACGAACTCTGAAGCTACAAGGGCCAGGCCGGGCATGTCCGGGCCGGAGGAAAGGCGCCCAGGCCCACGGGGCAGCGCGACACTGCCCTCACCTGCGGAGGCGCCGTCATCCGGAGTCCTCCCCTCCCGGCCGAGGGAAGGGCAGGTCGGCTCACGACCCTTGGATTCCTCCTGCCCCCACAGCACAGCCTCGGGCCGAGGCGGCTGCTGTCACTTACGACTTGGTTCTCGCTGCAGGTCAATCGGATGGTGGTCGACTTTTTCCGAATCTGGTCCGGACACAAGTCTCCATCGACGTAGGTCAGGACGGTGATGCCATCTCTCCACTGAGGGCCATCTCTCACCCTGCCGAGATTCACGGGCTTGGAGCCGTTCAGCAGACACACAGCCGCCTCCGGAGGACATGACTCTGCAACAGGGGGACGAGGAAGTGACCGTCCGACACCTTCCCGCCTAGAACTTCACTGTCCCTGGGAAGTGATGTCAGACACTCTGCGCCGACTCCAACAGTCGCTCTATGATAGTCTACTTCTTCTACGTCAATCAGAGGCAAGGATACCACGAGTCCTCACTCACTGTAATACTGTTTGACCAGAGACGACTGGGACAGGTATGCTGAGAATTCGAGGTGTCACAGCCTGAATTACTTCTGAACCTCAAAATTCATGAAGCTAAAATACCTAGATGAAGCCAAAGGGGCATTTTAAACATCCTACATTCATGTGCCCTCTTTCACCAAGAAAGCACCAAGAACTCTGCCCCTTTCTTAGTCCCCAAATGTCCGTGCCATCTGTCCTGCTCCACAGACTAACACCGATCTGCCCAGCACAGAGCAAGTGAAGGGGCCCTGACCTCAAACCACACGGAGGATGAAAACCACTTTCTGTAGGTGAAACCCAGAGCCCCAGGAGTCGAGCCTCACAATGTGTGGGCAGGGCTACTAAAACTCCAAAAAAACGGGACAAGTTTCGTCTTCAGGACTTAAGGGGCTATGGGTGGCACCCAGTCACTGCAGAACGCTCCTGGTCCCAGTGTACGGCTGACTTCTGTTCTCACCACCGGCACGGAGGCCTGGGTGAGCCCCTGCACGGCAGGACCAGACACCCATGTCACTCTCAGAAGACCCAGCAGGCACACGCCCTGTCTCCATTCCACATCCTCCACCTCCTGTCCTGCTGAGAAGAACCACCTGTCACCGTGATTCCATCTCCCCACTCCACACACTGGTTTATCCTGGGCCACGCCAGGGGTTGGTCATTAAGATCCTGAAATCAGTCTTCCTGCCGCTTCTTGGCCCACCCCCCCGTGTCACGGAGAGGATGTGCCTTCAGAAGCCCACACCGACGCATTTCCCCAGAAACTGACCACAAGCCTTCAGCCCGCCGAGAGCCCTCTCACCCGTGCCGGGATGCGGAGACAGAGACTTGCAGACGTTGATGAGGTAGTGCTCGGTGGCTCCTGTACTCGTGACCGCTTCCCAGTTGTCACTGTACCTCGACAGGGACGAGAGGTCGTAGTTGTTGCCAGCCTCGTCTCTGCAGGGAGAACACAGCCGTCAGGCTCAGCTGTCTCGTGCCTGAGCGTCAGCATGCGGCCTGGACAGGCTCAGGGTGTGGGTGCCGTCCTCCCCGACAGCCTGGGACTCAGATCGTCCCCAGGGACTGAAAACCGGGCCGCTCCCACCAAGTCGGAGCCAGCGAAAACCCAAGTTCAGGAAGCTTCAACACTTAGTCCAACACGATTGTGTATCAACAAAAACCTCCAAACACCAAGCTGGGAAGTGGGTGCTCTCTGTGCACAGGCCAGAGAGAAGACACAGGTAAGCAGCTGACACCAGGAGCACCCCAGCAAAGATCCCTCTCAGGGTCAGGCCACCTGCTGTCGAAATCTGAGGCCACCTACAGTCACTTAAATTAAAATGGACCAGTGTTGACCCTTCTACTCAGGCTAACGGTTTTCTTACTACACAAATCCCAAATGCAGACAGTTACTGAGAGCCAACCCTACACCAGGAGCAGTGTTAATGGTGAGTGAGACCAGCACTCGATCCCCATGGGGTGACAGGTCACGGTGAAGACAGAGGAACAGTCGCAGTCACCACTTCATTAGATCCGAGCATGTTTGAGGAGAATGAAGAACTTCCATTTATTCAAAAAATACTAAGCACTAAGCTGAGAGTATTGTAGTAAACAAAATAAATAAAATCATCTCTCTTATAAAGTTTACAGGAATTACAATGGAAGAAACCATCAAAGGGATCGATTTTTTTAAGTGTATAGTATAACAGCTGTCAATCAGAGGTGAAGAGAGCAAAGGCGAGAAGGGGGTATAAAGTTTGGGGAGCGAGAGAAAGAGATGAGTGGTCAGAGAAGGCCTCCCTGGGAAGATGACCCAGCAACTCTGAAAAACAAGAAACAGCTGGCCATTCAGGGACCCAGTAAAGACCACACGCAGAGGGACTGGCAAGAGCAAAGGGCCTGCAGCACAGTGAGCCTGGCGCATTCTAAAAGCAAGGTGCACCGTGTGGCTGGAGCGGAGCAAATGTGCAGGGGTAAAGTAGCCAGGGGTTAGGTTAGGGGTACCATGAGGCAATATCAAGTAGGCTTTTTAGCTCAAAGCAAGAAGTTTAGCTTCTAGTTCCAACGACACAGGAGAATCATCGTATTGAACAGTTGCAGCAGAAGAATGGTCTGAGCTGACATACATTTAAATAGGATCATTCTGCCCTGACCAGTTTGGCTCAGTGGTTACAGTGTCTGCCTGCAGACCAGAGTCCCAGGTTCAATTCTGGACAAGGGCACATCCCCTGGTCAGGGTCATGCAGGAGGTAGCCAATTGATGTGTCTCTCTCACATCGATGTTTCTCTCTCTCTCTCTCTCTCTCTCTCTCTCTCTCTCACCCCCTCAACTCTATCTAAAGATAAATAAAAAAATATCCTCAGGTGAGGATTAAAAAAGAGAGAGAGAGAATCAGCAAAGTGGAAAATCGGTCTAAGGAAATACAATACAGTGCAGAAAGGATATTAAAAGACATGTGGACAGAATGGAGAACTGAAAAGATACAATTAGTAAAAATTTCAAAGGAAAAGAACAGAATAGGTTACAGGCAACATTCAAAGACACAGTAACTGCAAATTTTCCAAACTTAAAAACAGACACGGATCTTTGGTTTTGGAACGCACCCACTTCCAAGAACATAAGTAATAGTAAATCCACACATAAACAAATCATGCTGAGATTGCGGAACATAAGAAAAATATGTAAAGAAAAAACAGCTTATCTACAAAGGAATGAAAACAACTGATAGAGAGCAGATTCTCCCATAGCAACAGCATGCACTGGAGGCTGATGGATTACCTTCAAAGTGCTGACCAGAACAGCAAACAGAACTACTAATCTAGAATTCTGTACTCAGCAAGACTCGTGCAGATAAAATTAAGCCCTTTCAGATAAAGACCAAGATTTCAACCCTGCAGACTCTGCTAGAACGACCAAGCAGTGTTACTAAGTGTGGTCTGCACCCCAGGCCCATCAGCCCTGGCAAAAGGAGCTGGGACATGAAGCAGTGAGTGGGACACACTGGTTCCTTACTTCACATGAAGCTCATCTACCTGCCGGTGCTCCTTAGCCCATCACACACCAGCAGCAACTGGTGACAAGCTACACTATGAGTAGCACTTACACTCAACAAAGTACCTAAAGAAGCAGGAAAATTAAATCAAAACAAAGAGGTAAGATGCAAAAAGAAGTAATAGGGTTATTTCTTTTGCTGTTTATAAAAGGAAAGTCACATAGTCAAGTAAACAATGGTGATTTTTTAAAAATCACAAAAATGACTTCTTTGAGAGGTAAGAAAACAAGTCTGAACTACTGGATGGCTGTACCGTGAAGGTGGGGGGAGGGTGTTCCGCACTAAAGCTTTCTACACCATCGCACTGCTGGACGGACGGGCAGAGTTACTGATCAACGTTGGCTTTTTGTTAAGTCAAGAACACATGGTTAAGGCAGTCATTAAAAACATGAATTATAATTCAGGGAATAGATGACAGGGTTTTTAATAAGAAAAGAAAACTTAAAAATTATCATCAGTATCCTCAGAGATAATTAAAAGAACTTATTAGAAATTTAAAATAAATATTTCCAAAGGACAGTTGGTAGAAAAAGTTCAGAAAGTGTTCCAGAGTGGAATAAAAACACAAGGGTCAGCAACAACTGTTCACCAGCCATGCAGGGTACTTGTAGAAATTGGGCCAATGCCTTCAAAATGGAGAGGAAATCATTTTGCACCTACAATCCTACACCCAGCTAATCAGATTTGACAGCAAAATTAAGGCACTCTCAAACAATGTATGGGCTCTCTCTCACACCACCTTTCTAACAGGCGTGAGGATATGCTCCAACAAAACGAAAGGGACATACAATCCAGGAGGCAGTGGCCTATCCAGGCCCAGAGCAATCCCAGAACAAGCACTTCTCAGGAGGCCAGAGACCGTCCTGGGAAGACAGGATTCCCCATACACACAGCGCCACAAAGAACCCAGTGGTCCTCGCTACAACAGGAAAGCACGTTATTCTGTCAACAACAAAAGGAAAGACACTACAAAAATGCCGAGGTTTCAAAGCTACTGAGGTCACCACATTCAAACACGGAGCCAGCAAACATGCGGCCTGATTCTTCGAAACAAAAGGAAAGGAAGGGACTCTGGACCTAAACAGCCTATTTCCTTCCAGAGGAACAGGCCAAGGGGCCCAGGGTTATGCCATCTCTCTGCAGGCCCAACCACACCATGTGATTTTGCAAGATATGATGTTTACACGACATTGTAAATGCTGTCCGTCAGTTTTTATTTCTTTGCAATCACCCTGTGAATAAGGCAGGGAAGACCATTAGAGCTACCAAACGTAACGTTAGTGTGACAGACCCTGACGAGGGACTGCGGCGGCGGAGAGGGAACAGAGAGTGCATCTTCACCGCTGTGACCCACACAAGCAGTGTCCGAGGGGAGAGCAGAGGCCAGATGACGCCCTGGTCACTCCACTCCACTTACACCCGGGAATCACGCAAGGCTTTCTGTTTTGACCGCAATCTCATTCCATGTGTCCTATCACAAAATAATCACCCTCCGTCGTGAAGGATTTAGAGCTTCACCTGGTCCACCTCCCGATTTTACTGTTAAGGAACTAAGCACAGAGACATCACCTGACAAAGGTAACCCTATACCACAGACCATTAACCATCAAAACAAAATCCTATCAAGTTTTCGACTGTCCACAAAGCATTACCTCGGGCACTGACTTACTTGAAGGAACACTCGGTCAGGTCGAAAGGCGGGCAGGCGTACTGTGTGCGCCACTCGAACAGGTAGGAGCAATCCGAGGTCTCCTTGAGAAACACCGGCTGCGAAGTCAGGAGAGACACACGAACATGAAATGGGAAACTTCCATTAGTTTACATGTTGAGTTTTAAGGATAAAAACAGTAAGGGATAATTATGTTCACTGAAAACTACACAGATTCATCAAGGTTTCAACACAGTCTCTGTAAGTAACTTATTTAAACTGAGCTCAGCAGGAGCTGAGACGAGAGCAGATCCATTTTATAAAGACAGGCACCCCGAAGGTGAGGCGTGCCCCACACCGCCAGGACTCCCCTGTGGACCCCGAGCGCTCACCTTCTGGGTGCTGCGGTCGCAGTAGAAAAAGATGGTTGTTGAGCGCTGATACACCTTATGGCAAGTGTCCCCCCCAGTGTAGTTCATTTTCAACAGCCCATTCTCGTAAGTCACCTTCTGAGTAAGGAGACCTGTTTAAGAAGCAGCTGATTAAACACAGATCAGTCCAGGAAGCCCCAGGTCGCCACGCTCAACATGAGGACACACTTTGCAACACGCACTCTGAGTAAACAGACGACCACGTATGCCGGGCCTGCCGGCCCTGGGTCACCTGCTCTCTGTCACACTACAGCAGGAACAATAAAACCAGGCTTCTCTGGCCTAGGGTTGCAACATTACAGACTAACCACAGGACAGATGATACACAGACACTCCTCAGCCTGATCAGCCTGTCACTTCCTCTCCTCAGTCCCCAAGGGCTGCTACACACCACAGCAGCTACTTCAGCTTCTTTTTAAAATGTTCTTCAATTGCCCTGGCCAGTTTGGCTCAGCGGTTGGAGCATCAGCCTGCAGTCCAGAGGGCCGGGTTCGGTTCCCGCTAAGGGCATGTACCTAAGTTGCAGTTTGTCCCTGGCCCTGGTTGGTCGTGTGGGTGGCAGCCACTCGACGTGTCCCTTTCATGTCGATGTTTCTCTCTCTCTCTTCCTTTCTCTCCCTCCCACTCTGTCTGAACAAAAAATGGAAAAATGTCCTTGAGTCAGGATAAAAAAAAAAAATGTTCTTCAACTTACAATCACTTGCCCTGCCGCTGATGACCAAGAGCCTGCCCTGTAAGTTTTAGAACCAAACCCTTTACTAAATGTGTCCCTTTGACTCAATTCTAGAAAGTACTACTCAGAACACTCATTGCTGGCTAGTTCAATGGGTCGCAATGTTGCAATAATGGAAAAGAAGTAAGATCTCAGAATCCACAACTGGTATTGCTAAATAAGAATGAAATAAACTAAACTCTAAAAAACATGCACAGTATTCAGTAAGAAAACTAGCAGACACATCGTTAATGAGCTGTCCCACGAGAACACAGCAGTCATTTCTCCTGTTCAAGAGAGATACTCTGTAGCATACCATCTTCAATATGTAATCCCAACGTTTCCAAACAAGAGCAAAAGAAAACCCACAGTACCTGCCACTTTTTGGAATCCCAGAGGCCCCCGCTTGTGCTGACACGACGAGATGGCCTTGGACTTGTCGTTGGTTGAGCAGACATTTGAGGACAGCTTGCCACAGACCCGGACATAGTAGGTGTATTCCCCGGAGCTCACGACAGTGTCGTTCAGGGCGAGAGGCTTCAGGTCGTACAAGTGGCCGTGCCTCGGGTCTCTCACCTCACAGTTGTCTCCTGCAAGAACACGTGACGTGAAGGGCAACTGCCATTCACATTTGCAGACAGAAGTTAGACAATTTTCAATCAGGCATGTGCTATCTTAAAACAGGCATCAAACACGTGTCCACATGGTCTCGTTTTGTTTTTATATATACATACTACAAACTGCTTGGCAAACAGCATTCTAGAAAAGCCCAGGACACAGGGTAAAGATGCACTTAATTACACCAAACGATTCCCCATACATGTGTGCTCAAGTGTGAGAGGCCAATGACCTGTACAGGCAGGTCCGTGAAGACAACACCAACAGTGAAGCTGGCAATGGGATGGGGTAAAATAACTCAAGGATGAGAAATGATCTGTTTGTTCTCATCACTATGTGGGGCACCTAAAACTAATATAACATTGTATGTCAACTGTAACTGGGGAAAAAAGTTCCCTAGATGATATTTAAAAAATAGATAAATTATCCATCCAATAATGAGCATTTCCTGGTCACGCTTGTGCCCGTGATCACAGGGTTCTGCATCTCCGGGGCTGTGCAGAGCACCTGCTCCTCGTACCCTCGCAGCCAGTGAGCTGGGCCCAGGCCTCACCTTCCGCGCGGACCACGGGGCAGGCTTCCACGGTCCTCCAGACAAACACGTACTCACAGTCATCCAGCATCAGAAACGTCGGCGAGCCCTGGAACAGAAATCAGCAGCTTGCTTGCTTTTCATTAAAAAAAAAAAAAGGGCCCTGGCCGGTCTGGCTCCGCGGTTAGAGCGTTGGTCCTGGGCTGAAGGCTCGATTCCGGTCAAGGTCATGTACCATGGTGCGGTTTGCTCCCCAGCACTGGTTGGGGTGGTGCTGGAGGCAACCAATCGATTAGTCTCTCTCGCATCAATGTTTCTCTCTCTCCCCCCAACTCTCTCCCTCCCTCCCTCCCACTCTATCTGAAGATCAATGGAGAAAATAACCTCGGTTGGAGAATTTTTTAAAAAAAGGGAAATGATGCCACAATCGATAGCCAACTTCTCACCTCCGTGAGAAAAATGCACAGCTCTTACTAACCCCGTGAGGCCTGGGGAACAGCACCGTCCAGTCAAACCCTATCAAGTGGCCTGAAACCCAGGGAAACACCGTAGATTAAACGAGACAGAGGATCCAAAGGTCGGAGGGGGACGGGCCTGGAACCGACACACGAGACACCCGCGCGGCACACGCACCGACGTCTGAGCGCACTCGAGCGTGATCCTGGTGGAGAAGCGCTGGCTCCCGCACTTGTCCCCGTTGACATAGACGATGCTCAGGGACCCGTTGGCTGCAACCTGAGGGCTGATCTGCACGACGCCCAGGTTCAAGCTGTTGTCTTCAGACACCAGGCACGACCCCACTGCATTGCCTGCGAAGAGCCGGGAAATTCGTTGGGAGGGGCGGGGGAGGAGGGGCGGGGAGGGGGGTCGGGGGGGGGGGCGGGCGGAACAGGAGTCGCCGTCTCTGAACTCACCACGGCACCCGGGGATGTAAGGAAGGGGGGTGCACACACTCAGGTAGAATGTCCTCTTGTTCCCGTCGACTGAGGAGTCCACAGCAATCCACGGCTTCCGGACTTTGCTCAAGCCACTCAGATCGTACTCATTTCCAGCGAGGTCTGAAACACAGTGGGACACGCTGCGTGGCGCATCCTCGATCACTTCTGAGCACGACCTTCCCACCCCAACGAGGGCCGATGCTGCGCGAGCCGACCCGACACGACGCTCCCGGCGAGAACGTGAGGCGGTCCCGGAGGCTCCCACACACCTCAAGCCCGCCCAGACCCGCACAGCTGCTGTTCACGACAAAGCAGCAGGGATGAGGAGGGGCTGCCCACGGGAGGGTCCCGGACACCGTTCAGCCTTGGGCCACCCTCCGCAGCTTTATGCTTTTCATTTTTCCTTCCTCAAATAAACATTCTCTGATAGTGTATTTGATTTTTTCCCCCAAGTTTTCTTCTCTGTACTTAAGCAGCTTCTGGTCCCAAAATATTGCTTCAACCTATAAACTACCCCAGATTCTCTTCAAGAGAAACATTCCAAATCTGAGTATCATTCACAGAAAATGTGTGACACAAACTGCACACTGCCTGTAGAATAAAACACACCACACAGGCACACGCTCTCACGTGCACACACACGCTCACGTGCACACACACACACTCACGTGGACACACACGCACATGCATGTACACACGCTCTGGCCGGCCTCTTGGCTCCTGGTCCTCTGGCCTTACCTGTGACCTGGCAGTCCACTGGAGAAGGTACGCAGGCCAACGCTGTTTCAAGCTCAAAGAAAGTCTTCCGGATTTCCAGGCCAGAGTCTATGTCCTGATGCAGGAATTTGGCGATCCCTGGGTAAATGTCATCATTGCACACGAAGCGGATGATGAAAACATTACCGGTCTCTGGGGAACAAGAAGGCCAAACTGTTAGGACAGCAGCAGTCACATGGCAGCCCTGGACAACGCTTCCGCTGGGAACAAGCCACAGGCTACCTCGGACACAGTGACATCACAGCGCCAGGTCCGTTTCAAGGGACCCGATCTGAACCAGGGTGGCCACATTCATTGCAACAGTGACCCACGAGCAGATGGGGTTGCGTCGTGAACCTAATGTCTTGGCTTTCATACACAGGGTGGGGCAAAAGTAAATTTATAATTGTAAGTACACAAAACATTTTACTCTGATATTATTTATGAATTACTATATTATTTCACACAGGACTAACTGTAAACCTACTTCTGCTCCACCCTATACTCCAGAAAATACACAAGTGCAAAATCCATTACCAATGAAAACAACGTAGCTCTCCTCTACTGGTTTGATCAACAATATCTGCGAAGTTCCCATTACACACGGGTGACAGACAAGATTTCCTTCCTGTCCAGGGCCCCGGGAGTGAGCACGTGAAACGCAGCCTGTGACTGGCCAGGAGGTGAGAAGTGTAATGAAGGAAAAAGCAAGACAGGCATAAGGAATTCCAGGGGTGAGGGGATGAAATGTGACCATTTTAAAGGCAGTGGCCGGCTCACTGAGAAGGTGGCTCTCGGCTGGTTCCCGAGGAAGGTGAAGAAACGGACCTCGTGGCCATCCTGAGGGAAGGGCATTGAGGGCAGGGGGGACAGCAAGGACCACGGCTCAGGAGGGGTGAGGGGCAAGAATGTGCCTCGATGGCTTCAGACCAGGAGGTGTGAGGAGAGTGGTCCCACCGAGAAGAGAGGTCCCGAGGCCACGGCGAGAGCGCTGCCTTCCACTCGGGTGCGGGGCTCTGACACGGAAAACATCCTGGGGCTGCCGAGCTGAACACGGACCGAATGGGGCTGGAAGGGAGGTGGGCGAGGAAAAGGCGGAACCGCCACCGAGAGGCCCCCGCAGCCCAGGGACCACGGGGTGTGCGGGCCGAGGCCGCAGGGGTGAAGAGCCCATTCACACACTAACTCCACGACGCTCTGCAGAGGTGGCCCGAGGCGTTACATGTGCATGTAACACGGCAGGAGACTGAAGCCAGGAGAGACTAAGGAACAAGCTTAAGGTCACAGTTAACAGTACAGGCTCTGTAGCTGAGCCCAGTCCCCGGAGCGCTGGAGCCCGGATCCAAACCCAGCAGAGAGTGCACGTTAGCGGTCGTGGCCGAACGACCACAGCAGTAACCCTGGGAGACGGGATTCCTTCCCAAAGTGGAACTAGAGAAGGAAACCACATATCAGTGTCTAAGCTAGACCGTTCTATAAACAGTCCTGTGAAACTGGACAGCAAAGGAATTCTAAGAAAGAATAAAGCATGTGGTTTTTTTTGGTATCGGGATGACCAAGAGTCAAAGAGTTTTCCATCTGCACAGCAAAGGGTGACCACCACCCAGCTCTACTAGAGTTCTCCTTTGACCAATTAAAATGTCTCCCTGGAACTTCCATCTCCGGCCCAAATGCTCGCCAGCGACGACAGCGAGCGGCCTGGCTCCTCCTGTGAAGGACGACTCTCCCAAGAGCTGCCAGCAGCCCCCAGGCCTCACAGGGAAAGATCCCCAAATCTTAAACGACCCTTCGCAGGAATCACGAAATGATCCTTCTGTGCCTGTCCTGTTCTCTCCCTGGTGTGCCGAGCTGTGGGTCACCTAGGAGCCTGGGTGTGACGCACACGGTGAACAAGGACTGTGGGCTGTCACACACCCTGGTGTGCCGAGCTGTGGGTCACCTAGGAGCCTGGGTGTGACGCACACGGTGAACAAGGACTGTGGGCTGTCACACACCCTGGCGTGCCGAGCTGTGGGTCACCTAGGAGCCTGGGTGTGACGCACACGGTGAACAAGGACTGCGGGCTGTCACACACCCTGGCGTGCCGAGCTGTGGGTTACCTAGGAGCCTGGGTGTGACGCACACGGTGAACAAGGACTGCGGGCTGTCACACACCCTGGGGTGCCGAGCCCTCTGACCACCCCCTTCTGGATACCAACTTCGACTGATGGCGTTCGTCGTCTGACTCCCCCCGAGTTCACCACGAGCAGTGGGAACAACAGACTAAAAGCCGGAGAGGTGTGGATTCCAACCCCAGACCTGCGCCTCCCAGCTGTGCGACCCTGTTTCTCCCACCGCAGAAGAGGACGCATAGGCGCAACAGGCAGGGCCGGCATGAGAATCAGAGCACCTGGGTCCTGACCTGGCTCTGTCCAGCGCAGGGGGCCTTTCCGGGCCTTCGGCACCTATCACCCAAGAGGTGGTTAAGCAGGAGGGTGTGAGCACCGGTGAGGGCTGAGACGGGCTGGGTGAGAACCCCGACACCCCAACACAGGAAGCGCTTGATCTGGTGCAGCTGTGCCTCCACGCCTGGCGCCCGCCCCCCTCCCCAGCTTTCACCACCCCCAACCTTCGTTCCTCCCTCCCCCGCCCCGCCTCCACCCCCGGCCCCTGGCTGCGTCTCCCACTTCATGACACCAAGCTCCTGCTGCACAACGCAGTTGCAGAAAAGAGTACAGATGGTAGAAAACTTAACATAGCAAAACTGAGTATCAATACACAATGAAGACTGAGTGGGAGAAGAGGAGAAAACAAAGTAATTTTTATGACTGTCACCCATCGCTCCTTCAGTACCTGGAAGAGACAGGATAAAGAAAAGGGACAACGTCCCGTGTCAGAGGGACAACTGACGGAGGACGCTTGGGAGGAGGGGACTAAGGAGCAGCAGCGGTCCGGCAACCTCCAGTACAGGGCCACACGTGAGGGACCTGGACGAGCGCAGGGACGCGTCCGTGGTGCGCGCCCAGAGGCAGCAGGACTCCGAGACCCAGCTCGGCATTTACGTGACACTCAGAAAGGGCGGCAGCCACAGAACCCCCAGGACACACGTCGGCTAAAACAACACGGCTCTGGGCTCACCTTTGGTTTCGGAGTAGGGTCCCTCGTAGGTCAGAGTGATGAAGCCCTCCGTGGACAGCTGGAGGGTTTTCTCGAGCCCGACCAGCCTTTCTGGCTTCAGATCCTTGAGATCTGCTGTCTGCGCCGGTGCCTCACAGCCAGAAGCTGGCATCCCGTTCAAGCTCCCGCACACCGACATCGTGCCGCATATGTTAAACTGCAGGCCGGGCGGGAAGAACCGAACCGTCGCGCTCAGGCTGTGGACTCACCACGAACGACAGCCCTGTGACCCAGACCCTGCCAGACCGAACAGCTGGCCTTCCCCGTTCAAGTCACCAACTCCCACCTTTGGGCGGAGAAGTCCTGGAGTCAGCATGAAAAGCAAAAATCAAAGTCCAATGGCCCATAATTGCCTCCGAGGCTTGGCACGTTTGTTTACACAACCCTGTACCTCCAGAGGCACAGACACCTTTCAGATGACAACGCACCTCGTGTAACAGAGGACGCATGTAAACCATAATGTTACAATATTTTAAATTAGAGAAAGTATACATAGCTGAAATCACGTTAGTTAAAAGGAAGTATAATGTGATACCCCTAGACTTCTTGATGTTGGTATCCTTCCATTTCAATTCAGTTACAATCCCTGCAGTTATGAAAATGAAGACTAAGCTCCTCTCGGTACGAACACAGACAGGAAAGCCCTCTATCTGTTGAGTGTGCATGGACATCGTATACAGAATGAACGACTACGTACAGGACACGTTTTTCTGAAAGACCACATCTCCTACTTCAGAAACGGTCAGGTAGGGCAAGGCCAAGTAGTAGGGATCATCTAATCTAACCGTTCCATAGGGATTTGGGTTATCTAGAACGTTCTCTCCGGGGTTCAACGAGGTTCTCATCTGCCTCTCACACTCTTACAAGCAGCTAAATACACTCACCTACTGTAAACCTGTTATAAGCCACCTGGTATGAGCCAAACTCCGGAGTAGCAATTTGGGGTGCATGGCGGGGGAACAACCCAAGTGCTGCTGAAAGACACATCTCCCGGGGGTCCCCCTAGGCTGTGGAACAGCTGTGTGCGCCACTGTCTGCCTGAAGAGCATCTACAAAGCCCCCTCTGCATCCAGGTTTTACACAACAATCTCCTGCCAACTTCCTGCTTCCAATGTGGATTTTGCTACAGAAATTTAAACAAACTAAACTATTTTTTAAAGTTTTTCCTCCCTTTCTAGTGGTGCTTAGTTTATGATACAATGGCATTAATGAGACTCCCCACCTTGCTGCCCCAGACACACCGTCAGGACTGTCTATGAAGGCAGCTCCGGCAGAACTCTAGAACACAGCCCTCCAGCTCGCTTGCCTTTCGCAGGGTAACAGAAGGCCCGTTTCCTCTCGACTAGGGTTCTCAGACCCCGGGGGCAGCAGAATCACCAGGAAGCGTGTTCAACCACACTGCTGGCCCCACTCACGAGCACCTGTGTTTCTGACAAGTTACCAGGTGTAGCTGGCCCAGGGACACCTGCTCTAGACAGACTAGGAATAACTTATTTCTGAAGACTAGCTCCCTGCATCTGCACTGTACCGGGATGGGGCGATGGCTTCACCTCATTTCCCCCTTAAATCGGGACTCTCCCGTCTCCTCCTGCTGAGAGTCACCATCCCAATGCCCTGAGCAACTCCTCGGGCCCCTGCCTCCCCGCCCAGCAGCTGGAGGCTGCAGAGCACTCTGCCCTCTTGCGAAGCAAACCAGAGTTCATCACGAGGCTCACCATGAAAGTCTTCCCGATGCCCGAGACCACGTAGCCTTGGGAACTGTTCAGCGGGTTAAAGTCAAACACATACCCGCTGTTAGGGTCCCTTATGGAGCAGGCCTGCAAGAACAAGGTGGGAAGAGACTCAAACCCAGGCCTGAGGGCAGAGCACACAGCACCCCCAGACCCGGAGCTCTCCGCGGATGGAGACCCCGGCGAGGAAGCAGCCCTCTGGCCGCGCCCTGAAGTCCGCCAAGTGTGGGGCTCAGACAGGACACTTACTTGGAAGCTCTTAAATCTGCTCTGTTTCCCCGAGTAAGACCAATGCTGACCCCCCCCCCCCCCCCGCGAGACAAAAGGAACAAAGAAAGACCCATAAATAACTTTTTAAACCAACTTAAGAAAGTTGATGTCAGTGTTGTTTTCCTCTCAGATGTGCACTTGAAGGCAATGATGGGAAGGACAACGAGGTTCCTCACTGTCCCTCTCCTCTAGGTGTGATGAACCTCACCCCCCCCACAACCCATGTCTTTCTTCTGCCCCATCCACCATCTGCAGGGGAAGGAACGGCAGTCACACCCCAGAAAGCACTGACAGAGGATGGGGCGCAGCACCTCTGCCTTCCACCCTATGCCGGGACACCATTCGGGTAAGCCTAGCTCTGCCATCAAGGGGTCCGCCCCTGGCCAGCTCTCAAGAAGGGGGGAGGAAACGCCATCCCATTACAAAGGAAGACACCCAGAGCTATGAAAACAGGAGCCGCCCTCGGGGGTCAGAGGACACGCGCAGGACAGGGCTCCCTGAGGGCAAGAGCCTCGGCCAAGAAGCAGACAAGCCCAGACCGCAGCGGGCGCACGGCCCAGGCAGAGGGGACGGTAGGAGAGCAGCTGGGATCAGCGCTAGAACCTTGAGTGTCAACAATAGCACAGGTGGGCTGCTTCCCTGGTGGCAGGCACTGAAATACATATTAACCACTCAGATCTCTGCAGTGGCGAAGAGCCCCAGACCCCAGTGGGGTGCCACGGCCGCACTGAAGGGGAGAGGGAGGAAGCAGGGGAAAGGATCTACAGTAATCAGAGAGTACAACTGGACCTGGGGATGGGGGGAGGGGTGAAGCATGGCTCCCAGGCGCCTGCCGACGGCACAGAGGGAACGGGAGGGAAGGGGGCCCGCAGAGCGGGGCGCCGGGCGGGACTCCCAGGGCAGCGCGCAGAGTGGCCCAGGCTGGCACACGTACCTGGTCTGTGTCCGTCGTTATCTGGATGGGACAGGCAGCCTCTGTATTCCACAGGAAAGTGGCCACACACTCCCAAATGAGAGAAAATATTGGATGGGTGTTCTGAAAGGTCAAGTCCAGAAGAACAGTCAATCTAAGAAAACGGAACTCAATCTAACCCAAAGAAATCCAGAGAGGTCCAGCTCATTCTACAGAATGGCTGCAATCTCCTGATACTTTATTGTGTGTCCGTCAATAGGCTAGGCAGGTGCCTAGTGAGCATTACTTAATTACAACTTAATGCCCTCATTATTCTTATCACAGAGATATCATCTCAGGCTGAGATGCTAAGACATTTACCTGAGGTCACGCCAGCAGAAATGGCAGAACCGGGATCCAAACCCAAGTCTCAGTCCAAGTCCACGTTTTCACAACGCTCCCCGCCAAGAGTGGGGAATACAACCCCAGGACCAAAGACTACAGAGTGCGTGATCTACGCATGCTCAGAAACAGGCAAACCTGGCTTGTGGCATTAGAGGTCAGGACAGGGGTTGAAACGTGACCAGAGGGACATTATGGGGGCTCCTGGGTCCTGTTCTGTTTCTAGATGTGGGGGTGTCTGCTTACACAGCCAATTCGTAAAAATGCATCCAGCTGTTAGTACCTTATAACCTGTGCACTTCTCTGGGAATTTCGCAACGAGCTCCCGAGCTCGGGCCATGCTGCCTGGCATGACAGCGCCACCCGGTGACGGGCAGCCGCAGCTGCAGTGGGAGCGTCTATCGAGTACCAGGCACTGCTGAGAGTTGTATCAGCATCTCTCACCTAAACCTCACCATGACCCCTCGAACCAGGTTCTGTAATTACCCGACATCTGCATACAGATGAGAAAACTGAGGCGCAGAGAAGTTAAGACGCCTACACAGGCTCACAGGGGAAGGAGATGACAGTCCTCCCACCCCAAGCCCACACCGGGCCGTCCCCCACCCTGTCAGCCTGAGTCTCCAACGGTGAAATAAAAACACGTCCGCCCGCCTCGCCTCACAAGCTGGCTTGAGAAGGAACTGAGCCTGAGCCATGACAATTCCGTGACTTGCACAGCGCTCTGTGGGCGTGGCCCTCTTCCCTCACCAAGTTATTTCCTGGCCCACGATACGGACCCGGCCCTGTACGAGGTATACAGTAACAGTGTGAAATTGCTCTGGAAACTAAAAGGCACCATCTGAACCAGGTGTCACAGGCACTAAGGCTCCAAAAGAACTTGCCGGAACCACCCAGCATCACGTTACCAGGAAACCACCGGGCAGGCAGGAGGGTGAGGCTCCAGGAGGCACACACAGATGTGCCCAGGAGGTGGTGAGGGCCCAGACGGGCACCCAGGACTCCTTCCCGAGACGGCAGGAAGAACATGGCTGCCCAAGCTCGGGCCATGCTCAGCCAGCTGGCAAGTCCTCCTTATCGGAGAGGGCTTGAACTCTAGGGAAATGATCTCTTGGAAGAGTATCACGTGTTGGCAAAACACACAGAGAACTTGGGGTCTGCAGGACGGGACTGTACTGCTGAGAGAAGTGAACACCCTTTGCTACTTCTCAATAAAGCCAGAAGAAGCTGGAATATACCCTTAACAAGAGGACTTCTAAACAGTTTATTTAGTAAGAAATGTGGATTTCAGAATTGCCACTTTGTGTCTCCCTGAGTTTGGCCATCACGTGAAGAGCACAGGACGCAGGTGTGAAGCGTAACTCCAGGTACCGGGGCGCTGCGGGGTGAGGGGCCCTGGGAAAGGAACCAGTGCTGGTGCGCACACGGAATGCACCTGACGCCCCTGAACTGCACAAGCGCTTTAAATGGGGAATCGTATGTTATACATTTTTTGCCATAATTCTTTTTTTAAAGAGATTGGGACTATACAGAATGACCCCTGAAGCATTTACACGTAGAGTTCTCTTCTGTTCTGCCCCAGCTAAGGAACTCAGGGCCCAAAGCAGCCTCCGTCACCGTTCTACTGCCCAGCCTTAACTTCTTTGTCCTGTTCTGCCAGTGAATTGCACATCTGTCCCTCACTGTCTGTCGTGGGCCTGAGCTGAACCGAGCCTCAGCTCCCTCATCTGCAGACTGTGGATGGAACCAGCTCCAGACCCTTTCTCTGCCACAATCATCGGGTCACTGACTTGAAAGAACGGGCAGGGCGGTGCCTGTCCAACTCAGAGAGAAACTCAAGTCTACAGACCACCACCCAGCGCTGTCACACACCAGCAACGAGAGAACTTGCTTACACTCCAGAGGGTAGAGACTCGAAAGCCTCGGGCGAGCTCCTGCCTCCTCAGTTCATCACGGGCTGACCAGAAGCACAATTAGGAGGGATCTAACCCTCCACCCACCCCAGAGCCATCCGTCTCCGATGACACACACCTTAGGCAGCACTGGTCACAGCCGACCCCAGAACCACCCCAGCCCTGGGGCCAGCAGCGCCTTACCAGGCTGCCCCTGGAACAGACAAGATGGATCCTGGTGGTGTAGGTGGTCTGCCTCCCCTCGCTGGTGGTGCAGGCCGAGCCGTTCACATACTCGATCAGGAGGCTGCCACTTTCCTCCACCGTGGGGCCTGTCTGGGCCATCCCCAAGTTACTGATGGAGACTGCTTCGGAAAACACACCCTGCGAAAACAAGCAGTAAACATAAACAAACAAATAACACCCTGCCAGCAGACATGTCCGTCAGGCTCCCCGTCTGACTCCATCACTACTCCCGCAGATCCTTGTTATTCACAGCAGTCTGTGGTCTATAAAGTCACCGTGAACTCGGAGCTAGTGAACACGGAATACATACGGGGAAACCTGTAACTCTATGTACACAGATCTCACTTAGAATATGATCTTAAATCCTCAAAACAACTCACGCTGGTAGATTTCACTGCCGTTACAGTAAGAAAACGATGTTTAGACATGGTGGCCTGTCCAAGGCCACCCCCCAACAGTCATCAGATGCAGGACTCAAACCCCATCCGCCCTGCCCGGAGGCAGGGCCCCACACTGCCCCACCCCCCATCCTCTGGTCATCTGGGTAGGAAACAGTCCAGGATGCAGTGTCCCCTTGTTCCACCTCAGCAGGGACCATGCATGTTGGGCCACCGTGCCCACATCCCAAGGAGCTGCGAGAGAGCCATGGCACCGCTGCTGGAGGAACAGATGTTAGCACGCAGAGGAATCCGCTGACACAGAATCTGCGACATCAAGCGCTGACTGTCCTGAGACCACTGCTCCCACAACGAGCAAACACGTAGGTGCACGAACACACCACAGGGAACTCGGTTCACCACCACCGCAACACCAGAACCTCCCGGCTGCCACGAAACACAGGCCAGGAAAAGCACATTCCCGGTGTCCTATTTTCTTTGTTGATTTTTTTAAAGAGACAGGAGGGGAGAGATGGAAGCATCGATGAGAGAGGACATCGACTGGCCGCCTCCTGCATGCCCCCCACTGGGGATGAGGCCCACAACCTGATCGGGAATCGAACTGGTGACCTCTTGGTGGATGGGTCGACACTCAACCACTGAGCCACACCAGCCAGGCCCAACGTCCTATTTTTAAAGAAGCACACATCCATCCACCTTTATTTTAAGACTCACTGTGTCAAGAGCACAGGAAATATACCAAATGGCGGATAGTAACCACACTCAGCAGACAGTGAAGGACAGCTGGGTGCCCGGGCGAGAGCACACCTCGCATCTGGTTCACCCGCTGCAACTCTCCCACTGGTGTCCCCCTTAATTAGCCAGAAACGAGAGCTTTTGAAAGCAAACACTATTCTTTAAAGGCACTTTGGAATTCAGGCTAGACACTCTGCCAGAAGCTCCCTCTGCCGATCCAGTGATCAGAGTGACCAAAACCAAGGCTCGCTTGGGGTTTAAATCTGAACAATGAGCCACACACAGTCGCACTCATGGGAGGCCCCGCACCTACTCAGCAGCCGCGCTCAGCAGCCAGCCCTACGCTGATCCGGGAGTCCCGGAATAACCACACCCGCCCACGGAGGCCTACGCTCGGAGGGAGAACCAGATGACCAGGCCGGCCCTCACTTGATTGTTCTCGTATCTCATCTGGCAGGCGGCGGCATAGCGATCGCAGCCCGGCACGGGGTTCAGAGGCCGGCACACGTTTATGTAGTACTTCCTCCACAGGCTGTGCTCTCCCGCGCTGTCCAGGGCGTACCAGTTCCCTTCACGGCCACCGTCAGACTTTGCAAGCCTGAAATTTCAGAAGGAAAATATATGCTTTCAAAGACTGACAAATCACTACAAGGAGTTGGAGAACCACGGAACACACGTGCCCTCCCAATCACACTGCAGGAGTTGGCTTCACTGGGACGGAGGTCACCCATGTGCTTGACTTCTGTTCCAGACAGAATTCCGCGCCCCTCGACCTGCACCCACACCTCTGTCCTGACAGTCATTGACCTGGATGATGCAGCCAAGGGCAGAGGCTTTGCGGTGCAGACAGGCTAACGTCAGAGGCCACCAGACCACCATTAGACTTACTCTGCTTCAAGCTCCCCATCTTGGTCCTACACCCCAGAACTAACTGAACTGCCTACAAACGGCCCAGGCCCGTGCTCACCCGCAAGGCCTCAGTGTCCTCAGCACTGGCCGCACCCAGGCCCAGGCCCAGGCCCAGGGCAGGCTGACCCCTCACCTGGAGAGGTCGTACTGCTCCATGGAGGAGGAGTCGGTCACCACGCACTCCAGCGGCTCCTCTGGGCAGGCATAGCTCGTGTACCAGCGGAAGTTGTAGGTAGAGTTATCTTCCTCCTGATCGCACAGCAAGGGGGCGAGGGGGGGATGGCAGAGAGAAGGGGATGTTACGCACAGCCGGGATTTAAAGAAACATGACAGGTACGTTGTCTATAAATAAACACTGTAAGGAAAGCTACCTTACCCACCTCATTTATTAAAAGGAAGAGTGTCCCGTGAAAAGTTAAAGACAGAAACCCAGTCTCTGTTAAGTGGGAATGAGAGATGGTTTGATGCTTTTGTGTTCTGCACCCTCACCCACCAGGGCTGGGCGCTGTCCCTGAGGACGGCCCACTGGAGAAACAGCTCAGAAAATGAAAACTGAAGCAAATCTAAAATAATTAATTAAAAGCTCAAGAGGTGACAACCTGGCCAGAATACCAGACAGCCTGACAGTTTATCCCGGGGACACCCTGCCTCGCACCCCACCTATGGTGAGAACCTCGTCTCAGCCCAGAAGCCCCCAGCCCTGTCACAACACCCTCTTCCTCTCTCCTGCCTTTGCCAGACGACGTCGCCCCCAGCCCCCGCACGCACAGCACATCCCTACCTGATACTCAGGGACGCCCACGCCAACGTCGCGGTCACAGAGGAAGGTGATCAGTGTCGTTCTTGGGGTGTGCTTGTCATTATTGTAGGACGTGCCGTTTTTGTAGCTCAACTGGATCATCCCATCATAATATGAGAGTTTAGCATTACTCTGCCCCAAGCTCCAAGCCTTCTTATCACTAAGACAAATAAACGTCTCTCAGAGGAGATCGGGAGACCAGACACACGGTGGTGCTGACACTGGAGGAAGGGCAGTGCTCGGGGGGCGCTGTGCCCAGGGCCCGGGGCTACAGACCACCCTGATCCCAAGTCAGGATTTCTAAGCCCAGTGTGGGGGAGAGGGTCACCCCGCCCCCACCCCGGAACCCACACCCACTACTGGTTGAAGGCACACCTCACTTCGTTTGAACTAGCGAGTGAAGAAACATGCACACACATCTCTCTAACGACCGAGAAGAGCCAGCCACACCGAAGTGGGGCCTTAGGGAAACCCGCTCCTCTGCCACGGGCTTGGCGGTCCCTTCCCTGGGAAACAAGACTTCCAGCATCCCCTGGCTAGCAGGCTATGTCTTCTCGGTGTCTCAACGCAGAGGACACGCCTGTTCCTGAAAATGGCTGTCACCCAAGACACCTCCGGAAACACCCGAGCTGACCGCGGAGACTTGCCTCTTGGCCACCTGACAGGCGCCCGCGCCCGGCCGGCAGGAGCCCAGGGACACGGCCGCGCACACGTTTATGTAGAAGTCATACTTCGCCGTCTCCACCCTGTAGCCGTCTTTCCTCGTGAGAGGGGACAAGTCGAAGGAAAACCCTGCGAGAGGGAAAGGGATCAAGGAGCCGCCTCAGCTCACAGGTCAGGCAGAGACCTTCCTCGGGGGGCCGGCAGCAGGGAGACCGAGGCAGGAAAGAGGCTCCCTGCGGGCCACCGGAAGCACAGCTCCCGACAGTCCCGGAGGAGGGGCCATCGCATCTACGCTGCTAACCTAAAGTCTATTCGACGCCCGAAACTGCTGGTCAGAATAAGCCACCGGCACCTGCACACAGGACGGGTACCCCATGGGGCCTGCATGGAAGGCTCTCTGAGGGTTTCGTGGCCAGAGCCTCGTGGGAAAAGCCTTTTCCAAGATGATGTGTCCCTTCGTGGCCCTCAGGTTCTGCATTCAGCAACCCTGCCTCCACCACGACTTTAAGGCAGGTTCTTTATGATCTCAGTTAAGCCTCCAACATCAGATTTTCAGATTTTTGGTCAAACAGTGTTACTATCAGTCTAAAGCAGATTATCTCTAAAACACTGATAGGAAATATTTTTTTAAGAAGCCTACGCAGGTCCAGGTGGGCGGAGGCCACACGGGTGCTGCTCGGATACACACCTGCCTGGGTGTCTAGGACGGTGCAGTTATCGCCCGCGGTCCGGGACAGCACGCAGGCCGCGGCCGTGTGCCACTCAAACTCGTAGGAGCAGCCGTCCTCCCCGGAGCTTCTCAACACGGGAGCGCTTTCCAGATCACCTGTCAATAGGGAGGAAAGAACCATCACCCACCGCCCCCGAAAAATCTCCCGTTCTACAAATCGTCCTACAAAGACGGCGTGAGGTTCCCAGAGGGTCAAACCTGCGAGGGCAGGAGGAAAGGTGGCTGCCAGGGGCCGGGAAGCACAGTGGGGACTCGTGTTTAATGGGGACCGGGCGTCCATTTGGGAAGATGAAAAAGTTCTGGAGATGATGGTGCTGATTTCTGCACGACAATTTGAATGTACTTCATGCCACCAAACCGTCCACGTACAGTGGTTAAAATGGTGAATTTCACAGTATGTGTATTTTACTATAATTTTTCTAAAACTATTTTTCTAAAACTATAAATATTTTATATTGTGTATATTATGCCATAATTCAAAACAATAATTCAAAAAAGGGTCCGAGCCCTGGCCAGGTGCCTCCGTTGGTTGGGCGTCATCCTGTGTCATTCCCTGTCGAGGCACATGCTGGAGTTGCAAACTTGATCCCCACTAGGGGGCGTGCAGGAGGCAGCAGATCAATGTTTCTTTCTCTCCCTCTCCCTTCCTCTCTTTGAAATCAATTTTGAAAAGTAGAAAAATAGGCTTAGCCCCTGACCTTATTCCACAGCTGAGAATTTATCCAAGGAAATACTTCCAGGGGAGGTGGGGAGGGTATGAAATAGCATGGCCAGCAATAAGAACAATGTTTAAAAACAATGTTTAAAGCCAAGTCACGAACAACACTATCAACAAAGAAGTTCCTGAAAATTATAACTGTAACTGTAAACAGAGAAGAGTATTCACAAAACACTACATTTTGAAGAACATAAAAACACACACACACAGGTTCTGACCCTGTAAAACTACGTAAACAGAGGGAAGGAAAGGGGGCATTGTGTTTCGTGGTGAGATCACGCAGCCTTTGTCAGCGGCCCGTGGTCTTCCCCCCGCAGAGGAAGTGCAGCGGCTGCATGATCACTCGCATCAGCCCCGAGGAAGAGGAAGCCGCGCTCAAGCCAGAACCTTGGAAAATGACAATGCGATCCCCTCGGACACCATATGGTTTCTCCATTTCACTGGATTTGGGCAGGGGGTGGGGGAGCGAATCCAAATGACCCCCATTAACAATCTGGAAGCTGCAATGCTTGGCATCATCACCCCTTTCGACCTTATCACCTTGGCAGGGGCCAACGAGAAACAAAGAAATGAAGAACGCGAGCACACCCCTGGCAAAGACCACAAACACGTTTCCTCTTTTCCTTCACTCTTTTAAATTTTTTACCTGGCTTGCAGACAAGTATTATATCAGTTTTTATTCTCTTCTTATCACCACAAACATCACCATCTGAATAAGAGAGTACAATATTTCCATTCTCTTTTGTGGGAGAAGAAACAAATTTGCCCAGATTTTTCCTTTCACTCTTATCTGGGAAAAAGAAAGGGGGAAAAGACAGAAGACATGATTAAAAATGATAATGACATAGAAAGGTAACAAAAATCAGCCGAGACCCAGCAGGCGCACCCCAGTCCCTTTCTCAGCCTCGCTGGCCTGGCCCAGTGGTCAGTGAGTTTTTCCTGAATGACAAGTCTGGCAGCCACGCTAAAAATCCCACGGCCACACCCAGGCTGAGCAGGGAGTGCGAGAACGGTCAACAGCGTCCTCGTGTCCACAAGAGGCAGAAAGGCAAGCATGCAATGTCCTGCCATCCCACAAAGTAACAGTTCCCCCGTTCTGGGGCCCTCCGCTCCCCAGAGACACAGGTCTTTCAAAAGCACAGCCAGGGGGCTAGAAACTAACTAAACCTGTTCAGCAAGCCAAGAAGGTGACCACTTAATTCTTGGTTCAGTTGATTTCCCCTGTACAGTTCTGAAACTCTGTGCCCCGTCCTTCTGAAATGAAGGCCTGGGCCTGCCTGGACCTGCGGGGAAGACCCAGCGCCTATTCTGGATCGTAGAGGTAATTCCTAAACCCCCTGTGCACACAGCTCCTTATTTCATGCTCAGAACAGCTTTGAATTATTCTCCCTGCCTGTCATTTTTGAGGTGAGTCTTAAGCGATAACTAGCATGCTACACATATACATCGAACAGACGTCTCTGCAGGACAGGACAGACCAACATAAATGGCAGAGCGAGCTCGAGGGGGCAGTGTTCTCAGAGGAGGGCTACATTAGATGCCGGTCACAGTGGAGTGTTAGAATATCAAAATCAGTTTCACACAAGTACTTGCAATGTTATTCTTCAGGTTACAAAGTGAAAAGATAACCGGGTGTTTCCAACAAAGTTCCCTCCGTTCCCTGTCCTGGCATTGGCCAACATCAGAAGGCTGGGGCCACCTAAGCCCCCCAGGTTCTCCATCCCAGACTGCACCCCGCAGTCGCCTACGGGTGAGCCCTTCACTGTGTTCTCTGCAGGCTGCTGGACCACAGGGAGCTTCCCTAACTCTCTCCCAACTGGGCGCAGCCTCCGGGGAGGCCCCGATGCGCGCTGGGCCCCACTCACCCACAGAGCACACGGCCGCGTCCTCGGGGCAGCCTCTCGCCTTGCCCCCCTGCAGCAGTCTGTGGCAAATATTTATGAAGAAATGCTTCTTTTCTGTTTCCTTCTGGCTGCCAACCACGGCTTCCCAATTCTGTTCTGATTCTGTTAAAAAAAAATAAGCCTCTTTAGCCAAAGGCAGGGATTGTTGCTCTGAGTCACACCACAGCCGTGAGTAAGCGGGGAGACCGCTCACCAGCATGTGGCCGGGCGCCGCGGGCACTCACGGTTCTGGAGCGGGCACAGCAACGCCCTGTGATCCTCGGGCTCCTCGGTGAGCGCGACAGAGACAGACCGTGCCCCACACCTCCCCAGACGAGCAGGCGTAACAGGAGGGATAGACGATTAAAACAAATTCTCCCAAGCCCCAAAGTATGAAACCAGAAACCAAACCCGACGCCAGCCCTGCCTGGGGACCGGGCAGAGCACCCGCCGCGGGTGACGGCCCCCGTCAGACCAGGACGCACGTCTGCTGAGCGCGGGGCAGGGCAGCTCCGCAGAGGGTCGCCAGGAGAGGCAGAGCATCTGCGGAAGGGCATGCAACGTCGGACGCGCCCCTCGCGAGCGGAGCCTGCAGCATCAAAGGTGCCGACACAATGGTGCTGGTGGAATGACAACCAGTGTCACTCCCCTGGAAGAACTCACGATGACCACGCAAGCCAACAAGACAGATACTGTTCTGCAAGTTTGAGTCAGAGTGGGGCGGGTTGAAAAGCTGTAAAACAGGAGGACTTTTCAAGCTAACAGGGAGGATTTCAACGCTCAGTTCAGAGCTTCCTTGGAGTCGTCTGGGCACAAACACTGCGAAATCACCGGGTTCCTGGAGAGCCAGTGCCGCGCACCCCTGAGTGGACACGTCACCGCGCTCCACTGTTTTTTTCTTTTTAAACAAAGGTTGGATAAGGGGACCTGGCTAGTGTGGCTCAGTGGTTAGAGGGTTGGCCCATGCTCTGAAGGGTCATGGGTTCAATTCCCAGTCAAGGGCATGTACCTGGGCACATCCCCAGTCCCAGTCGGGGCCTGTGTGGGAGGCAACCAATCAATGTGTCTTTCTCACATTGATATCTCTCTCTCTCTCTCTCCCCACCCCCACTCCCCCTCTCTCTAAAAATCAATGGGAAAAAATGTCCTGGGGTGAGGATTAACAAACAAAAGGTGGTATAAGGGATCTAATGCCATCAGCCAGTTTACTGTAAGGAAACAGGCCTGGAAGATGTAGGTGACCTGCTCGAGTGAACATGGCTGGATATGGCCACACCAGCCCTAACTCTGGTCTCTGACAGAGGTGAGCGCGCATCCCACTCTGCAGAAAACCCACCTCTTCATGAACACACATGAACACATATGTGCAGAACAGCCACGGCACCATCCCGCCCGTGAAGGGGTCCCGGAGAACCAAGTACAGAGGCCCTCCTTCCACAGCCCCGTGCGCAAAGGAAAGCTCTCCCCGACATCCCGAGAAAGAGGAGTTCCTCGTTCTTAGTACTACACGTCCCGAACCAGACAGGACTCGGAACGAGCTCCTGGCACGGCTGCTCATTACGTGACTTTAGGCAGCTCATCCTCTCCGTCTTAGGCATTATCTCCACCTCAAGATGCACCTTGCTGTGTGTACCGAATCCCAGCACCGCCACCAAGGTAAAACTGGAAGTGTCCCCACTGGATCAGGCGGTCCCTGTGGAAGCCCCGTGCTCCCCATTCAGTCGTCTCAGCCCCTGCTAAGCTCTACGGCACAGGGGGTGTGGGGCACGCTATCAGGCTTGTTGGGTTCCCAGCACGCAGTCCGTGCCCCACATAACAGGCTCATCAAGCATCTGCGCAGCTGCACACGTCCCTTACTCGACAACCCGGCCGCGCACACACCGCGCGGCCCGGGGTCCCACAAGCTCCCGTGCCTTCCTCCTTGCACTTCACCGAAGAGTCGGAGGCTGGGGAGTGAGTGCGGATCCCACTGCACACAGGAGGAGAGGCAGTGGGACCGGGGGGAGCCCAGGTCTAAGCATGAACCCACCTATCCCACCACCCTTCGCCCCAGCTTTCCACCCTCACGGCTCGGCAGGCCACGCGCTCAGTGGGAACTCTGCCTGCTTCCCATTCATTTGTAAAACTTTTGATTGAGATACAATGAACGCATAACACTGTATTCATTTTAGGTTTATAACATAACGACTTGTTATATGTATATATTATGAAATGATCACAATAAGCTTAGAGAACATCCATCACCATAAATAGCTACAAATGTGTGTGTGCATGAGAGAGATGAGAACTTGTAAGACCTACTCTCTTAGCAACAAGAGTTTAAATTTTCTTCTTAAGTTTCTGATCGCAGAGCACAAGCGTGGCGCGACGCAGGCCCTTGGCCGTCTGAACTGAACTATGGTAAGATCAGCTCAAAGTGCCCCGCCCCCACAGAAAACAGGGACCCGACCTCAAATTCAGATACTCCGCCTTCCGACTTGGTGTCGGCTCTAATAATTCACATCGCTCCCCGAGGAGGAGGAAAAGGCCACGCAGTGATCAGCTGACAATGGAAACAGTAACAGTATTTCCCAACGTAGCTGTGGGGAAAGAGGCGGAAAACGTCCCCATGAACACGTGTCTGAGACCCACCTGAGTGTCGGGCCAGCGCGGACAGGTCATAGCGCTTCTTCCCGTCGGTGACGCTGCACAGGAGGTCCTCCTTCTCCTTCACACAGGCATGCTTCGTGTCCCACGTGAAGAAGTAGGTGCAATCTACCTCCCCGGTGAAGACGGGAGAGCCTCTCCCGCCGTTACCTGTGCAATTCGAAAAGGGCAAATAAAACACTCCATTATATGATCAAACCCAGGAATGTCAAAGGAGCAAGGGAAGAAACAGCCACAGGACACCAACACCAAACATGCAGTTAAACAAACTCCAGCCCCAAATGCCTGAGATCAGAGGGCTCAGAGATTACAGCGGCTTCTGCGGAGTTTCAGATCATCCTGAACCCCTCACAGCGGCCTGTGTCCCTTTCATCTCGGTGGATGGTCTCAACAGGACAGAGGCTGTTTACAACACATTCGAAGGGGACATGAAACGGGTGCTAATGAGGATCGTAGGAGCCACCGACAGGGCTCTCGCTGCCCAGCAGCTGTGGTCAGCCTCCCGTAGCAGCAGGGCCAGACCAGAGACTCACTGAGAGGAAAGCAGAGACCAGGGTTCTAGTCCCAGGAGTGCCACTGGCTTAAGGATGTCATTGTGGGCAAGACAAGTTCCCCGGGGCTTCCCCCAAAAATGAAAACGCGATCATTTCCACAGTCCTCCCAAGGAAGTGTGCTGAGGTCCAGTAACCCCAGAAAGCTGCAGGAACACCTCCGGATGGCGCCGGCACCCTTCGTTCTGGGGACTTCATGAGTGCATGGATCTGACGCCCTACTCAGATCTGCAGCCCCCTGGCTCACCCCCTCCAGGGACCCCCAGTTCCCCTGCGAGTCCGGACAGTCCAGCTCTGCTCAGAAAGCAGCCCATCCTGGGTCACTGCCCCGGGCAGGAAGCCTGGGATCCAGACAGCGCCGCTGGCTTTCCGCTTACTAGAAACACTCTCCTCGCCTTTCCCAGCCGGTGGACCCTGGCACAGGGCTCTGCCTCCCTCCCCGGGAGGGTCAGCAATCCTCCCAGGCCGCCTCCAGGCCGACCGCCTGCAGCCCCTGCGGTTTGATGCCCTGAAGAGCACAATGTTCTCCAGGAAAGGGAAATGATATTTTGTACCAAGGGCAATTTCTATTAGGCATTTAATATTACAAACTTCATAATGATAATACCAGCAGCTACCCTGTACTGAGCACAGTCCGAGCCAGGCACTAGGCAAGCACCTCAAGGCTACCTGGGGCTGGCTGTGGGAACAGGCTCCGATTCACGTACTTTATAAAAACTGGCATATTTAATCCTAAAAAGCCTATGGCACAGGTACAATTTTAGCCCCATTTAGTAGATTTAGGGCAGCTAAATAATTTGCCTATGGTTTCATAGCTAGAAAGAGAGGAGCCAGGAATCAAATCCAGACCGTCTGGCCCCAGAGCCATGCTTATGAGTACAAGGCAATACTTCCTTACACTACTGTGGGTTATGTCTTCTTTTATTAAAGTAAGAACGTTTAAGCCATTCTCTCTAAGAAGCCCAACTTCCTCTCCGACACACAGCACCCGCCGCGAGCGGGGACCACTGCGCCCCTCGCTGCCGGAGGGCGTGAGGCTCCCTTGCTCGCTTCCCACCCACATGTTTCCCAGACAGTTGACTCCTACTGGAATCCTATTTCGCTATTTGGAAAACATCTCTGTTTCCGCAAACTTGAAGCATTCACTGTTTGTCTTTCACCAGATTAGTTGACAAATGATTACATAAGACAACGATGGTTCCAGCTCCCATCCCGACTTCGAGCTGGTTTTACATCTGAAACTCACTAATGATCTGTCAGGAGAGTCCATTTTATAGCCAGTGGGGTACATCTTACCTGTCTTCTTATTTAATTCCTCGAACAACGGTAGGAGACCAGTACGCCAACACTCCCCTCGACCAAACCACGTTTGTTTCCTTTGAAACACAGTGGGCTTTGCCGTCAGGGCCTCGGTTCCAGGGCCGACGGTCTCCATCCATCAGCAGGATTAATACTGGCTTTTCACCATCTCTGTCAGTCACAGTCCTGGCTGCTGTCCCGCCTCGAGGTGCGTTCCCAGCACCTCACCTGCATGGCGTCCCAGGGTGTGGACCCCATGACCAGCTGAAGGAAAGGTGGGCTTCCCCAGTGGAGCCAAGGAGCTGCTCTCGGGCTTGGTGGCAGCACCCAGTCCTACTCCGCCAGCCCCCGTGGCAAAGACAGTGCTACCTACCCACCAAACTAGTTGAATTTTCCCTCTAAGCTCACACGAGGCTACATTTCCCAGCCTCCCTGCCTGGGAGGTTGGCCTGTGCCACTCAGCTCTGGCCCTTTAAGAGGAACAGCTACTCCCATTCTGCAGAGTCCTTGAAGGCAAATTCAACAGACAGCAGCAACGCAAGGCAGAAAACTCGAAGGTCCCTGAGTGACCACCTGGAGCACAGCTGTAACCTCTAGCCCCTACAGTGGCATAGACGGAACTAAAGAAAATAAACTTTGCCCTGGCCGGTTTGGCTCAGCGGTTAGAGAGTCAGCCTGCGGTCCGGATAGATCCGGGTTCGGTTCCCGCTAAGGGCACGTACCTCGGTTGCAGTTTGTCCCCGGCCCTGGTTGGTCGAGCGGGTGGCAGCCACTCGATGTGTCCCTTTCACGTCGATGTTTCTCTCTCTCTCTCTCTCTTCCTCTCACTCCCTCCCGCTGTGTCTGAACAAAAAAATGGAAAAATGTCCTCGGGTGAGGATAAAAAAAAAAAGAAAGAAAAAGAAAATAAACTTTGCCCTGGCCGGTTTGGCTCAGTAGTTGGAGAGTCGGCCTGCAGACCAGAGAGTCCCGGGTTCGGTCCCGATAGGAGCATGTACCCCAAAAAAAGAAAATAAACCTTGCCTGGTGGTGTGGCCCAGTGGACTGAGCATCATCCCATGGACTGAGCAGTCCCGGTTCAATTCCTGGTTAGGGCACATGCTCAGGTGGCAAGCTCAATTCTGAGTAGGGGGCGTGCAGGAGGCAGCCGATCGATGTTTCTTTCTCTCTCCCCCTTCCTCTCTTTAAAAAAATATCAAAAATTTTTAAAAAGAAAAGAAACATTTATTGTAATGAGCCACTTAAGTTTGTAGGTTTCTTACTAGCCTATCCTAACACACGACTCTTCCCAAAAAATGACCTAACGCCCTTATTTGACAATAATAAGGTATCACATTGCAGCAAGCTAGATGTAAGTTACTGAAACAAATAGTTAAAAATACATTACAGCTAAAAGAATAAACTTATAAACATTGTGCATGAACCACAGATTCATAAGTATAAATAATTCCTAGAGATCCAAGTGAAACTATAAACCACATTCCATACACAGCCAATTAACACCCATTCACATGCAAAAATACATGATTATATTAACCCAATAAACACAGAATCCACCAAAGGATTTCCTCTCAAAACTCTCAGTTTAAATTTGGGACAAATAATAAAATAATTTTACAGTACAAACAGCTGGCTCCAAAGTTTGAAGCATCGAGTCACTGAGGTGGAAGGGGCCTTAAATATTTTATAATCCAAGTTCAGCCTGAGAGCAGGCTCAAAATCCCCAAAAATGTCTAACATCTCTCCATCTGGTCTCCTTGTCACCATCCTAATGAAAACAGCTAACACCAAGTTTCTGGCGTCATTGTTCATTCTGTCAGGTCGAAGTTGGGGTGGAGAGTTATGTTCCATCAGTGACGTATGGTTTATATGAAGCAAATTTGGCAAAACATTAATGACCATTAAATCTGAGTGGTGGGGATATAAATTTTCATTGTGATGTTCTTTCTACTGGTATGTCTCAAAATCTTTTATAATAAAAAGTAAAAGGTGGGGGGACAGCCTGCAGTATTTTTTTCACGCCCCAGATCATTTGGACTGGATGGCTGCACCTCTTCTTTGTGAGTCCCCAGCTATGCCCTTCTCAACATCCTCCTCGTCCGCTGGGACCTTCTGGATCATTATTCTATGTTCCCAGTGAGCCCAAATGAGATCAGCGCACTCCCAACGATCCCGGCCAAGTCATTTATAAAAAGCCCAGAACAGGGCCAAGAGGTAATGACAAGGGAGGGAGACTTGGACCACAGGAGCCACCAACAGCAGAGCAGCCCAACCAGCGGGGGAGGCCAGAGGCCCGGCTGGGGAAGGGCGGGCAGGCCGAGCGCTGAAGCCCAGGAACAGATACGAAGCAGGCGGCACTGCCCGGGGACGGGGGCCCGACAGCAGGGTGCACTGCAGAGAGGGTCTCCTACCAACCTGGAAGAGCTGAGGACCACGAAGAGAGAGAGTCTGAGGAGGGCTGGAGGGCATTCGAACCAGATGGGAGATGCATCCAAAGGCCACACCCAAGCCAGAGTCCTGTCACCTGCCTGCAGAAGTCCCTGGGACTGCACTCATTTCTCGATGACATCAACTCCTTGACAGCACAGATGACTTTCCGCAAGGTTGTGCGCTCTCCTTTCTAGGGTCATCTTTAGCCACATTCTACACACACATCCTGGATCTGCCCACAGAGACCCAAATTCACGCCTTGGCATGTTCCCTCTGCCACAGAGACGGGCGCCCACAGCCGCCACGTCTGTGCCTGGCTCACACCTACTCCTCCTGCAGCCCCTCGAACAGAGCCTCCTCTTTCCTCCACTGCCTTGACCCCACGGCTGCTCAGACCCCAGACCTGACCTCAGCGCCTCCCCCTGCTAGAGCACCGGTGACAGCTCCACCAGGAGCCGGGGCAGGCCTGGATCGCCTGCACTGCGCTCACCGGTCTGTGACTGCCTGAGGCTCTGCCGTCACGGCACCATCTGTGCTCAGGTCCAAGCGAACAGCACTGACCCAGTGCGTGCCGACTGCCTGAGAGCTGGGGCAGCGAGAGGACCAGCGGGCTGCAAGGGAGCAGCAGGAGGAACGGCCGTCGGACTCCGGCCTCCCCAGCTCCTGCTCCAGGCTCCCTCTGCGGGGGCTCTCCTGGCAGTTTATCACAGCCCGGTCTTGATCTCAGCCTCTTCCGACGTCCTCCACACCCGCAGACACGTGCTCCTGGAGCCCAGTTCCCATCATGCACAGCTGCCTCTCCCAGACCCTGCAGGGAACCTGCCTGTGACCAAATGGTCGAAGCTGTGCCACAGAAACATGCAGCACACACAGCAAGCGGGGCCAGGAAGAGCCGGGGCACGCGGCCACAGCGTGCACAGCCGTGCAGATGGCGGGACCCGGCGCTCCAGAACCAGCGCTGTGCAGAGGCTGAGTCAGCCTGCGGGACGCTTGGGGTCACAGCTCAGAGGTCAACAGACAGGACGGCTCCCTGGTGGTGACGGATCCCATCACCTCTCTGCAGATGCAAACCAGGTCCGGGACCCGGGGTTACACAGAGCAGCACGGCTTTGTGAAATGCCAGGGCCACCGTGACTTCTAGGAAACTTCTCCGACTCGCTCAGAAAAACCAAACTTGCCCTGTGACCTCTTGCGATCCCCAAACCCAGCCTCCATCACAAGGCCACCATCCTAAAGGGTCTTCTTGACACTTAGTTTGTAAAAAAAAAAAAAAAATACAGTGGTGTAGTGACAACCCATTCGAAGTCAGCACGTAAACCCATGCTGCTGGATCCGTGCGGGCTTCGGTGTGAGCCAAAACTCAAGACAGAAACTCCGCCCCAGCAGGCCCGGTGCGGGGCCCACTCCCAAAACAAACAGAGAGGGGAGGGAAATGGAAACAGGATGTGTGTTGTTGGCTGGGCACTCCTACCTCGTCTGGGGGCTGGGGGTGGCCACGCCTGAAAAAGACGTCTGACTGCTCCATTCAGCACCCCAGCCCCAGAACCCGCGCCCAGCAGAGCCCAGCGCAGGCGGGCCGGGCACACTCACCCGCGGTCTCGTTGCACTCGAAGTTTATGACACTCATCCGCTGGAAGCCCGAGCTGCACTCATCGCCGCCGGAGTAGATCAGTGTGAGGTCCCCATCTGAGTACCTAGATTTTTGTGAAACACATACATGCGCGTTTAGCAGAACCGAGAAACAAACTTGAATTTGTTGTTTGTTTGTTTAATCCTAACCCTAGGATATTTTTCCATTTATCTTCAGATAGGGTGGAAGGGAGGGAGAGAGGAAGGAAGAAAGAGAAAGAGAGACATCGACGTGAGAGGGACACATTGATTGGTTGCCTCCTGCACGACCCACACCAGGGCTGGGGAACGAACTGCAACTGAGGTACGTGCCCTTGACTAGAAATGAACCCGTGACTCTTTGGTCCGAGGGCCGATGCTCTAACTGCTAAGCCAAACCGGCCAGGGAGAAACTCGAATTTTTAAACCTTTCTCCGTGAAGCCCTTTGCATGCCATCGACAAATCGGTACTGACACGGAGCAGTCCGCTCTCACCAGCTGGGGAAACCGTCTAAAGGAAATGAGTTCCAAATGTACAGGCTTATCGTCCTCACTTCAAAGTAACGACGGCTGCACGAACGGGCCGGAGGTTTTGCTGTGAGCACGAAGACCCTCTGCTCTCCTTTCTGGGTTTTGTACAAGATAAATAAGGGCCAAGAAGCACACAGCTTTTTCAGCGTCTGCCATGAACACGGCCCCACCTGAGGGAGCCTGGACAATACTTGCTCTCAGAGAGCGACATTTTCATAATGCTTTCGTGACGATAGCCACTGAGTCAGGGGTCATGGGAATCGCCCTGAATGCGTTGTTTCTGTTGTTTAAAACTTTTAAGTTGTGCTCACGGCATCTGAGATTCTCAAAGTGCCAGAGAAAACTGAAAGTTAAGGAAAGATAAATTCTGAATACAAAAGCCACATCAACTGTAAACTAATTAAATAACTTTCCTGCAGTACGTCCCTTCCAAACAATGGGTTGTAAAGCAAACAGACCTAACAGAAGCAGTCTCATTGTCAAGCCAGGAAAAACATCCCACTGTTTAGTGACAAAAGGCACGGTGCCTAAGTCAAGTCGGAGGAATGCTATCTCGACTGGCTTCTGCGCTTCACAGAGAATGGAGGAGGAAGAGGACGAGGAAGTCAGCGACGTTTTACAAGAACAGACACAATGCACTTGAAAAGCACGGGAAAACTGTTTACACACCGAAGAGTTTGACTCTGGGATTTTCCTGCCACTTTGACTTGAGTGAAGTCAGGTTTTTTCGCTTGGCAAACCGCAGCCTGTTTCTCATTACAGACCTTTGGGGTTGATTCAATTTCTCCACAGATATTCAAATAAAAAATATATTCCTTCCCAGCTGCACTATAGTAATGACCTAAAGAACGGGGAACAAATGAGGAGAGGCTCTGTCACGTTCGTAGGTGCCGTGAAGTGACAACACTACTTCATTCGACCTGAATCTGCCGAAGCGCCCGGCCCGGGGGCAGGGCTTACGGCCCCCGCCGGCCCGCCGGGCCCCAGCTCACCTCGCTCCTGCTTGAGTGGCTGGAGGTCAATGGCAATGTCATGCTGCTCGCTGCTCAGGGAGCAGTTGCTGCTCTCCAGATAATCCCTGTGGCAGGCGTACTCAGTGACCCACTCAATCTCGTACCGGCAGTTGGATTTAGCCGTGAGCTTGGGAATGGTGCCCTATGGGAAAATGGAGTGAAAGGCGCCAAAATTAACATTTGAAAATGCAACTCACATGCAGGTCTTCCCTGCTTCCTACAAGCTCGAAAGTAAACTGTTGAGTTTTTACAGTTTTCTGTCCCTGTTTTGAACCATCATGGCCCTTAACATATTTCGATTGTTTGACTTGCAACAACTCCAGTCACTTGCCAACGTTTCCGGTCCCTTTCAGGGTTACACTCAAGCTTCAGCCAGGGAGCCCGCCCCGAACTCAACGTCATCTGACACCCACGACCTGGGCAAGCAGCCACGACTCATGAAGCGAGGGCGAGCGGGCCATGCCTTTCGATCAGAAGTTCTGCAGAGCCTGGGCCAGCAGACCCCCCAAGTCGAGTGGGAATAGCTGTGCAAGGGAGCATCTAGGGAGGTGGTCCCTAACTCCTTCCTGAGATTGCTGAAGGGGACTGAGCACACCTCTCCTATATCTGCTCCTGCCCCGGGGAAGCCGGCCCCCCACCACACTGGGCTCTGGAGAGCTCTGCTTGACAAACATGAGCTCCACCAGGCCTTTGGTGCGAGAAGGGGGCAGGTGCTGGGCGGTCAGTTCCCTGGGGGCAGTGCCGGCTTTCACCGTGGCTGGGAGAAATGTGTTGCTGCTCTCAGCATCAGGGATGGCTGTGCTGCTTCTAAGCACCGTCACTCTGCAAATGTTTACCCAGCGCCTGCTACGTGCCAGGCACAAGGCTTCAGGGCGGGCTTTGCAAACACAGGTCATGTGATAAATAAGCTGCAAAGTTGCAAGTCCGGCTCCGTCTGTCTGACTCAAAACCGGTGCTTTAACCACTGGGCTCAAGAAAGTCAGATGTATGGTGACGGGTTGCCAAGCACCGAGAGAGAGAAGCTGGACACAAAGGCCACACAGTGTCCAGTTCACTTATACCAGATGTCCAGAAAAGGCAAGTCCCCAGAGCCAGAACGAGACGTGTGGCTGCCTGGGCCAGGGGCCGACGAGCCCGCAGCTTCTCCGGGGGTGATGGCAATGCTCAAACGCTGACGGTGGGAAAGGCTGCACGATGCTGTTATGTGCTAATAACCATTAACTTGAAGCAGGTGTACTTTACAGTTTGTAAATTCAATAAAGCTTAGGTCTGTATGACAAGTGAAATGTTTACTAAAATCCCAGCTCCTAAAAGTATTCAATGAGCCAGCGCAAATGCTTAAATAAACCTTCCAGTACTAAGGTATCACGTGTAGCCCAAGTTCTGCCCGGCCAACAGTTGAGCTGGAAACGAAACCTTCGCTATCAGCACAGCAGCCTCCTCTGCTGGCACCACTGAGTGCCCTGTATCCCAGGGACAGGGAAGTGGGGACGCCCCCGCTCTCCCCCGTGCGCGTGCCCACGGGCCTCACTGAATGCGGAGCAGTGAGGGGATCGTGAACCGCGGCCAGCTGAGGCTCTCGTCAGCCTTGAAGCAGCCCCGTCCCCGTGTGGGGCACACTGTGGGGCACACAGAGGGTGTGCGTCAGTCCTCAACACCGGGCTCAGAGCTGGCGTGGAGCACTGGCCAGCCAGGTCTTCAGTAAGCTGCCACCACGGGCCCCGGAGTCTAGGGACGTAAAATGGAAAGCCAGTCGGGGCTCAACTTTTGTCCCCATAACCCAGTACAGAAAATAGGCCAGCTGCCAGCTCCAAACCACAGCACATTCCACGTTTATTTGGGGGGAGGGGAGTATGGCTCCCTAGCAAAAGAATTCCACTCCTCCTAGTTCATTCTATTAGGAGAAGACAGAAATAAATTAGAGGAGAGCCCTACCCTTCCTCCCCGGGGGATGTCTCCCTTCCGTCAGCACCCACATCTGCTAAAACACTTAACAACCACACGTGCAACTCCACTGGGCACAGGCCAAGGACAACCCAGACCGTCCCTACCCTCACGGAGGTTACAGCTGTGCTAACTGCGTAAACAGCCGGAGGACAGAGCACTCGATCTGCTGGCAGCTCAGGAGGGGAAGCAGGGAGGAGGCGGTGAGCGCGGTGCTGGAAGCCCAGCGACCCTTCCTCTGGCTGCAGCTCCCCTGCGCCGGGACCCCGCACCGGTCGCTGCCGCGCGATTTCAGTGAGGTCTGCCTACCACCTGCACTTCCTGCTTCTGACCGTGTTTCTGTGAACTCATTAGCTATTTTTACCTTGCTTCGTCCTAAAACAATAACAGCCATGAAATCATGGGTTTGGGGTTGTACGGATGGTTTTGCAAATATCCATTCAAATCAGCATGAACTGAAAATTTTGAAAATCTGTCCATGAACCACTTAAAATCAAATCCTGCAACACCAGAACAAAACACCATCCTGCATTTTCCCATCCAGAGGCCCCCTAGGTGGCTGAGAAAAAGCAAACCTCAAGCTGTTCTCCCCGAGTCTCGCCCGTGCAGCAGAGGCCGTCCCGGGAAGCACGCCTTCCCGACAGTCCCCGGGCTCAGCGCCTGCACCCAGACCCCCTGCCCCGCGCACCCCAGCCCGTACTCACGGGCAGCCCAAGCTGACGTGCACGGCTGGGAGACCATGGAAGACAGGCCACTCACCTCCCTGCGCTCTGACGGGCAGACGAACGTGATGGTCACCGCCGGGCTGTGGCCCGCACAGAAGTCTGGCTTCCCTGCCTCTTCTCTCACGTAAGTCAGGGCCAGCCTGGAAGACACGCAGAGATAACGGACTGTTACAGAAGTATCAGTTGTGTTCCAATTAATCTGGTGCCCTGAGCATTCATTTGGGGACAATGGTCACAGAAGATTAAAATGTAAAAGCAGCCATACATAGTAGAACACTAAGTCATTGCCATTTGGGAAAAAAAGAAAAAAAAAACATTTGAAAGTAAACTTCAACGAAGTGCTATTTTCTTTAAAAAAATAAATAAAACGATCAACGTGTAAATTTAAATACTAAGAAAAGCTGTTTGAGTAAAACAAAAAACATTATAAATACTCTAACAAAACTAAACAAACACAGCTGAGCAGGTCAGGCACGTTCCTGCCGCGGCCTCAAGACCACTTCCTCGCTGAACAACAGATCCTGCTGCAAGCCAAGGTCTCTTGTTGAACCCGAGGACGGGGGAGCGTGCCTGCGGCCTGGCCTCCCGGCCCAGTGGGGAGGGCTGGAGCCACCGGGGGCTGGCGTTCCTGGTGAGCAGCCACAGAACGGCCCTGACACACAGCCTGCCTCTTCTCTGAAGACAAGCTCGGGCTTTCGTTCAATGCCCCCACATTTTACAAAGTCCCCCCAGGTACCAAGAATCACCCATTTGTCACTTGGGACGACGTCATGGGCTGAATTATGTCTCTCCCTACCCCAATTCTTGTTAAAGCCCTAATCCCCGCATCTCAGCATGTGACAGCATTTGGTGATAAGGTCTTTAAAGGGGTGATTAAGTAAAGATGAGGTCATCAGGGTGGGCCCTGATCAGATCTGACTGGTGTCCTTCTAAGGAGAGGGGATCAGGACACAGACATGCACAGAAGAGGCGTGAGGACACATGGAAGTCGGCCACTGACAGGCTGAGGAGAACAGATCTGACTGGTGTCCTCCTAAGGAGAGGGGATCAGGACACAGACATGCACAGAAGAGGTGTGAGGACACATGGAAGTCGGCCACTGACAGGCTGAGGAGAACAGATCTGACTGGTGTCCTCCTAAGGAGAGGGGATCAGGACACTGACAGGCTGAGGAGAACAGCCTCGGGAGAAAACCAACCCACTCACACCTTGGACTTCTGGCCTCCAACTGAGAGCAAATAAACTGCTGCCGAGGCCGCCCCGTCTGCGATACTTGACCGGCGGCCCTTGCAAATATGGACACACATAGAGAAACCTCCCAAACACTTTAAATCTCAGGTACGCGCCAGGACTTTCGACGGATGACCTATAATCGCAGCGCTGACGTGCCACCAGCTAAGGACCAGAGCAGCCCACGGCGCCCATCTAAAGCCCTGCCACGGGGAGACAATCAGAATTCCTGATCCCAGGTCAGGCCGCAGCCACGTGCGGGCCACTGGGGAAAAGCACCTCCTGCCAAGCCAGCCACAGACGCAGGAGAGCGTGTGTAATCAGCACTTCTTATCACGAGGAATGAAGCACCCAACCCGGAACTCGGGGCCAAGGCGCCCCATCAGGAAGCAGGCTCTGCACCCTGGAAGGAAGCCAGCAAACTGTCCTTCCTGCCTCTCTCCCTCTGGGACAGTGTCTAGAAAGATAAATATGGACAAAGAATGAACTTCATGGGTGACCTGCCATGGTCAATATCAGGACACACCTTCAGGTAGCTGTCACACGAAGCTGGATCCCGATACACACTTTCACAGCTCTGAGAGATGAGTGATTAGGAAGTCACCCAGCCAGCCTCGGAGACTCGCAGGACGACAAGTGATTTTGCAAGCATGTGTGAAGCCCTCATTTTGCAAGCGTTATCTTGCAACAAACTCAAAAGCCAGGACCCTGCTGAGGACGAGGAGGCCAGCCGTGCACTGACCTGTGCTTGCTCACTAACTTCAGGCCCTCCTTGGGCTGGCCGACGTCGAAGGCCTGGCCCCCCCTCACCAGGCAGGCGGCGGTGCCCTTGGGGCAGGCACGCAGCTGTGGACTTGAGTCCCGCAGTGAGTCTGTAAAACATTACACAGGACATCGATTATGCATCAGGAGTGGTGAGCACACCTACCTCTAGGCCCAGAGTCCCTTCAAAGAAATGTTCAAATTTTTTTAAGTTCCCATAAGTAACAAAGTAGAAGTTTGAAAAACAAAAAGGAGCCAGGACCACATTCCATGCTGAGACCTTGGACAGCCAGTGACCTGCCTGGACGGTAAGGAAGGAGCCCCACCTGCAGGGCTGCAGGCGAGCGTGGGGAGAAGGAATGCAAGGTGCTTGCTGTGCACCTGGTACGCGAGAGGCGCCCGGTGCACGGGCGAGTATGTTCACTGCAGTCCAGGAATGTCCGCCCTGCTCCTCAAGACACACTAACTTCAGCATTACTGCCTTTCAACCTATGAACAGACTAGAAAAATGCAAGCACTCCATGGACTTGTGTGAAGATGGGCAGATTCGAGAGAAGACCCACAGGTGGTTCTGGGTTCAAATCTCAGATCCATCACTTACCCCACTACAACGTTGGTCTAACCACACAACTCTCACCGCCCTCGAGTCACCTCAAACACTAAACGTATCTGGAGCAATGCCCAGGCGGTACTGCTGCTGGCCACCACAGCCATGACCGTCCCAGGGTCCTTCCCTCTCGCTGCAGGCCTCTGATCATCACCTAGGATACCTGGTACCTGGTACAGCCCGGGGAAAACATTTTTAGGCTTCTTCTTCCACTTGACTATAAGCTGGAGAAGAGGAGGAACTTCCCTGTGGTCAACACTGTAATTCAGTGCCTAATCAGTGCCTGGCACACAATAGGGGTTCAGAAGTTAGTTCCCCCACAAATGAGTAAATATCACCTAGTTTGGGCTTTCATTAGAGCCTTATCAACCAAAAAAGGGAGGGTCCCCATATCTTCTCCAGTTTGCCATGAGGAGTCACCAGATGACGAAAAGGACAGCGAACCTTTAGGTCTCAAGCCTGTGTTGTGAGATTTCACTACCAGTGGCTTTAGTCCGCACAGAGTATCTCCTGTGCTGTGGTCTCCTCGCCTCGGGGACACGGCAGACGGACCACTGGGGAACTGAAGACAAAATGTGGACGTGAGGCAAGTGCCCGTCAGTGTGCAGAGCTCAGCACAGAGCAGGAAAGCTACTGTTCGTAAGGTGTTTGTGTGCTTTTTAACTATGTTTTTATTGATTTTTAGAGAGGAAGGGAGAGAGAGATGAACAGCAATGTGAGAGAGAAACATCAATCCGTTGCCTCCCGTACACCCCGACCGGGGATCGAACCTGCAACCTAGGTATGTGCCCTGACTGGAAACTGAGCCCACAAGCTTTGGTGCACGGGACTGTGCTCCACCCAGCTGAGCCGCCCGGCCAGGGCCCACAGGTCCCAGGCTTGGAGCACTTTCCTGGGGCTGCAGAATGTCTGGGTCAAGACCGGGGCCCAGTGTGGATCGAAGTCACTCAAATTGCCGGTAAATTAGAAAGAAAAAAACTCTTAAGAATATATCCAGTGCATTTGAATAATCCTCAAAATGATTTTTTTTAAAAGACCAGAAACCTAACTGTTGTCTGTAAAATGGCATATTTTTTCACAGTTCAATAATCTACAAGACTCTTCAATTTTGTAATCAAATTTGAATTACAGACCCATTTAAGACAAAGACTTTGTCTATCTACCTTTTTCCAGAAGAATAAAAAGCTGTCCTTGGAGAACAAAAGAATGACAGAAACCACCTAGTACACAGATAATCTAGTGATCACTGGTCACCCCTGGTGAACCATGTAGATCCACTTTCTAGAGCTAGTTAGAAACAATAAGCAAAGTGGTACAAAACGTACATGCACAGTGTAGAGTACTTGTACACTCAGACTAATACCTACTACCCAGCAACACTCTCATGTGCTGACTTAATTTTTAAATCTCCTCCGCACTTTTCTGAGGCCCAGACTGTGCTGCATGAGAAAGAGGGGCGCAGGGCGCAGAGAAGGGCTGCAGCCCACTCACGGCAGGCGCTGCCGGCACAGCACTAGCGACGCCTCCCCTGCAGGGAGCCTCGGGAAGGTTCCAGACATCGCAAGCACCGGCCCAGCGAAGCCCTTTCTGGATGAAGGCTGTGCACAGCCTTCAGTCACTGCAGACACCACGCGCCTCTCGCCGGCTCTGGCACTGTCAGAGAGCCAGGCAGGAAGTCACCCCAAACGAAACACGTGTCATGACCTCGCGCCAAGGACTCAGATACACACAGCGGCTGCACACCCAGCTTCCCGGCCCCCAGGAACCTCGACTCCATTCTGCTCCAGCTGTCCTCGGCACCTTCACACCGAAATCAACCCATTCTCCACCCCACCAGCTCACTGGAAGGAAGATTAGCTTGAGAATCTTGAAACCCAAAGTGTCTGGCAGAGAGAACAAGTTGGAGGGAATTCGTGATGGAATCAGAATGTCTTGGGGGCCAAGGGGCAGGCTGAGCAGAGAGAACGTCTGTGGGGACAAAAGCTCTTTTCAGTGCCTCACAGTGAAGGCTCTCCACGCAGGTGAACACGGGTGACAGCGCGAAGACACGGGAGCCACCTGAGAAGTCCTTCCACACCACCCCGCGCCAAGCCCACCAGATTCAGACCTATGTCTCTACAGACGTTGATGAACAAAGAAGTGTCCGGGTCTGAGTCATCCACCAAGTAAGCCCCGGTGATCTTGATCAGTGGGTTTAAATCATGCTTCTTGAACTCTTCATCAAATGCATAGCATGGCACCTGGAAGAGAGGAAAGTCAGTCTTCAACACACACCTTCTTGGGGCTAGTGGCTCAGCAAAGCCTGTGACAGATGTCACGTAACACTGGTCTCCGCCACTTGGGTCTATCGGCTGTGATGTCGCTGACAAAGCAGAAGCTGACAAGCACTTTGTCTTGCCTGCGGGGCCTATCCCTCCCACACTCACCTCTGTTCACCTGCATCAGCCCTTTCTCCCTCCCCATGCTATGGCGTCAACCACCTGCCCAATGTCCACCCCTCTGCCACCATCCCACAGCTCTGCGATTTACGGCAAAATGCCCTGTCCATCTCTCTCTTCCTCCCCTCCCACTTTCTCCTGAGTGCCACCACAGCAGGGTGCTGTCCCCACTCCACTGAAACCCTCCTGCCAGGTCACCGTCTGCAAAGTGCACGCTTGGCCTTCCCCATGCCGGGCTCACAGTGAAATCTGATGCCGGCCCAGACCCTCTTCCCTTGGCTGCCTGGCCCCCGAGGCTCCTGGTCCCTCCCAGGGCTGCACGGGTTAGCACGTGTAAAGCTCTCGGTCCAGTTCTCAGCAAGATGATAGGCTTGTTATTTGTTGTTATTTACCACTGTCACTTAGACACACAAAAGCATCTCAAATTTAACAGATTTTAAATGTCTCCTCCAAAACCTACTTTTGCCCTAGTGCCCCCCATCTCAGCACGGTGCAATCGTTTGGCCTTAAGGTCATCCTGGACCCACACTGCCCAGTCCTGCCGGTCTGCCTTCCAACCAAATCCTGGATCTACTCACTTCATTACCACCCTGTCCAAACCACCATCATCGCCGCCTGCAACAGTCTCTTTTAACTGGTCCCTGCTTCCAGATTACAAATTCCCGGCCCTGCAGCCCGCTGTCCCCACAACCACCAGAGCGATCCTTCCAAAATTACATCACTCCCTGCTCAAATCCACCAAGGCTCCCATCACACTGAGAACGAAACCCCCTCCGACTTCACGGACCGGCACGAAGCCTCCCGGATGGACACCAGGTACAACTCGGCTCGAGGAATTCGAGGCCGCCCCAACTCGAGTGCACGTCCGACATCCGCGGGCTCTCGACGCCCCATCCAGGGAGGCCTTCCGGCCACCCAGGTCTGAAGCGCACTCTCCACCGCTCCGTGCCTCCCCGTCTTCCCTTCCCCTAGCTCTGATGTGTGCCACCTGTCTGTCAGCGGCCTCCCACACAAGTGTCCACGCCCTGAGGGCAGGGGCTTTGACTCTTCTGAGGCCCTCAGAAAGGCCTAGGACAGTGCCTACAACCGAAGAGACGAAGACAAATTCCTCCTCCGGGCACCTGGCCATCCGTACCGGATTCTCGTCTAGGACCACTCTCTCATCTCTATGAACTAATGGCCTCCTGTTTGCAAAATGTCAAGGAATCCATTACCGCTGGCAAGAGCCTGTGCTCTAATAGTCCCACCTACATCTGAGAGCAAAGCGATCAGGTCTTAAAAAGGCCCCAGTCACCTAGATAACATCACCTTCTGCTATGTCTTTATTTGAAACACCCCTGTGAGCCTTATTATCAAAATAACTCACTGGCATCATTTTAATTGCACGTGCAAAAAAAATAGTCTAAAAACTCATGTTCTCTGCAATCATTTCAACGTGGTTTGTTTCATCATATTCTGTACATAATTTTCCTACAACTTTGTCTTTTAGGATGAAGCTAGTCATCTGCGGGTCTATTTACAAAGGTTAACTGCTTCATATTTAGCTTTCAAATTTTTCTTAGAAAGATATCAAAACTGCAAGAACGCTCTGACCCACTAACCTTGTTCCCCAGTCCTGTTTTCCAAGTGTTCATGGAGAGCTGATGGATTAAATCAACAACTTGAACCTCCTCACAGCCTCCGGGGACACGTGAACTCATTCCCACTCGATCCCTAAAGCAGAGTCTCCCATGGCCTGTAATGCTGATCAGAGATCCCGCTGATAACCACGGAGGCTGACACATCTGGTACTGGGAGGGCATGACTCACATGGAGCCAGACGCCAAGCCTCAGGCTACATCCCACAGAACTGACTACATCCACAATGCTTTAAAGAAATCATCTCAATTAAAATAAAGTTATTCCTGCAAACCGTCACTGGGTTCCAGTGAAAGTAACCACAGCGGTCATAATCCTGCTAATGTAAAGCTTGTGTTCCCAGCAAGATAACACAGAAACACAAACGCGAGGGGTTAGAGGTGACAGGTTAGCATGGAAGACGAGGCACCTCCAGCTACACAATGAAAGCCTGTGAAAGAAAAGGGAGCAGCCGGCCACGGCTGGAGGGGGAGCGAGAGGGGGCCACGTTTGAAAGAACTTGTAGTTCTGAACTAGCTCAAGCCCACTGGAGGCTCGAGGGATTCCAGGAAGCATGGGGCTCAGACACCCCGCTCGAGGCAGGCAGCCACCTCTGGCCGCTCTCCGGTCCAGGAAGGAATTCCAGACCCGCCCTGCGCTGCGCCCACAGAACTGGAGTATGCATCGGAAAACAGTCCAGGCTCCCGGGGAGAGTCCTCCCACTTCCTGCTCCACGGAGCAGAGCAATGGAGACATTCATGAGAGCGGGAACGCAGCAGCCGGGAAGGAGGCGGCTGCCAGCTCCTCACTGCACTCGCTGAACCAACCTTGTTAGGCATCTTTATGTAACTGGGCCGCGCCACTTCTCTGTGCTCCCAGCCCTGCCTGGTAGGGACGTAGGTCCACGATGCCTTAGAGAAACCACTGCCTGAGAAAACCCGACCGGGATGCAGAACAGGCACCAGGGCGGTCGTTTTAAAAGGACTGTCTAGAACTGCCACAACTTCTGCCCGTCAGAGCAACACAATCCAGATCTGACAACGCAACACAAACAAAGAAACGAGGAGACATCAGGAAGGTGTGGAAATCATGACGACAGCAACCCTAAAGCGAGTCTGGATTGTTTATAAAGAAATGCCGAGTGTGTTAATAATGTCTGAAGTTATACCACGGCCGGTGAGGTGTAAACAAACCCGCTGCAGGCGGAGACACAGGAGTGTGCTTGGCTGTGATCTGCTGAGGGTGACGGCAGGGCTGTTCTCAGGCCACACGCTCCTCAGTTCCTCCGTCTGCAGTGCCCGCACCTAAGGCAGAGCCGCCCAGGCCGTGAGCAGGGTCACGCCCGCCACACCTCTGCTCCACGGGCTCCTGAAAGCAAGAGGCCTTGCAAAACGAAATGCAACTCCCACTGCTTAGCCCAGAGCAGGCCCTCGCTGCGTGGAGACTGCACGAACAGGGCCCCAGCTCCCAGAGACGACCCGAGCACAAGCTGCAACATTCCTCACGCATCTTTCAATCAGCTAAGACAGATGAAATGTCACGGTTTTGAGAGACACATAGCTGTACCTCCCCACTCCACCCCACAGAACAATTTAGAACAGGGCACACTTCTCCTATAAAGGGTCACAGAGTAAATATTTTAGGACTTATGAGTCACGTAGGTCTCTGCCGTGTATTCTTCTTTGTCTTTTTACAACCCTATAAAAAAACGTAAAGACCATTCTTTGCTCTGGGGCTATACAAACACAGACCGGGGCAGGGTCTGGCCCACAGGCCACAGTTTGTGACTTCTGACCTACAACACAAAGTGAAGAGAAAACAAGTTGCTATTTTTTTTTTATTCAATTTGGAAAGCCATTTGTCCCTAGGTGGTGGGAGACACAACTGTCAGTTTGGCAAAACAAGGGAAGAGGAGGCTCTGTTCACGCAGAAAAACAAGCACTGCCGTCAGGCTGGGGTGTCAGGGGGTACCACGGGAGCACCCGTAGGCCTGGACGGGGCTGAGGTCTCCGGGAAGAGCAGGTGGCTACCTCTGAAGCTCTGAGAGCCTTTTCTTGCCACTAACTGCGTGTTGGCCAAGAGTTTACCCTCTGTTTTAAAATGTAAACTTAAAATTTGCCCTGGCCACTTTGGCTCAGCGGTTAGAATGTCGGCATACGGTCCAGAGAGACCCGGGTTCGGTTTCCGCTAAGGGCGCGTACCTCAGTTGCAGTTTGTCCCCAGCCCTGGTTGGGTTGTGTGGGTGGCAGCCACTCAATGTGTCCCTTTCACGTCGATGTTTCTCTCTCTCTCTCTCTCCCTCCCACTCTATCTGAACAAAAAAATTAAAAAATGTCAAATGAGGATAAAAATAATAAATAAAATAAAATGTAAACTTAAAATTTGACACCACCTCCTAAATATCAGTGACATTTCTTTGGCCTTATTCCTTGTCACACTTGAAACTTTTTCCCACTGAGCGTCCCTCCAGCTCCTTCCCAGGGGCCACACTCCTCTTCCACACCGTATCACACTGTCTTGTGTGTCATGTGAAAAACCTGTGATCACTTATTATTCATAATTTCATTTGGTTTTACTTTTTAAAAACTAAGGTCTCTCTTTCTGTCATCCTTAAATGATACTGTACTAATCCATCAGTGAAAGCGACTCCCATTTGTCCATTCCTAGCTCCTAGGACTTTGAACTCAATCCTTCAGAACAAAAAACTAATGGTGAAAAGTGAGGATAACCCGCCCACGAAGACTATCGTCCTGGTGAGCACAGGGAACCGCCATGAGACGTGGGGCCGGGGCGGGGGGGGGGGGGGGTGGGAAGCGCTGTCTCCCCTCCTCCGTGGCCAGGAAAAGCCAAGCAGCAGAGCCAACCTTAGAGGCTCTACTTTAGGCAACAGGACACTTCGTGGATCCCCAAGAATGACCTGACCAAACACCACAGAAAGAATCGAAGGAACGATAATGGGCATCCGATCTCTAAGGTGAGCTGGCAAAGACCTGGAGGGCTCGGGGCTCCTGGCCTAGTCACAATCCAGAAGCCACCTCAAAGCTGTGGAGGTGGCCCCTGTGAGCAGAGTGAAGACGCTCAACCCCACTCAGCCGTGTCACTTGGTTCCTGAGTTGCACAGCTCAAGAAACCAAGAACGAATTTGCCTTGCATGAGTGGGCTGTTCTATTCCCATCACATCCGGTGATGTTTTTAATGCCCTGTCCTAAAAATAAGAACCGCTCAGCACAATTTTAACAATTAAATCATATGATCGCTCTACTCAGTGGAGTTTGAGAACTGAAAATATTTCCACCCCAGTATTTCCAATCTTAAGGGTCCCAGAATGGACTTCACAAGCCTGTAACCTTGACATGCCCTTGTTACCTCTTTCTTAGCTTTAAAGGTGTCTTTCTTGCAGGCTGCAGTAGTCCTCCACTCAAAGTAGTGCACACAGCCTGTTGCAGTTACAAACTCGGGAGTTCCCTATTAAAAATAAAAGTAAAAGTTACCATACTGCATATTGTAAAATTTCCATTTTTAAAGTTACAAAGAGTAAATGAACATTTTAAAAGTAGCAATACGGGGGTGGGCTAGGCAAACACAACCGTTTTAGTTCGACAAGGTCATCACCAAGTTCCCAAACCCAAAAATTCTGAGACAAAAGCTTCATGAAATCATGTTGGAATTTTGGTGTAATCGGGCCAAAACTGTTCTACTGCCCCAACTATGCAAGTACAGTAAACTCATGGGAAGTAATCCTCAGAGTCCTGATCCTCTCAAACTCCAAATGTTCTCTTAACCAAATGCCAACAAAATCAAAGCCAGAAAATGTGACCTCATGCTTCCTGTAAGCGAGAGAGGAGGCCCACCCAAGCCCAACTGAGTTCGTACAGCAGCCTCGCTTCAGAACCGCACCCCCACCACGCTTCAACCAGTTGACTCCAAACTGAACCACAGCACTGCTGGGTAATACCGGACACAGCGGGAATTTACCTCTACACACCCAGTGTGCAAATCTGGAGTTCTTCACCATTCTGGTTCTTTTATGGTGAACACAGAATTCTTGAAGGAAATCAGTTAAAATTAAAACAGGAGCGAGTTTAGTCAGTAACACAGACCTCCCTCCATATTTCATAGCACTGCAAACAGATTTTCCCCCAAGTTTTCAACATGGACAATAGTGCAATTGATAGGCTGGTCCAAACTTAACATAATAATATAGGTTCTATTTTTTAAATTCTTGAGATGAGACATTACAGGTCTGAGGATACAACAGTGACAGCAAATTCTAAAATATTTTAAAGCAATCTGGTGGCCACATGAGTTTCACTCACTCTGATTTTTCTAAACACTTGGGTTCTTACCCTGATTAGAGAACATTCATTAAGATCTGTATACAAATTGCTTTTCCTAAAAGCTAGCAATTATTTACTAAAAGTCCCTCTCTAAACACTGAAGATTAAAATAAAGAAATCATGCAATATGCAGACAGCAATAATAAATCACACTTTAAACGATTATGCCCCCTTTAAACACCAATAATACCCAAAAAGGTTGGGATCCCCATTACCCACTGGCAAACACTTCTTCTAGATCAGTTGCTTTTAACCTTTTCATGTCATGGCACACGAACAAATTACTAAAATTCTGCCACACACCAAAAACTACATTTTTTGCCCACCTGACAAAAACAATAATAGGTATAATTTTGATTCATTCACACCAGATGGCTATTGTTGTGTGGCTGTTGTCATTTTCTGATTTGACTATCTATGGGAAGAGCGGTCAGTGCCCCTGACTAAATAGTCAGGTATCACGTTTTTAAAGTTCTGTGGCACACCGATTGAAAACCGCTGTCCTAGATAGATGTCAGTCTCTCCAATTTAATGTAAATGAGGAAAGAAAAACATTAAAAAAAAACAAAAAAAACACTGCCCTAAAAACTATCAAAATAAAATGCTGAGAGAAGAGATTTCAGAAAGAAAAAAAAGTCATGCCTGCAATAAACATTAAACAGTGCTTTGAGTTTAAACACATTAATCACTTTGATTTGTAGTTTTACACAGGATGTGGGTCAAGTTTCACTTAAAAGTGGTAACTATAGCCTTAGGATTTTTTTTACTTATTGGTTCTTAATGGCGATGGTGATTTTGGTTTGGGTTTTTATCTGTTTGTCTTTTTAACTTTTTTTCACTTATTCTTCCTGGAATACCACTATAACAAGACCTCTAAGGAGCAAACATTTCTAACAAAGGAAATGCTATAAAGTGACTTTGTGGGCTCACCAAAGTTTTCCCGCAGAGAAAGGTGATGCTACTCTGGATTTTATGATTTGGGCTTTGCTTCAACTCACAGTCCACTGTTGTGTTAAATTCCAGAAGAGTTCTGGTTGCACTTTTGTAAAGAGAGTCACCTATTTGGAAAGGAAAGAGAATGAACAAGCTATAAAATATTCATAACCATAAAGCTATTTTCAAGCAAAGGTAAACTGAAAGTGGTGCTATAATTCATCTGAAAGTGTATAAACTTACAAACTGTCCATTCCCCAGAATTCTGCATCTCAGGAATGGCATCCCACCCACCCAGCTGTTCAAGCCCCAAACACATTACATTGAGTCCTATCTTTCTCTCATGTACCACATTCAATACATCAGAAAGGCCTATTGGTTTTACCTCCATCTGAAATCCATCCACGTTTCTTCGTCTCTATTACTACTAAAACCACACACATATCTCACCTGCACTCTGGCGGCCTGACTGGTCCCCTGACTCCACTCGTGTCTCATCCCTCACCATCCCCCTACCCGATCCATCTTGCACCAGTGTGATCATCAAAAATATATTTTAGAACCTAGAACTTGGCTACTAAAATTCTCCAATAACTTTCCACCATGTGTGCTATAAAATCAAAATTCTTTAATATGGCCGACAAGTAGGGTGTAGGGTAATCATGTCTCAGTTTGCCTGGGACGTTACTGTAATAATCCAGAATAAAAAGTCTATATAATATTATTGTGACAGTAGTTGGCATAGGAACAGATAAACTGACAAACAGACTAGAACAGAGAACAAGAGACTAGAACAGAGAGGACAAAGACATTCATGCAAATCAAACTTTAATATATGACACAAGTAATAGATCAGTGGACAAAGAGGAGGATGTTCAATAAATGGAATTAGAAACAAAATGGCAATCCATAAGGAAAAAAAAGATAAATTTGTATCACCATCTACCACCATATACAAAAATCAACTCTAAATAGATTAAAAATGTAAACATCAAAAAAACAAACTTTAAAATTCTTATTAGAAAATAAAGGTAGTGTCTTGGACAGTTTGGCTCAGCGGTTAGAGTGTCAGTCCGCAGACCAGAGTGTCCTGGGTTCGGTTCCTGCTAAGGGCACATACATTGGTTGCAGTTTATCCCTGGCCCCATTTGGGGTCATGTGGGTGGCAACCACTCGATGTGTCTCTCTCACATATATGTTTCTCTCTCTCTCTTCTTCCCTCTCTCCCTGCTGCTCTGTCTGAAGATAAATGCAAAAATGTCCTCGGGTGAGGATAAAAAAAAAAAAAAAGTTAGTTATGTTTTAGATCTTAGTGTAAGAAAACATTTAACACTCAATAGCATTAACTATAAAAACATTGATAACTTTGAGTTACTATATTTAAATTTTTATGTCCATCAAAAATAGCTTAAATAAAACAGAAACCGATTATAAATTGGAAGATACACAGAACTGGCAAAAAACTGGCATCAAGAATATATATACTAACACGCAAAGGACAAAAATGTGTTAATCCTAAGAAATAAAAAAAGAAAATGAATGACCTCTGACAGAGAACACAAAAAGAGAGATTTTTTTAAACCCACATCTAGTCAAGATAACAATGAATTTTAATATCAAAGGCAAAGAGAAAATGCTAAAGCTTCTGCTAGAAACCATGATTAGATAACTCAATATAAAGTGAACAAGACATATTCAGACAGAAGGAAACATGTCAATAAATATCTGAAGAGATGTTCAACACCACTGGTGAACAAGGAGCTGCAAATCGAGACCACATGGCATACCAATTACAGCAATTCCATTGACAAAAATTAAATAGCAAATGTTGGAGGAGAGATGGTACAGAGTCCTCCTACGCTGCATGAAAGTGTAAACTGGTACAACCACTACATAAAGTCAGTGTGGCATTATGCCCTAAAATTGAACATTCATGTACCCTATAAGCTGAAAACCATGCACACATATAACAGGAAACAAGTGAAAGGACATTTCGTGTATTTTACATTGGCAATAATCTGGAAACAATCCAAATGCTCATAAACAGAAGAACAAATTAACTTTGGTAGATCCACACAATATTATATAGGAGTTACAAGGAATAAACCACAGTGAAAGATAACAATATAGTTGATTTTCAGCAATATAATACTGTTGTTACCACTTAAGTCCCCCCAAAAGTTTAAAAAAACCACATACACATACACCCAGATTGGGGGGTGGAGGGGAGGAAGGAAGGGAAGGGACAAATTTTTAAATACAGATGTGGGCTAATGGCTACTTCCAGTGAAGGGATGGGGAAACACGTAAATAGCGGTTATTGTCAGGTTCCTGTTTTTGTTAAAGATGGGACTCATTACATTATCTAAGATGACTAATTAAAAACAAAAACAAAGGTTAGTCCACGGATTATTGGTAAATGCGTATCATGAACTCGGGGGTATAAACGGCCCAATTCAATACATACAGCTGAGATCTTTAAAGAAGAAAAGAAAGAAAAACGAGGGGGTGAAAATTAAGCTGCCCCACAACATCAAGCTGTCAGTACAGCGGCTCTTTGTCCCGCCTACCTACGCGCAAGGGTCTGCCGCAAACGCGCAAAGGTCCGCCTGACACTCCCAGGTCCGCCTGAAAATCTTCCGCCGAAAGGACACAGAAACCTCGCCGAAACTCCGGGACCTGGGACAGCGCCCTGGGCTAGCGGCCTGTGGACAGCGCCCTAAGCCCCGCCCACGGCGGGCGTGTCTGGGACCGAGATGGGGCGGGGCTTTGGCACACCCCCACAGGCCTGCCAGCTCCTAGAGATGTGGAGGGCTGGTGGTGGGAAGCGGTGCGCTGTGGACACAAGAGGGCGCTCAGGAGCCTGCACCCCCCCCCCCTTGAAGACCCTCCCCCACACCTCCTGTCCCCCCACACTGCAGCCCGTTCCGGCCCTGTGCCCAGAGCTCCTGGGGGCTCCTCATAACTGCTGGGCCCACCCTGAAAACGAAAGGAGAAGGGCCCTGGCCTCAGGCCGAGAGGGATCCGGCCGAGCTCTGCCGCCGCGGCGCGCGCGGCACCGGCATCCCTCAGCATCAGGCCCCATCGGCACTGCGCCAGCCCGTCCATCTCATCTTCCTCCTCTGCCTGCTCCGCCTGGTGGCCGAGACCGGCTGCCGACCAGGGCACACGGGGAGAGGCCGCTGGAGCCGCGGCAGGCAACCGCGGCAGGCAACCGCGGCAGGCAACCGCGGCAACTGGCCAGCCTGGCCATCCTCCCCGGACAAGAGCCGGGCGAGGACTGCGGGGCGGCGGCCAGCACGCCAGGCCCACGGCCAGCTCCCGAGGACGGCGCCAAATGGGCTGGGCCGCGCTCGCCGGGCCCGCCAGACCGCGCCGGGTCCTCCAGACCGCGCGCCGGGCCCGCCAGACCACGATCTCCAGGCCGGGTCCGCCAGACCAGACCGCACTGGCGGGGCCCCTCCAGACCAGACCGCGCCGGGTCCTCCAGGCCACGATCTCCAGGCCGGGTCCTCCAGACCAGGCTGCGCGCGCCAGGCCCGCCAGACCACGGTCTCCAGGCCGAGCCCGCCAGACCAGGCCGCGCTCGCCCAGGCCCGCCAGGCCGCACCGAGTCCTCCAGACCGCGCTCTCCAGGCCGGGTCCGCCAGATCGCGCTGGGTCCTCCAGACCGCGCGCTGGGCCCGCCAGACCGCGCGCTGGGTCCGCCAGACCGCGCGCTGGGCCCGCCGGACCGCGCCAGGCCCGCCAGACCGCGCGTGCCAGGTCCTCCCGACCGCACTCTCCAGGCCGGGTCCGCCAGACCAGGCCGCGCTCGCTGGGTCCGCCAGACCAGGCCGCGCTCGCCGGGCCCGCCAGATCGCGCCGGGTCCTCCAGAGCGCGCCGCGCCGCGCGCGCCAGGTCCTCCAGACCGCGGTCTCCAGGCCGAGTGCTCCAAACCAGACCACGAGCTCCCGGCCCACCAGACGGCGCTCTCCAGGCCGGGTCAGCCAGATCAGGCCGAGCTCTACAGGCCAGGCCGCGCCGGGTCCTACAGACCCTGCGTACCGGGCCCGCCAGGCCGCGTTCTCCAGGGCCCGCCAGGCCTCGCCGTGTCCTCCAGACCACGCTCTCCAGGCCCGCTCCGCCAGACCAGGTCGAGCTCGCCCGGGCTCATCAGAACAGGCCGCATTGGCAGGGCCCCACGAGACTAGACCGCGCCGGGTCCTCCAGACCGCGCTCTCCAGGCCGGGTCCTCCAGACTAGGCTGCGCGCGCAGAGCCCTCCGGACCGCGGTCTCCAGGCAGATCCCGCCAGGCCAGGCCGGGCTCGCCTGGGCCCGCCAGACCCAAGCGCACTTGCAGGCCCTGCCCGGTCCTGGCAGGTCCGCCAGGCGGCAGTCTCGAGGCCGGGTCCGCCAGACCGCGCCGGGTCCGCCAGACCGCGCGCTGGGTCCGCCAGACAGCGTTCTCCAGGCCGGACCCTCCAGGCCGCGCTCGCCCGGGCCCGCCAGACCAGGCCGCGCTCGCCAGGACCCGCCCGACCAGGCCACGCTCTACCGGCCAGGCCACGCCAGGTCCTCCCGACCCTGCGCACCAGGGGGCCCGCCAGGCCACGCTCCCCCGTACCCACCAGGCCAGGCCACGCTCTACCAGCCAGGCCTCGCCGAGTCCTCCAGACCCTGCGTGCCAGGCCGCGCTCGCCCGTACCCGCCAGGCCGGGCCACGTTCTCCAGGCCAGGCCGCGCCGGGTCGTCCAAACCCTGCGCGCCCGGCCGCGCTCGCCAGAGCCCACCAGACCAAGCCGCACTCCGGGTCTGCCAGGCCTCGCCTGCAACCCGCGGCGTCCGCGGCCGAGCCCAGCCGAGCTCGCCACTCGGCCCCGCTGAAGCAGCAAAGCCCGGTGATCCCAACTTCGCGGGCGGCCACAGGGCCCACCGCGCAGCCACTAGGCCTCGCCAACACCTCCATCAGAGCCGGCCTGGCAGGCAGGCAAGCCCTCTCTGTGCTAGTCACCGGTGTGCTCGAGCAAGGCTTCCCTCGCTACCCACCTCCCCGCCTTTATTGTGTCGTGTCCTTCAAAGTGGACTGTCACATGCTGTTTCACACCAAATTGAAAAAGAATCTTCTCTACCCAGGTTTTCCCTCCAAGCTACTGCCTCATTTTTCTGCTCTTTATATCAACACTCTTTAAAAGAGATTTCTATTCTTGCTACCACCGATTACCCCTCAGATTCTCCCCCTTGTCCCCTGCACTGGCTTTCCCCCCAGAGCCACACGACACTCCCAGCTCCAAGTCTCTGCTTAAATGTCGCTTCTCGGCAACAGGTACCTGACTTGATATCCTGAACACATTCCCCTGAGACCGCCAGCACTCTGAACTCTCCTTCCCTTTCTTTTTTACAGCATTCTTCACATTCTAATATACTATTTACCATTGTTGTTTTTGTGTGTAAGCTCCACGAAAAAAAAGGGATTTTTGTCTGTTTTAGTGACTGACTCATTCAAGTATTTGCTATAAATAAATAAATGAGTATTAAGTGTTGGCTGTTTTAAAATATTTTCTTCATATATCTTTTAAGATGTGAATTAACCAAGTAAATTAGAATAAAATATACTATTTATTGAACCAACCCCAGACAGTCAGGTTGTCCTAGCACACTATTTGTCACAACGCTACAAAAAAAATTTGTACAAAAATCTATGTACAGTACTAATTCCTCTATTGGTAAGATTTACAAAAGTAGGTTATAGGAATGTGTTTTAAAATTTAATAGATTTTGCCAGACTATCAGGAGAAACCATAATGGGATAAAAACATGAGTTATATCTAAAACTCAACCAGATATCTTAAATATCTAACAGAATTATATGGTTTTAAGAAAAAAAAATGAAAGAATATAGGATTTAAAAGGAAGATATTTTCACATCTTAACAGAGACACAAAATTCAATCCAGTGATCAAGCTGGAGGGGTAGCAGATCCCCACGAGTGCACACAGCAGTCACATGACGTAAGTATCACCTGAAGTCAGGGCCAGGCTCCTGAGTAAATGAAGTCACTGGACACAGCACCTGCAATCAGATGGATTCACTGTGCCCTACCCAGGTCACCAACAAGAAGACAGCCAGAGTTCCAGGCTTTGGTGGTGAGTAACCTCAACACTCTTCCCTAGTGTGCACTGCGCATTAGCTCAGTTAAATGGGCTGGTAACAGGCTTTCTAAAATGGATATATAGTGTTTAACCCTCGGATTAATTAACTTAAAACCACAGTATTAATATTTAGGATGTTAGGAGGATTGTGACATTTTTGGTGTTTTTATATATTTGCAGTGTTTAATTCAAAGGTTATAACGAGCAACTGATTTAGATTGTGACAGTATTAGACTAAGAACTTCAGGTTCATCATATTTATAAGTTTAAAGTATCAAATTTTTAAGAATATTAGTCGGATCAAACATCTTAAGTATTTTGAAAGGAAATCAAATATATGAGATGTATAAGTCATTTTAAAATGTGGTGAAGATGATTCATGTAGGTTGTAAGTAGAACCAAATGTTCACTGGCCCCACAAAAATGACTACCACACTCTGCTGGATTTACATAAGGAACAGTATCATTTGCCTAAGGAAGAACAAATGTTGGAGTTTTTAATCAAAAATAATGTAATATTATTTAAACCAAAGTTGAGGTCTTGATATTTGTTCCTAAGTATAAAAACAGCCCTGTGGGCACTATAAAACATGCATCAACAATGATCTTCCCTAAAAGGCTGTAGACAACCACCCTCCCACAACACTATGGAACGTGCTCGCTTCCAGGCTCCTTGCCAACACTGTAGGATGCAACCATTTAAACGTCTGCCAATTTGACTGAAGAAAAGTGAGATTTCATTATTGCTTTGATGTGAATTTACACCTGGCTTACTAATGAAGTTGCACTGACGATCAGGATTTCCTCTTTGTGAATTGCCATTTTACTCCTGGGTTGTTTGTCTTATTATCTATTAAGAGAAAATCTTGCCCTGGCTAGATTTGCTCAATCGTTAAGAGTGTTGGCCTTTGGACCGAAGGGTCGAGGGCTCAATCTGGTCAAGGGGCAGGTACCTGGGTTGCAGGTTCAATCCCCAGCCTGGTTGGAGTCATGCAGGAGGCAATCAATCGATGTGTCTCTTTCACATGGCTGTGTCTGTCTCTCTCTCCCTCCCTACCTCCCTCCCTCCCCTCCACTCTCTCTAAAAAGCAATGGAAAAATATCCTTGGGTGAGGATTAACAAATAAAATAGAGAGAGATAAAGAGAAGATCTTACCTCCTCTAGGTTATATTTCTATTTTCCTAGGTTTTTTCCTAATGTTCCGTTGTTTTACTTTTAATTTTAACTGATCTGCCATTTCTGTTATATGATATGAAGGAGAGGTCTGATGCTGTTTGCTAACAGATAAATAGCTAAATTATACCCCAAATTTTGGTTATACATTAAGTTCTCATATATATTTGGATCTATTGCCATACTAGTTCTCCTGTTCCTCTGATTTATTGGAAACTCCAGTTTTTGTGGCTGTTCTCAAAATTCACTCTTTTTTTTTCCTTCCTAGCAAGTTCATAAGAAGTTCGTTTTTCAGGAGTTCAGATTTCCCGTCATGGTTCCCATTTTAGCTCAACTATCTGATGTGCCCCTGTGACTCCAAAGCAACAGCACCTCAAGTAAGTCCAGACTCCCAAGCTGGCCTGGCAGCATTCAGTCCACCACGCAACCTCTGGCAAGTGCTGATCTGTTTTGTGCCTTAGTGTCTTCATTTATACAGTGAGGGAAATGGAATCACCTACTTCACAAAGTTGCTGAGTGAATTAAATGAGATTATTTTACTTAAGAACATAACAACTCGCACAGAAGTACACAAGAGATGTAGTTATTATTTAATTATAACACAAAAGTGATCCTAAATTCAGTTATGTCTATTGTATGACACAAATTAGCGAAATTAGATCTGATTCAAAATGACCTCTGTTCACTTTGATGTCACCTTCGACCACCCCTCCTCGCTTGCTTTCCCGAGCTGAAGGACAGGGCAGGGGCTGCTAGCGCCCAAGTTCACAGCATCGAGCCTACCTTCTCCCCCTTGGGACGCTCTGGGAAAGCATGTGGTATGTGTCTGGGAGAGTCAAACTGGGTTGGAAAACTGCTAGTTTGTATCATCGTCAACCTGTAACTTAGCTTTTAACTCATCTAGTTACCTTCAGCCTCTCTCATTTGCCAGTTTTTTGAATACATTCCAAAATACATTCCAAAATAAAACCTGTCTGACCCACGAGTTCAGAACAACCTGGTGCTTCGTCAGATCTTTTTCCTGGGCTGCAAATCCCTCTTCCAGTCTAACAGTTTCCCTATGGGAGACAGGGAAACCAAAAGGAGCTAGGCCTCCACCAGCAGACCTTGAAGGCTGTACTCTCCTTGCTCTAAACATTACTTGCTAAAAAGCTTTTATAACTGTATTAGGAATTTCCATTCAAAATGGCATGCAGAGCTACCACAGTATGCTGCCCCTCCCATCGCCAAAATCTACCGCACCGTCACCCGCTGTCTCCATCCGTAACCGCCCTTCACCATGAGACTGCACCAAACTGCCTTGGTGGACATCCATGCCACCACATCCAAGGATGACGACACCAGATGCTTTTATGTCTTCCCTTCGTCTTTTCATTTAGGCAGCTGCCCTTTCCGGCTCCAACATAAGTTGGCAGAGTTGGCATTGTCCTTGGACCCATCATCCTCCCCAGGGGAAGGGGATCGTGATCCAAAAGGAGGGCATATGGGGAAATGAAATGAGCCCCAGGAAGGAAAGGTATGCACTTGTTTCTCTAGGACTGCCAGTCCTTAGGACTCTTTAATGTTTAATGTAAGCCTAAAACCAATGACCATCTTTGACCCCATGTGAATACGGACTGCCTGAGAATCAGGGAACCACAGAAACAAGCAGAACGTTACAAGGGGCAAGGGCTGATGCTAGAGGAGATGAGTGGGGGAGGGAGAGAGTAAAGACAGAGTTTAAGAAAAGCATGAGAAGGCAGAGCCATACAGGACACAGCCTTGTAGGTCAATAAATACAAATGTGCATAATTCTTCGTAATGATTGGCAGCACAGTGTCCACTATCAGCAATGTCCAAACTTTTTCCTCTCATGGCACACATAAACAAATTACTAAAATTCTATGGCACACCAAAAAATATATTTCTTGCCAAGCTGACCAAAAAAAAAAAAAAATTGGTATAATTTTTATTCATTCCCACCAGACAGCTATTGTTGTGTTAGCTGTTGTCATTTTTTTTATATGACAATCGAAGGGAAAAGAGGTTAGTGCCCTCAGCAGTCAGGTGCCGATGTTTTACAAACTTTTGAGGCTCACCAGTTCAAAGCCGCTGCGCTGATGGAAGGGACCGAATCTGATGGACGCTGGACAAACTGTTACCACTTCTAACTGTGACAGAACATAAAATGTACATTCTGTATTCTAAGCATACACCGCTGTGCAGATAGCTATATATTCATGGAATCATTTTTGCAAAACGGGGACAGTGCACATTCAGGAAGTAAGGACAGACTTACCCACGGAGCGGTAGCTGCCTGTCTTCATGTCCCGCATACAGACAGCACTCGATGGCCCGCACTGGGCGAGACCCACACTTCCACACACGCTGATTTTGTAAAGCATGTGATTTTTGGTATCAACAGCTTCCCATGTATAACTGAAAAGGAAGAAAAACAATTTGTCACTGTCAGTGATCTGCCAATAATTAAACTTCTCTCCAGTTTTATATTCAAGCCACATTTGCTTAAGACTACCACAACTTTCATTAGCCAAAAATAGTGAAGTCCACTACGTCAAGTTGACTAGAAGCCAGGGCAGAAACCACTAAATACCACCTCGCTCTGGTTCAATCCGCCCGTGAGGCCACCTCAAGACTCAACAATCATCAAAATTCTTAAAATTCTACCGTCCACTTAAAAGTATCAACTCAGATAAGTAATTGCTCAAGAAGCATGTTGATGTAAGACAGTAACTGTTCAAATCACACTGGAATGCTGAAAAGCCAAAGAGTGTTTTTTACTTTGTTTATTTTATTTTAAAAACCGGTTGAGGCATGAAAGACAGTTCGACTTCTGGTTTTACTTTTTACAGCTACAACTCAGATCAGAGCTGACAAGACGAAGTTGTGCAATGAGTTCACTATCTGATTCAAAATCAGACTTACTGTAGGCTGACCCACTGCCACACAAATTTCACAAGCATTATGACTCATGTGTGCCCTGGCCCGGCGGTTCGGTTGATTGGAGCAATGCCCTATACACCAAAAGGTTGTAGGTTCGATTCAACCTACCTAGGTATGGGCACATACCTAGGTTTCAGGTTTGATCTCTCTTATGCGCTCTCTCTCTCTCTCTCTTTGCCCCTTCCTCTCTCTAAAATTCAATTTAAAAAGCATATCCTTGGGTGAGGATTAAAAAAAACTCAGTGTGTGTTCAAACCTCTGGCAACGTAGCTATTGAGTAATTGTTAATGAATGAATCTGCATACTTGGGACAAAATAATGGCTTGTTAGTTCTGTCAAAACAATGAGTCTCACTTCTCCCGTCTGACAGGGAGAATGTTCCGTCCATTCTGTAAACTGAGGGTCATTTCCTCAGCCAGGGCAGAGACAGAGGAGGAGAAATGTGGCTAAAAAGTTCCCTGGAAAATGCAAAGAGACTGTGTGAACAGAACGGTGAGAGAGAAATCAAGTCACTCAGAGTTGCTCAGGGTCGGCCCCCCAGGACTCGGGGAGGGCCTGGGGGGAGCCTGGAAGGTCACCACTACCACCCAGGTGCAGCGAGTTTCCTACCACCGCACAGCACCCGGACGATGACAGGCACTCCCTCAGGAAGGAGCGCACTGCCCGGGGAGCCCTTTCCCCACGCATCAGGGCAAGGACTGGGCAGAAAACACCAGCGGCACACCCTCCGGCCTAGAAGTCTCCCCAGTAGCCCACCCAGCAGTGGATGAACCCCACTGTGGACTGGGGGCAGGAAGCTCAGCATTCTGCACGCAGGTCTGGGGACTGATCGCATCCACCTGCCTAGAAGCCAAGGGCTATGAGCACCACAAGCATTCAGGCAGCTGGCAGACTATTGCCCCGGAAGTTCAGACAGCCCCTGAACTGCTGGAACCCTGAAAAACAGGCTGGTGTGCTTGCTGAGTGCCACCGTGGTTGACGGCAGCTTGGAAGCAGGTACCACTGAACTCCCCTTCCGCCCCAGGGACACCTCAGAGCCATCTCAAGTCGGGATGGTAAGGCGGCAGGAGAAAATAAGCCAGTGTTACCAGGCAGGAGAAAGTCATCAATAAAGGCCTGTTTCCTTTGACCTTCATTAACCTTTTTCATTCGCTTCACAAACATTCTTAAGAACTTATTGCAGAGGCAGTGGGTACAGAATGATCAGAGCACACACACAAGACCGCTGCCCTCCTGGTGTGTGTTCCAGTTGAGAACAGAAAATAAACAAGAAAACAAACACACAGGATAATTCCACCTACCGGCAGGTGCTGCTGGGACAAAAACAGCCATTGCTCACCCGACAGAAGAGACTGAGCAACTACTTGGGAGGAAGTCCTCAGAGAGGATATTTGCCCTGAGGCTTGAATAACAAAAGAAGCGACCCAGGGGGAGATAAGGTGAGAAGAATATTCCAACAGAGGGGTAGGCCAGTGCGAGGTCCTGAGGCAGGTTGATGGGAACGAAAGGAAGGCGGTTTTGTGGCTGGAGCAGGTGGAGGCGGACGGCAGAAGGGGTGGTCAAGGAGACGGCCCCCGTTATAAGGGGCCTCGCAGATTAAAGGAAGTAGTTTTGATTTTGTACTTGAGGCAAAGGAAGGCCCCTGGAAGAGAAGACCCTATGATCTTTCCTTAGATTTTTAAGCTAGTGTTTTTATTTGCAGAGTATTAGTAACACTTGTCTATTAATCACGGTTAGTTATGGAAACTGCTAACCTCTTGTTTGGGAGTCATGACTAAGTTCTTCCAGGATACTAGACTTCAAATGTATACGTGAACAGTGGCCTCATCAAGGTGTTTCACAATCTTAAATATTCAAGAGAGGTGTACAAAGTATCATTTTAGAATGAGCTGACTGGTAGGCATCAATTCTAAAGAAATCCATGCGATACCTAAAATGCTATGCTTTAAAAAAAACAAAACAAAACAGTGCGCTACTGTTTTTACAGACATAATATTTAAATAAGATAGATGTAAAGAGTATGTGTTTGGGGAGCAGCAAAGAGATGAAAAAGAGAAAAATGGGGGATATTGTCCCACTTCTCTGGAAATCAGGGTCCCTAGAAAGGAAAAGTGTTGCTCCATTCGATTACGTTTATTTTCTCTGTGTGCATTTCATATTTGCTTTGTCAAGATTTATCAAAATGAAAAGTGCTTATGTGAGTAGGAAGGGAAGGTCCTATGTAAGCACTTGAGTGCTGGCTTTTTTCAGGGGTTGATTTACCCACTGAGCACAGGGCGGCCCCTCAGGCTGGTGCCCTCCGCGCCTCACACAGCCAGTCCACAGCACATGGATGAAGTCCTCAGTCACATCGCTTACAAAGGAAGGGACAGCCACGGCACGTCTCTAAGCTTCAGTACCAAGGCATCTGCAGACCATCAATACTTGAAACACCCTGAGTCCAAGGGACTTACGTCTGTTTCAAAACAAAAGACATGCCTAGTGCCTTTTATCATTGGGAACGCAGGAACAATCATTGAGTTGAAATAATTTATCTGAAAACTCATGAAACATTTTCCAGAAACTGTTGTATATTCTGGTATGCACACTAGTTAGATTAAATTGTTATCTAGATATGCTTCTGCTGGTAATAAATATTTTTTAAAGACTATTTCATAATAAACTTGGAAGTCATATAAATATCTGATAGCACTGTTTAAGGAAATTCCGTGTTTGGACCTCGATGGCGCTAACCCGTGCCAGACTCAAGGCGGAGCTGCCAGGAAACCCTGGCTGAAATCACCCTTAAATGCATTCTAACATTTAAAAGCACCATGATCATGTTAGAGAACCAGAAAATGGTTTCAGAAACAATAAAAGTATTACAGACTAAATAAAATTTAATGATATCTTTTAGGAATAATAAACTTTTGTCCAAAAGCTTGCCCACTAAAAAATTCCCTACCTGAAGTGAACAAGGACAGCCCAGATTAGGGGCCCGACTGTGCGACTCGCTCAGCGGCCAAGGAGACCATTCAGCTGAGATTCACAGAAAAGTCTCTCTCCTGCACGGAGCCATTTGGGCTTATACAAGTAAAGACGGGGAAAAAAACAGACAGCAAAAAAAATGAGACCAACATATTAGATCAAAATGAAAACTAAGCTGTAACGTTAAAATTTAAATTTTTGGCAAGAAACAAACCTCTGGAAGAAAATATTTGCAAGCTGTGTGGAAATGTAATCTTCACTCAAACACACACACGAATGTTTTAAATATATCTGCTCTACAAGCCATTCCTGCAGCAGGGGAGTTCGGGCATTTTCTTGAAAGTCTAGTATCCATGCCAGGGTCAAGCCTTCCAAAAGCCACTCGGGCTCGAGGCTATCCTCCACCTCAGCCGAGGCACACGAGGGGACCCAGAGGGTGGAGCAGTCTGGACCACAAAGGCCCAAGGAAGCAGATGGTCAACGGGAAGCATCACCAGAAGCCCTGTCCACTGGCCCAGCCTTGCGAAAGGCAGTTAATATCCTCACAGAAGGCAGCCCATCCCCAGTCAGAATTGCTCTTCTGGACACAAAACGATCTATGCAAGAACCTTGGCTTTGAAAATCAGCAAAAGTAAGCAAAACCCTTGTCATTCTACACCTCATTTTCCAGAGTGTAAAATGTAGTTAGCCAATGTCCCCTCCTGCTCCCAAAACATCCAAATCCATTTCAAAGCAAACCTGATGATGCTCGATGGACATGTACAGCCACATCCTCTGGACCGCATGGGCTCGCCACCTGGATCCGCGGCTCTGACTCCCACCCCGCTGGCCTCTCCCATCGGGCAAGGCCAGATCTTCTCAGGGACCCCAATGTGTGCTGCTCAGGACAATGAGGCCCTCCCCCCCCAGAACACCGGGCAGGCACAGAATCAACACTGACTGATGGTGGAAGAAGGACACGTGGCCAGTAGATCACAGCACATCTTCAGAGCAAAGCCACCAAGCACTCACTGCCATTATTCACCTCTACCGAGTTCCAACTTTGGAATCAGAGCTCAAAGCTCAGAAGAATCAGGCAAACTCCTTGCCCAACATCACACAGTTGAGAAATGACAAGGCCAGGAATTAGTCCAGGTCCTCCTGAGCCCCGGGGGCAAAAGCTTCACCACGACAAGAAACTGCCTCTCTTACTTTCAATGCTTAAAAGTGTCTTTGACTTTTCAGAAAACATTTAGTTTCAATTACAACACTGAACCTGGCTAAACATTCCACAAAATGTAGAGTTGCTACCTAGTGACATTTCGTAATGCCACTGAAATGACATATTCGCACAGGTTTCCGGAGTCAGTGAGTCCATCTGAGGATGGCCCCCGAGAAAGAGCTGAGAACCTCTGGAAGATCCAGGCTGCACCCTATTACAGTGATCAACAGGTGATGTCCTTCCCTCGCCGGTTTGGCTCAGTGGTTGGAGCGTCGGCCTGCGGACCAGAGTCCCGGGTTCGGATCCC